GAACCATGTACTCAACTAAATATGTTGACATGTGCCAAATTTGTTCCCAATTTACTGTATGATTTTGTAATGTGGGTTACCAGCGAAAAATCATACAAACACATTCAGATTGTGGTGATGCAAATGTTTCAAAGAATGATCTTGCAACACTTGCAATTTGTCATGACATCATCTCTAAATCTAGGCATGTAAGAACCCCCATGACTTTGGGTATTGGTGTATACGTACATCATGAATTTGATTTGGAAGTAAGCTGCTCATAGATAAACTCCATTCACTGGGTCACTGTGTATCCTATGATGAAGTTCGGCGATTTCTTACCTCGGTCGCCCTTGATCAACAGGATCAAACTATGTATGTGCCTAGAGGTCTCCAGTTGTCAAGTGATCATAACCTTCAAATCGATGCAGCAATTGATAACTTTGATCAAAATGAAGAGACCCTTGATGGAAAATCAACCACCCATGCCATGGCTGCAGTGGTGTTTCAGAGGGAGAAACAGGAATATCAGTGGAATCTCAATTCCGCGTGTCACTCAAAAGTCCATCCAGCATGATGACAATGAAGTTCCATTGGCAAGGTATGTTATGAATTATTTGGGAATGGAAACCAAAATAAATAAAATAAATTTAGTTGTATACATTGAAAAGAGTACATGATACTTACCACAATCTGATCATATAACTATCAGTTACATGCAATGTCAATTTCATAAATACAATGTGATATGAACAAGAAACAACATTGTTTGGAGTAATATTGTCAACCAACTATACTGGTTCATGAGAGTCTGGATTCAGTTCTAAGTAGGACCAAAGATGAGCCCAGTAGTAGACATACTGCACTGGCGTAGATACATGACTAGCATTATCTAAGGTAAATGAATTTTCTTACGCCGTTTCAGGTATACCAAACCAGCACAACGTCCTCAGCCCAATCCAGTGGCTGATAGTTCTACTACTGAGGCCTATTCAACTTCCACTGCCTATGCTGGCGTGCCCAGAACAAGGACATGATATGGAAGCTAGCTCGTGTGAGAAAAGAAGAAGGGCAATCTCAGCATATTCCATCCTGGACCGGGTTCAATTCCTTTATATCAGAGGAAAGAAGTTCACCTGTTGCATCCGTGAGATATCTTCCCTTTATTCAGGCATCTCCTACAGATCTCTCCACAATATACACTGTACTACTGCAGTTAGTTCAGCTGGCTGAGAAACTAGGCCAAGGCCATATACTTGTAACTGCTGACATGGCCATCTACTTTCGAAGGCACAGGAAATCCTGTGGGCAAAACCTCCTGCCTTGTACAAAAAGTAACCATGAGAGTTGGAGGCATGCATCTCACAATGGCTTTTATTGCTAGCCTCGGCCATCTCTATTGTGAAGGAGGCCTTCTGTCTTTATTGACAGACTTTGATGTCTATGCAGTTAACACAGCCCGTAAGATGCTGCAGGGAAAGGAATATGCAAAGAGGACTTGAGGCTTGAAGTTGGTACATGAAGCTCTATTCATTATGTTGCTTGTGGCAATGGAGTCATGGCTTCAAGAACAAGGGCACTTTAGAGGCTTCCATTCTTGGCCAAAAATTGGAAAGGAACTGCAAGATGCATTTGCTACAAAGATCATGATTCAGCAATCAAGATATCAAATGAACTTCCGTTTCAACACCTTGATACACTCATCAAAACTATTGATGAGTTTAGACAGGTTGGACGAACCATGTCTCAAACGTTCTCCTACTGGGACACTTTCTTGGATGGAGAGATATACTCTCTCTGCGCTTACTTAGGGCAGAGCGTGAAGCAAACTTCAGTCTTCATCTGAATACTGTATGTGAAACTATTCCCTGGTTTGTGGCTGCAGGTAGACACACATATGCCAAGTTTGTTCCAACATATGTAGCGGACATGAACAACTTGAAAGACAATGATCTGCCAGCCTACAGACACTTGGATGGAGGTGGGTTTGTCATCTGAAGAAGATCTTCAAGGCACAGCTTCAATAGTGTGGCAACAGATCAAGCCCTGGAACAAACCATCAACAGGGATGGCAAAAGCAAAGGAGGAGTTATTGGTCTGACACTACATAAAAGTGCTCTTACCCGATGGTTAAAGACAAGGCATATCACTGCAGAATACGCTGAAGCGTTTAAGTCTCTGTGTAGTGATCGGAGCAGGACTGATAAGCCACATGAGGAACTTGGAAATGCAAGGCTTGTCAGGGATGAACAGGATGTTACCAAGATCATGGAGGCTGCTTCCCAATATCAAAATCCATTTGACCTACTGACTGTGCCTTCAGAATTGATCAACATTGCCACTGGACAGGTTGCCTCAGTGGAGAGTAAGTAAAAGTTTGAATGGCTTCTTGGATAAAGGCAAGAAGAAACACCAGGATTTCCTAGCAAAGCGCCTCGTTAAAGAAACTAAGAACAAGAGTTTCTGGGATCCGGAACCTCGCATGAAAGTACTGACATTTTCAGAGAAGACTGACAGGTTTATGGTGGATTCTGAGGTGCTTTTCGTCGACTGCTGGTTGTATCGAAGCAGAGAGATGTCAGTTTGGAATCTGTCCTTAAACATGAACTTGCAGCAGTCCCACCTTCCCTTTTCCATGATGATGGCACGATGAGGAAATGCACCAAATCTGATCTAGCAAAGAAACTTGAAGCTACATGTGATGAAGTTCACAGCTTGAACACAGGTCCTAGCACAGCTTATGTAGTTGATGGCATGGCACTCTTGCAAAGCTTGAAAGACACACAGTTCACCACCTTTGATGATTTAGGACATTGCGTTCTTCGACGGTTGAAGGTAATTCTTGATAGCAATCTTGGTGTTGGCGCCATTGCCATTGTGTTTGATAGATATGACAGCCCAAATTCAATCAAACAGTTGGGCGACAAAGGCGTGGAGATGAGTCAGGAGCCACGTTTGATGTAAAAGGTGGCCATTACAGTTCCAAACTACAGAAAATTCCTAAAGAATTCTGCTAACAAGGCAAGCTTAGCAGTATTTGTTTCAGATTATATTCTGCAAAGAAAAGAATTTCTTCTCAGTGGACAGGAACTCATCATTGCTGGTGGATTTGTTGATGGTTGTATTTCAAAATGTATCAATGAAAACAGTGTGTCGATCTCACGGACCTATTCAGTTCCACGAGGAAGCCGATACAAGGATGGTGCTGCATGCAATTCACTTTTCAAAGCGATATGACCGTATCGTTATTGAAGTGACGACACAGATGTCATGGTACTTCTCCTGTACTATACAAATAATGCCATGCTTAGATCATCTGTATATATGGAAGCTGGACACAACACACAGTCCACCAACAGGCGGAGGTACGTTCCCATCAGTACCATAGCTGTAACAGTGGGACATGATGTCTGTCAGAGTTTGCCTGCAGCTCACACACTAACTGGCTGTGACACAACTAGCAGTTTCTACAAAGTTGGAAAATCCACTGTTTACAGCAAACTCTTGCAACATGTCAAGGAAGAATATGCATCTTTGGGGAGATTTGGTATGTCAGGCAATTTTGAGGATGATGTTACAATAGCAAGGAGATTTATTCTGTCAATATTCAAGAGAAAAACCAGCCCTGTGCAACTCTGGATGGATTTGCGATATGTGATGGCGTCAGCGACTGACAAGTCTGCTGCTGATCTACCTCCCACTGAAGATGCCTTCTCCGAGCATGTGAGGAGAGCCAGGTACCAAGTAGCCATTTGGTGCCAAAGTCGCGATACCCATGCCAGTTCTTGGTGAGCCCAAAGGACAATGGGTGAGCAGTAGCTGTGAATGGTTCTTTGGAACCTGTGATGTTCTCAAAGGAGATAGCTCCAACTGAACTGAGAAATCTCACACACTTGTATTGCACAGACAGCGACTGTAGTGTTGGGAAGAAGTGTCAGTGTCTCCATTCAGGCCTCAAATGCACAGAATTTTGTAAATGTGGAGGACAGGATTGTCAGAACACTATTTCTTCCACATTCTCTGACAGTGATGGAGATGAAGAATGTGACTAACACTGATCATACTACACAGAAGTTTTAAACATGACGGTTGTTGGCATATGTGATAGTCTGGATCTTACCCACAAAGTAGGTTCAAATGTGAATAACTCTTTCTATGGATATGTGAACAAATAGATAAACTTGTAGTTACATATTTTGTAGAAACTATTAGATATCTTGGCCAGAGAGTGATAATGTGATATTAACATAGAAGTACATTTAAGTGGGTGCTCAATGTATCATGAAAACAGGTGCTTGATGGGGGACAACCCCTTTTTACTATTAGGTTGTTATCAAATCCCGATACTGTTGTCATGCAAAACATACAAATTGCTTTTTTCCCTTGACAGATCATAGTACAACTTACCTAATATGTATATGGGGGTAATCAAACAAAAGATGTATTGGCTACTTACCCCAAATTGAAGTGTCCATAAAATATTCGTGTTTTTTCCTGTAATATGTCCCAATTAAAATCAGATAAATTAACAAGTTTATTACAACTATTCTCAGTTTTATTGATGGTTTTGTAAAGCTGAAGTCTTAAACAATCTAATGGACACAACCGTACTCTTGTTTTGTCATTTTATTCTTTCAGTGAATTTTGAAAACACATGAATTTGCAATTTTGGCTAAAATTTCATTTTGGTGAACCAAATACAACCATTACAATTTTTTCAAAATACATATCTATGTTGTGAAAAAGGCCACACTATGTCCTTTAATTTGCAATCAGTTTTGTTGAAATATATGATATATTTCAGAAGTTATCACACATTTCGTGAAAATGTGTGTTTGTGTAAATTTTCATGTGTTGCTATGGCAACATGTTGGTTACCATGTGCCATACCTATTTTGTGCGACCACAACCTTACTTTTCATGAAGGGTAGATATGTACCATGATATAAATTTAGGTTGTGGCTTGTTATACCTCCGGTTGGGGTTCATCTCTCTGACGAGTCAGAAACCACTAGTCTATTTGTAGCAGACTCAGTCTCCACAACCCAAGCCTCCTTCAATGAATCATCACAGAGGCCCAACAATTCCCAGCTGCAGATACACAACAGCTTTCACTGAAGAACAAACGTCTGGATCATCTGCCTACAGTCTATTTCCTGTGAAGAGAAAAAGATGATATGAAAATGTAATATATTGGATTAAATCCTTAACTTGTAATGAATATTTTATGAAACATTTATTCACAGAATGCTAGTCTTTCTGAATACACTATACTATGAAGAATGAACACTTCTATTGCAGGGAACTAAACAAGATACATCTCCAAATATCTGCTGCATGCCTTTCTTGATGGCCTCCCATTTGTGAGCATGACCTCATTTCACATCCACTTTAATAATCGAACCACCAGCCACATCTAGTGACACAACGGAAAGTCATTACCATTGATCTCAACTCAATTGGTTCCTGAATGGACAGTTTGGTACAACCACCTTATTTAGTTGGGAAATGCCAAGTATCTGACTACTACAAAGACAATTATATGGTTACATTATCTTGAAGTTGAACTCCTATCAGGTTCACATTCGGTTGTGATGCATTGACTGTGTTCACGTCCCCTGCTGGGGGATTATTGGGTGAGAGAGTCGGTTTAGTTTTACACAACACCCATCAATATTCCAGCAACATGGCGACAGTCTGTAAATAATCTAGTCTGGACCAGACAATCCAGTGATCAACAGCATGAGCATCGATCTACGTGATTGGAATACGATGACCAGCTTGGGGTACACACCGAGGATACATCGTGCAGGTACACACATCTGCAGCAGTATTCCTTTAAACACCAAAGACATCCAAGTTTGAAGCTATGGATGGTAGGCTCTCTTCAACATTGCTGTTTGTGTAACATTTTCATCTAACTCAAGACAAACATGGATCAATACCTGTTTTTTAGTGGAGTCATTGCTGGTGTTTTGTTCTCCTTCGTGTGCTGGAAGGCCTTGGAGGGGTCGAACTTGGGATGGCACTGAGACTGGGAGAGTCGGTCTTCACTCCGTCGCTCCATCTGCCGTTTCTGTTTGCGGACCTGCTCTCGCAACTGCACAACCTCCTACAGGGATCAGAAGGCGTGATATAACATTAATAAAAACTTAAAACTATCAGCCACCTTTTGTAGGTTCGTACATCATTGGACATTAATTGAGAGTTTATACAGTGGGACCTTCACAGAGGTAGAGAGGGCTTGTATTTCCATCCCACAGAGAACAATGTTTAAATGAATTACTTGTGTAACACTTGAGTCCCTGTTACAGTAATCAAGCTGCCCAATTTCCTGCACAGATCTCAGGCTCTGATCAGTCCAACCAAGAGACTTTCAACCAGGTTTGATGTAACACTTCAAGTGTACCTTCAAACGCAGCATTACCTTTGTTCAAGCCACCATTCTAACAGTTCCTCAGCCATCAACAAACACGAAAGTGACAATAACACACCCTTGGCTACAGATTGAGTCAATATCCTCGGCACACCTACACAAGCTCTATGAACATCGTAACGCACATACCATAATATAGACTAAACTACTCTCAGCACTAACATCAATTTGTGCAATGAAGTGGTCCAAACCTTTTTGAGCGAGTTGTTTTCCTCCTTGATCTTGACGATATGTTTAATCTTCTGTTTTGATTCTGGTGGCCAAGTAGTTGAGCATACTCAGTACTCAGCTTGTTGATCTCCGCCTGGGCATTGGCACTACAACCTGGCAGCAACAAGTAGCACATTCCAATGTTCACCAAAGTCTTATTGAAACATCAACTTGATGCATCTGCTAACACCTTTTGATGGACTATAAAACAACTGTTTTCATTAATTAATGGAAACATCACTGAGAAGACTTGTTTGTACAATGCTGCACTCAGCAATATTCCAGCTATGACAACAGCCTGTAAATGATTGAGCCTGGGTCACACAAGCCTGTGATTGATACTGTGAAGACTGCTCCATCAGGCATCTCCCACTATAAGTCACTTCTTACCAGCCTCAAATTTAAACTGGAATTCTGATGGAGGTGACATGGCATCAAAATAAAAAAAATCAAGGCAAATAAGTAAACAAATTTCGTACAATTGGCAAAAGAATCCATGGGGCCTATTCTAACAAACGTTATCATAGTGTGACAAGCAATAGAGGGCTGGGGACCTATTGTAACCAGGCTCCCTACAGTGTTTGAACACATGTCTTACCTAGTAAATACTGTCTCTCTGCTTCAAAGGCATCTATCTGATCAATGAAAGGTGCAACCTTCTCCTGGAGCTCTTCATACAAAGTCTGCCACCTGACAATACATAAGGGTAAAGGTCAACCTGTGATAAGCCACCAATAGCTACTGCAGTTGCCTTTATATTTCATAAATAAATCAACCACTACGTTTAATAATGGGAAGGACTCTGGTTAACATAAAAATGATTTTTGATCTCATATTTAATGATAAATTAGGATAAACAGCTCTCATGGCAAACTGAACATTCTGATTGACCACCAGCAATAAGACCTGTGATATTAAGTAGTTACAATGACAATGACTTACTTGTGTATTTCTTGTGTGAGAGCATCAACATCAGCTGTTGCGTCCTGCTCTTCAAACTGCTGCCTCAGCACTTCTACCTGCTGCTGATGTTGATCCTGCATCTGTTCCACGTCCTGGGCCAGCAGGTTGTACTCCGACACGCACCTGCAACACATCAACAGTGTACTCTCCTGTCTACTCACTGACAGCCTACTTCCCCCAATGCCTATAGCCTACTGTCATATTGCTAAGTACCAGTCCCACTCATCACTGACAGCCTACTTCCCTCATTGCCCACAGCCTACTGTCATATTGCTAGGTACCTGTCCCGCTCCTCACTGACAGCCTACTTCCCCCATTGCCTACAGCCTACTGTCATATTGCTAAGTACCTGTCCCGCTCCTCACTGACAGCCTACTTCCCCCATTGCCCACAGCCTACTGTCATATTGCTACCTGGTCACCTGTCCTGGGCTCCTCACTGACCTACTACTTCCCCATTGCCCACAGCCTACTGTCATATTGCTAAGTACCTGTCCCGCTCCTCACTGACAGCCTGCTTCCCCCATTGCCCACAGCCTACTGTCATATTGCCCACAGCCTACTGTCATATTGCTAAGTACCTGTCCCGGCTCCTCACTGACAGCCCTGCTTCCCCATTGCCCACAGCCTACTGTCATATTGTTAAGTACCAGAGACCTGCTCCTCACTGACAGCCTACTTCCCCATTGCCCACAGCCTACTGTCATCATATTGCTAAGTACCAGACCGGCTCCTCACTGACAGCCTACTTCCCCCATTGCCCTACAGCCTACTGTCATATTGCTAAGTACCAGTCCCACTCATCACTGACAGCCTACTTCCCACATTGCCCACAGCCTACTGTCATATTGCTAAGTACCAGACCCGCTCCTCACTGACAGCCTGCTTCCCCATTGACCACTGCCTATTGCTGTCATGTGCCTACAGCCTGTCTGTCATGTTGCTAAGTACCTGTCCCGGCTCCTCACTGACAGCCCTACTTCCCCATTGCCTACAGCCTACTGTCATATTGCTAAGTACCTGTCCCGGCTCCTCACTGATTTCCCCATTGCCTGTCCTTCCCTGTCATATTGCCCACAGCCTACTGTCATATTGCTAAGTACCAGTCCCACTCATCACTGACTGACCACAGCCTGCTTCCCTCATTGCCCACAGCCTACTGTCATATTGCTAAGTACCAGACCCGGCTCCTCACTGACAGCCTACTTCCCTCATTGCCCACAGCCTACTGTCATATTGCTAAGTACCAGACCCGCTCCTCACTGACAGCCTACTTCCCCATTGCCCACAGCCTACTGTCATATTGCTAAGTACCAGTCCCACTCATCACTGACAGCCTACTTCCCACATTGCCCACAGCCTACTGTCATATTGCTAAGTACCAGACCCGCTCCTCACTGACAGCCTACTTCCCCCATTGACCACAGCCTACTGTCATATTGCCCACAGCCTACTGTCATATTGCTAAGTACCTGTCCCGCTCCTCACTGACAGCCTACTTCCCCCATTGCCTACAGCCTACTGTCATATTGCTAAGTACCTGTCCCGCTCCTCACTGACAGCCTACTTCCCCCATTGCCCACAGCCTACTGTCATATTGCTAAGTACCAGTCCCACTCATCACTGACAGCCTACTTCCCTCATTGCCCACAGCCTACTGTCATATTGCTAAGTACCAGACCCGCTCCTCACTGACAGCCTACTTCCCCCATTGCCCACAGCCTACTGTCATATTGCTAAGTACCAGTCCCACTCATCACTGACAGCCTACTTCCCTCATTGCCTACAGCCTACTGTCATATTGCTAAGTACCAGTCCCGCTCCTCACTGACAGCCTACTTCCCCCATTGCCTACAGCCTACTGTCATATTGCTAAGTACCAGTCCCGCTCCTCACTGAGAGCCTACTTCCCCCATTGCCTACAGCCTACTGTCATATTGCTAAGTACCAGTCCCGCTCCTCACTGACAGCCTACTTCCCCCATTGCCCACAGCCTACTGTCATATTGCTAAGTACCTGTGCTCCTCACTGAGAGCCTACTTCCCCATTGCCTACAGCCTACTGTCATATTGCTAAGTACCTGTCCCGCTCCTCACTGAGAGCCTACTTCCCCCATTGCCTACAGCCTACTGTCATATTGCTAAGTACCAGTCCCGCTCCTCACTGAGAGCCTACTTCCCCCATTGCCTACAGCCTACTGTCATATTGCTAAGTACCTGTCCCTGTCCCCTCCTCACTGAGAGCCTACTTCCCCATTGCCTACAGCCTACTGTCATATTGCTAAGTACCTGTCCCGCTCCTCACTGAGAGCCTACTTCCCCCATTGCCTACAGCCTACTGTCATATTGCTAAGTACCTGTCCCGCTCCTCACTGAGAGCCTACTTCCCCCATTGCCTACAGCCTACTGTCATATTGCTAAGTACCTGTCCCGCTCCTCACTGAGAGCCTACTTCCCCATTGCCTACAGCCTACTGTCATATTGCTAAGTACCTGTCCCGCTCCTCACTGAGAGCCTGCTGTTTCAGCTGTAGGGACTCCACTTTCCGGGCTTGCTCCAGCTTAACAGCCAACAACTTGGCAACTTCACTCTCTGCTGCCACCAACTCTTTCCGCACGTCATTCAACGCCTGCGTTGATGTGACGTTGATGCTGAAACAACAACAGAATGAATGAATCACTTTGAAGTCACATGCTGCTGATGTAGTGACAGGGATAGGGCATCAACACATGCCACCAGGACCACACTGGATTCTGATGTTAGAATTAGACAGGATCTTCCTTGGGAAGAAAAGAAGAGAGAGAACACCTGATCTATCTATTTATGGCATGTTTTAGAATGTAGAATCCCAAAACAGTGACCTGTGCCAACCAACTTAGAGCAGCTTGTAGATGCCTTGGAAGAAGAATGGGATAGCATTCCAAAGAACAAAATTCGACCTCTAACATGCCCTTGTGGTTGGTGTCTGCTGAACAGGGTTCTGGATCAGATTTAAATCAGTCTCAGGACTGAAAGAAAATGATATTCACTCAACCATTCTTACCAACATGAGTAAATGAGGAAATAGTGAATACCATCCAATGTCTCCACTAACCTGTGTACATCTTCTGTGAGCTTTGACTTCTCCGTCTGTAGCAACTGCACCTGCAACTGCAGATCAGCGACGACAGTCTTCCTCTTCTCACCCTCCTTCACAGCCTCCTTCAGAGAACTCAGGTCTGCCTCGGTGGTCGTCTTGTACCTAAACCAGCACAGAAACCACAGCAATTCTAGAGATTATCTTTACGCTTAAAATTCTGCAGGGGTCCTATCAGATCAGTTTATTCCTGGGTGTCATCATTTGTGGAAACAGGTTTGTGAAGTTTCAGCTTCAGGTCAGATATTTATGGCACATGACAGACATACGTCATGACAAAAGTTCATGTGACTTTTAGATGGGTGAGCTGAAACTGTAATGATGTTGTCATGTATACATCATTTACAGTGTTAGGAACTTGGACAAACTTAAGTTTTCTGGGAGACTTACGCTTCAAAGGTCTTTGAAAGGGCAGTGTTTTCTGCTTCAGTATCTGTCAGCTGAGATGCCAGGTCAGACTTGAACTCCTCGAACAGTTTGCGTTCGTTGCGCATCCTCTCCTCCAGGGCAGCAAATCTCTCACTGCTGCAGGTGGTGTCAAACAGCTTCTCCTCCGACAATCTGGATGACACCTCACACATCAAGCCAATGACAACATAGAGAAGCAACAGAGGGTTATAGGGGTTTAGTTTGAAAATCCCTCAGCTTTCAAGAAATACCGAGTAGCTGAGTAGATGGTGCTACTGGTGGCAATAAAACGACGATATTTCTATGGAGGGTTATTTGATCAATTGTTTTCGAAAAACTATATAATTACCCGCACTGTTTTGACTTAGTAAATCAATAGCAGTAAATAATCTGACAAGAAAAATATTTGTATATTTTGGTAAATTGTTTAGTTATGTTATGGTGTGAGCAGTATTGGGAATGTTCTAAGGCTGGTGACCGATGTACCCATAGGAAATATCCCAAAGAAACTGTTCTTGTCAAGTTACAATGGGGATATCTGTAAAAGCATTTGGTTCCAAATATAATACAAGGCATCTTCAGTGAGACTTCATCAAATTCCCAAACATGGAATGTTGATATAGACTCATATCTTGGTCACATATACCAAGTAGGACCATGCTGAGGGGAATGTCATCTTTAACACATCCATCTCAGACGCAACTCTCTTCACACACAGATGTATGTATCTACATATATCAGTTCCACTGCCAGTCACCCTACTAATGGCCTCAATGTACCTGTCCCTCTCCACACACAGAAGTATACATCTACAGATATCTCAGCTCCACTGCCAGTCACCCTTCTAATGGCCTCAATGTACCTGTCCCTCTCCACACACAGAAGTATACATCTACAGATATCTCAGCTCCACTGCCAGTCACCCTACAAAAGGCCTAAATGTACCTGTCCCTCTCCACACACAGAAGTATACATCTACAGATATCTCAGCTCCACTGCCAGTCACCCTTCTAATGGCCTCAATGTACCTGTCCCTCTCCACACACAGAAGTATACATCTACAGATATCTCAGCTCCACTGCCAGTCACCCTACAAAAGGCCTAAATGTACCTGTCCCTCTCCACACACAGAAGTATACATCTACAGATATCTCAGCTCCACTGCCAGTCACCCTTCTAATGGCCTCAATGTACCTGTCCCTCTCCACACACACAAGTATACATCTACAGATATCTCAGCTCCACTGCCAGTCAGCCTACTAATGGCCTCAATGTACCTGTCCCTCTCCTCCTTGAGAGCCTCCTTCTCAGCCTCCAGCTTCTTGAGGATCTGCTGCTGACTGTTCTTCACCTCCCTCAGCTGGGTTACCTCCCTTTCAGCCTCCACCAGGTGGCCTTGCAACTCCCCCTGCTTCTCCATCATGTCTGCCCTCAGGCTGTGGAACATTCCAAACAGATCCAATCCTCAAATTGACATGAGTTCAATAACAAATATAGGAACAGACTTAACAACCATATTTGCTGGTGCGAAAGGCACTTTCTGACTATAATCACAGTACCGAGTGTTGTAATAAATATAAAGGGAACAACACAAAACAAAACCGTGACGTTATTGCATGACTTGTCAGGTGAGCAGGTCAAGGTTATTGGGGGCTATTGGTGGTGTGTGGTCTCGTGCCTAGAGCTCAAATCACATATCAGTTGAAGTTAAGCAATGTTGGGCTCGGAGAGTCCTTGGATGGGTGACTGTGTTTGGCAGCTTGACTCCTTAGAGTTTCTTGGACTTCAGTCCTGCCCCACAACAAAGCACATGTTATACATATGGTCGCACCTCAGACAAATGAGTTTGTTCAAACTTGCCTCTGTTCTTCCAGCAGAAAATGGGTACCCGATGGGATAAGTCATGTGACTTTTAACCTTCTACTGCCTCACAGGCAGCTTGGGTTATCTGGAGTAATGATACTCAGATTGTAGCGCTTTGAGTGTGCCCCGTGCCCCTCTGTGGTGCGGAATTCAGCGAATTACAAATGACCTTATTATTACTGCTAGAATGGAACATGTCATATTGATACAGAAGTTTTGAATACAGACATATCGTTTAGAGAAGTGTTGAATACAGACATATCGTATAGAGAAGTGTTGAATACAGACATATCGTATAGAGAAGTGTTGAATACAGACATATCGTATAGAGAAGTGTTGAATACAGACATATTGTATAGAGAAGTGTTGAATACAGACATATCGTATAGAGAAGTGTTGAATACAGACATATCGTATAGAGAAGTGTTATAGAGAAGTGTTGAATACAGACACATTGTATAGAGAAGTGTTGAAATACAGACACATCTATAGAGAAGTGTTGAATACAGAATACACACATATAGAGAAGTATAGAGAAGTGTTGAATACAGACATATCGTATAGAGAAGTGTTGAATACAGACACATCTATAGAGAAGTTTTGAATACAGACACATCTATATAGAAGTGTTGAATACATACACATCTATAGAGAAGTGTTGAATACAGACATGTCGTATACAGAAGTGTTGATTACAGAAGTGTAGTACACAGAAGCTGTGTCTGCTACATAAGGCTATCCAAGTAAAGTTCTTCATGGATTGGCCTATCCTATAACACATTTCCCCACGTCTGCCCAAGGTGCTATATACCGACCTGCTGAGTGCGTTCTCTGCCTTGAGTAGTGTGTTTCTTGTGTCCTGGAGCTCTGTGGTCAGCTCGGCCTGACTGGACTGTAGTGTGGACTGAGCCTGAGTCAGTGCGTTCCGGGCATCTCGTAGTTTCTCTTTTAGGTCCTGCTCACCAATCTCCTTCTCTGTCTCTAGCCTGAAGCACCAAGAGATCCTAGCTGATTCACCAAACCAGTTCAACACCGGCAGCTAATCTGACAACATACCAATTCACCAGCTCCTGCAGCTAATCTGACAACATACCGATTCACCAGATCCTGCAGCTAATCTGACAACATACCGATTCACCAGCTCCTGCAGCTAATCTGACAACATGCCGATTCACCAGCTCCTGCAGCTAATCTGACAACATACCGATTCACCAGCTCCTGCAGCTAATCTGACAACATACCGATTCACCAGATCCTGTAGCTAATCTGACAACATACTGATCCACCAGATCCTGTAGGTAATATGACAACATACCGATTCACCAGATCTTGCAGCTCGTTGGCCTGTTGCTGTGTATCCTGAAGCTTCTGGAGGAGGTCCTGTCTCACATTTTTCCATTGTTCTTTCTCTTGCTCTCCTTCCTGACTAACGATGACAAGCTTCTCCTCGTAATGCTGTCTCTCACTCTCCTTCTCTGCAGCCAACCTGAAATGATCATCTCTACACTTGAAGCAGGATCAGCAATAGACTTCCCCATCACCCATAGCTGACTATAGATCCCCAGTCACTCCTTGCCCTACGGACACTTCAGTCACACCTAGCCCTACGGACACTTCAGTCACACCTAGCCCTACGGACACTTCAGTTACACCTAGCCCTACGGACACTTCAGTCACACCTAGCTCTACGGACACTTCAGTCACACCTAGCCCTACGGACACTACAGTCACACCTAGCTCTACGGACACTTCAGTCACACCTAGCCCTACGGACGCTTCAGTCACACCTAGCCCTACGGATGCTTCAGTCACACCTAGCCCTACGGACACTTCAGTCACTAGAGATCAGCAACCAACATCTTAAACACTTACTTTGCCACGTCCTCCATAGCTGCGTTGAGCTCCTCGGTGACCATGTTGAGGTTCCTCTTGTACTCCGTCAGCTGTGCCACAGTCTCCACCTTCTCAGCCTTCACTGCCTCCAGGGCCTGCTCCAGCTGGGTCAGTGTCTTCTCCCGGGCTGTGACTTCAGCCTCGCTTCTCTTGGCCATGTTCTGCAGCTGCTGCTCCAGCTGCTCCACCTTATCACAGAGCTCGCTCTCAACCCCACGGTACTTCTCCTCAACCTCTTCCAACTTGACCCCTTCTCGCACAAGATCACTTTCATGCTGCAACTTCAAATGTTCTAGAAGCTGTTCCTTCGCCTCAAGGTTGGCAGTAAGATCCTGCTTCTCAGCTTTCAGTTTGTCCACCTCGCTCAAGAGGTTGTGCTTCTCTTCCAATAATTGAGACTTCTCTTCCTCTAGTTTCTGTATTCGATCCAGATAGAGCTCAACAGTTTTCTTGTGTGATCCTGTTACTTCAGACAGCTGTGAACTCAGAGATGACTCTGACCTCTCCGTCTCCGATAACCGACTCAGTAGGGTCTCTATCTGGGATGATTTTAAAGTAACCTGCTGTGAAAGGCTGTCAATTTTGTCTTGTGTTTTGTGAAGAAGAGCATTTTTTGCTTTCACATCTTCAGTTTTAGAATCCACCAGTGCTTGAAGCTCCCTCAGGGAACACCTGGACTTGTCTAATTCAGCCATCACATTCTCAGCATTACCCTGAAAACAAGCAGTCAGCATGTACGAATGGTGGCAGCTTGTCACGAGTTAAGTTTTATCATAAATCGGATGGTTGTTTCTTAAAATCACACCAATATTGCAGCTATGTGACAGCTGTCAGGACCAGACAATCATGTGACTGATGTCATGATCTTACTTTATGGAGTTACCATACAATGACACGCATCAATCAAGCCTGACCACCTGATCCAGTTAATGGACATCATGAATGCAAATATCAAATCACCAAAACATCTTTTCCCAAAGTGTACACATGTCTACAGAGAAACACTACCAGAAACAACCTCTGACTACTTTGGTGTGATATATGCTCCAAACCAACATGTCTGAAACTTGATTGGGAAATATTTGGTGACAGATTTCAGTATCGATGGTTTTGATGGTTACTGACACCAATAATTGAAATCAACAAATATCGAACATTACAAAAGACAGAAGACTAGCAGGCTGATGTAGTGCTGGTGTCTGTTTAGATGTATTTGAAAGGTTTACAAAACTGAGTGAGTAAGTTTAGTTTTACGCCGCACTCCGCAATATTCCAGCTATATGGTGGCGTTCTGTAAATAATCGAGTCTGGACTAGACAATCCAGTGATCAACAGCATGAGTATGGTTTACAAAGGGCCTTTGAAGTGCCCTCCTACATAAACACTCCCATAAGATGTTACAGCTGTATCTTCCTTCTCGACAGTCACAAAAGAATTCTGACACTACCTAGATTATACTTATTTCTGGACTCATTGACGTGTCAGCCCTACCTTGGCCTTGTTGAGCGACTGTATGAGATCCTTGTTTGTCTTCTGACTTGTCTCACACTCCAGCTGGACCTCCTGTAGACTGGACTTGGTCACCTGGAGCTCAGCCACAGCTTTCTCGTAATCGGCCCTGTGCTGGCTCTGCTCCTCCGCTGTGGAGAACAACAAGCTAGTTGTAGTCTTCAGTACAACACAACTTTATCACAGCCACACTCAGTCCTCGACCTGGCGGACTGATGGAGAACAACAAACTAGGTGTTGTGTTCAGTACAAAACAACTATATCACAGCCACGCTCAGTCCTCGACCCGGCAGACTGGTGGAGAACAACAAACTAGGTGTAAACTTCAGTACAACACAACTACATGTATATCACAGCCACACTCAGTCCTCGACCTGGCAGACTGGTGGAGAATAACAAGCTAGTTGTAGTCTTCAGTACAACACAGCTATATCACAGCCACGCTCAGTCCTCGACCTGGCAGACTGGTGGAGAACAAAGTGTTTGGCTTGTTCTTATAGATTAAAAACATGCACGTGTTGAAGATGTGACAGTAAACCTACAGTGCCCCGTGTTGAGCTGTATGGCAGGGCCCTTCTTGGGGTGTGGATACATATTATTACAATTATGTGGTAAGCTTACGTCTTATATAAATGCTTTTAGTTGAATGATGCGAAATACTCTGTAAGAATTCCAGCTCTGAACAGGTCTCCAGCAACCTGTGTATGTTGCAGAACCAGCTGAATGGATTAGGTTACTTGGTCGATATCATATGACCCAGATGGTGTGCTGAAAGTCACAATATCATTCACTGGATTGTCTGCCTAAGACTGGGTTGGGCCACTGGCATATAGCTGGAATATGGCCAAACTGTCACAAACACTTGTTGATGTGCTGTATGCCTCACCCACCTAGCGTCTGCTCCAAGATGTGATATTTCTCTGTCAGGCTCGCGAATATTTATGTTCATCATTTCCTCTCTTCTGAAAGGCAAAGAAATTCCACGTGAGAAGACAAAAGTGGATAATAAGGAATATGGTGGACATCTTCAGAATGTATAGCATTTGTACTTAGACAACCTAATGTACTACATATTTATATCCAAATGAACTGTCAGAGATTTGGGAAATTTGGGCAGCAGACCACACTGCCATTCATGGGGCAAGCAATGCGATGGTGTAGGGAACTCACTCTTCCAGCTGTTCTATCTTCTCCATGTGTGTTGCCAACTCCGCATTCGATTCGAACGACTGTTGTTCATAGATTTCTTTCTCATCACTCAGTGTAAAAATCTCACCCTTGAGAAATCTACATAAAAGTAAGCAAGACTTTTACTGCAAGGTAAGGTTATTATTTAATTCAGTAGACTATTGATGTCCCTGTTACTATATATATACATGCTGAATATCGGCTAAAACATAATGTAATTTTCTGACTAAAATTGATATTTTATACTTATCCTGACTTATGCTAATTATGCTGGTCTCCTTCCTCTTGCGAATGATAGTGGAACACTTGAAATCACTTGAAGTTCCCTTTAAAAAAGCGGATGTAAAATCACTCACACAAGAGTAGCGTCCCTTTCCTCCCTTTGGCGCGCCCAAATGGTCACATGATCGGCCATATTTGTCACTCTCTCTGTATGTAAACCCGACACCCCGATTTACAGGGAAATCCAGAGTGCCATAAGAGGGGAGGTTGGGAGGGCAAACCTCATGAGTCAGGATAAGTATAAAATATCAATTTTAGTCAGAAAATTACATATTTTTCCTTATCCTGACCCATGCTAATTATGCATGCAGAATCCGTCGGAAACGGTGGTGGGTCAAGCCACATTCTGGATTCACTGGTTGTAGATTTACGTCCTGTATTACCCCCCTTGGGAACTTATGACAGCACTGTTGAAGATTCTTTCAACTTCTCTAATGGGTCTAGGGGGACCACAACTTGTCAGATTTCTCCGAAACTTCTCCTGACATTTTCGTGTGGATTTTAGATATACTAATATTCCATTAGTTATCTAATACAACTCCATCTCTTGATGCGTGCATCAAGTGGAGATGCGACCCTTCTTCATGTACGAGTATGTCCTATACAAGTACAGGGTCTATCACTGATGCTAGTCTGTCCTAGACATGTGCATGGACTTATAGCCATTGCTCTCCAGAGCGTTGGTTTTCACAAGTCACGTGATCAAAGGGGTGAGATTTACTCAGCGCCTTTGTGGAACTGTTAGTTGTGCTACAACAAGTGGCCCAAACTGGTGAATGCCTGAGACGTCTTCAGTGGCAATGTCTCTGAGGTAGTGGTTGGCAAACACCGTGTTCGATCTCCAAAAGCAGACCTCCATTATAGTTGTAATCGAGCAGTTTCCATGCAGAGCAAGTGTTGACGCCAGGGTTCTGACTTCGTGTGTATTGGTTCTTGGCGATAAAATCCCATCTCAGTCCCAGATGTACGATGTCACAATGTCTTGATTCAAATCGTGTTCGTTCAAAGTCCAGAGCATGTATTCAGACATCCTTGCAGCTGTTGCTAGGGCGATCAGGAACAGCATTTTCTGAGTTAGTAGTTCAAAGGATGTCCGTTCTAGAGGCTCGTAGGCATCACTGGTGACATGTTGTAAAACTAGGTTGAGATCCCAGGCAGGAGCCTTAAATTTCTTTTGTTGGTCTTGCAACTTGAACGAGCGTAGTAGTGCCAGAATCTCTGGTACTTTGGTCAGCTTGATACCCGTTTTCATGGTGATAACTGTACCGAGGGCCGCTAAGTAAGTTGAAAGTGTTGAACCTTTTAAGTGTCTCGTCTGTCGTAGATGACACAGGTATTCCGCTTTAATACGCTCCACGCGTGTAGCTGGAACAGTGTCGGGTTCCCGTGAGCTTGCTTGGTGTGAGGATGGACGAGTAGCTTTGACCACTCTGGTAGTTTCAGGGTTGGACTTCCGAGTTCTCATATGGGGATGGGAAACCATACGCTCGCCGGCCAGTAGGGCGCGACCAAAATCAGTTGCAACGTAGTCGTCTGCTTGATTTTTTGTAGTACTTGAGGTAGTAGTGCAGGAGGCAGTAACTCGTAAGCGTTTAGTCCTTCCCATGAGATGCTTAGAGCATCTGTTGCCCATGCCTGAGGATCTGGAATCGGTGAGACGAACGTTGGTAGCTGTTTGTTGAACTTTGTTCCAAACAGGTCTATTAGTAGGGATCCAAAAGTCTGTCTGATGAACTGGAATGCTTCTGGATGCAACATCCATTCCGTCGGGGATGGTTGTAGTGGAGGAGATAGGGCGTCTGCTATGACATTCCTTGCTCCCGGAATGTGGCATGCCTTCATGTAGATGTTCAGGTCGTCAACTATGCTGAACAGGAGTTGTAGCTGACGTGTTGACCCTTGTTTGTTGATGTAAGATGCCACTGTGGAGTTGTCCGTGTGTACCATGAGTCATGCGTTCTTTAGTATGCTGGACCAATGTTGTAAAGCGTTGATTACTGCTTTCATCTCCAACAGATTGATGTGTGATTTCTGATCCTGACTTGACCACTTCCCTGCTGCCACACGTTGTTGAAGTGCGCACCCCATCCTTGTAGGGAGGCATCCACGTAGAGATGAGTGTTGCAAACCGGCTCTGACAAAAAGGTCCCTCCGCAAACGTTCGACTTCCGAGTCCACCATAGGAGATATGGTTTCAGGCTGTCCGGTAGTATTAACGGATCAAGGCTGTCTAGGTGGGCGTTCACAAATACTTGTAGTGGCCGCAACTGTAGTCTCCCTCTGTGAGTCATGTCTTGAGCTGAGGTGAGTAGACCGAGCATGCTTTGCCAAGCACGTAGTGTCAACGGAGAGAGCAATGCTTGAGATATCATCTGTTGTATTTTGACCCAACGATCCTCTGGAACGGCTATACGATCAACTGGCGTCATGAGTCGAATTCCTAGGAACTGCAGATCTTGTTTCGGCTCCAGTTCCGACTTGAGGAGATGCACTAGCCATCCTAGTTGAGTGAGCAGCCTGATGGTGAAATCTAGTTGCAGTCTGAGTTGACTGGGATCTTGATGAGCTTGAATCCCTTCGTCTAGGTAGAAAGCACTGTGTAGACCTCCACGATGTAGTTATGTGACTATGGGCTTGGTCATTCGAGTAAACAACCAGGGGGCCGACGATATTCCAAACGGTAGAACCTTCCACTGGAAATGATGTCCGTTGAAAAGGAATCGTAGGTATTTCCTTGAGTCTGGATGTATCGGGATGTGGAGGTACGCATCTTGCAGATCTATGCTGGCGAGGTAGTCTGCTGGACGAATGAGATGTCGGAGCTGAGGAAGATGTATCATCTTGAATTTTGCTGGTCTGCGTAGATACTCCCGGTTGAACTTCATCATGTTGTAGATGAGCCGAAATTTCTCCTTGGAATTCTTCTTCGGTAACAGGAAAATTGGGGAGTAGAACCCGGGCGTGATGAGATCTTGATCTATCTCATCTACTGCCTCTTTGTCGAGTAGGGTCTTGATAGCATCGTCCAGTTTCTCTATCTGGTCGGCTGCATAGTTCATCGGGTTGTTTGTGAGCGGCAGAGTGGCTTCCAACTTTATCTTGTACCCTCTGCTCAGTATCTGGGATATGTAGTCGTCCTGTAGTATCCGCCAATTCTCCAAGTACCGTTGAAGACGTCCACCCACTGTTGAAGGTTGTACGGGAATGGCTGGGGGTGGAAGACTCCAGTCGTTCCGAACCTGGCCTTCAATGCTTGCTTCCACTTGCACCCCTGGGTGCTCGGCCTCTTCGAGGGTTACTTCTAGGAGCTCCGGTTGGGCGACGAAAGGATCCTCTTCCTCCTTTCATACTGGAATACTTCTTTTCTCTGGCTCTCTGGACTCCTGCAAACTTAGATTTGTTGGAGTAGCGTTGGGATGTCTGACGAATCACGTTAGAAAAAGTGTCGATGGATTTAATCATCATAACTTCCCTGGAGTCGTGAGAAACTTCTCTGACGACTTCTTCAATTCCTCCTCCGAAGATGTAAGATGATGACCATGGGGCTATGTATAAAGACTTGGTGAAGCGTTCACTCCAAGTGCATGCTGACAATAACCCTTGTCTTCTCAGGAGAGTCAAACCCGCTGAGGTAGGTGCTAGGTGCTCCGACATGAATTGATGGTCTCTCTTCTGCATAAGTAGAGCGGAGTATATCATCCGGGCTTCTTCGGCCGAGGAATTCTTGAACTTCAAGATGAGAGTTTCGTTGATAGCCCTTGATCTGGCTGATCCGAAGAAAGTACGTCTGGTGGTTGTATCCAGCTGCGCTAACTTCTTATCCTCATTCTTGTAAGTTCTTTGACGGGAATTGGTGATAATCTTGTAGTCATCATCAACCTCTGGAGCCTTCAGGAAGGGTTCCATCCTATGTAGAGGGAATTTCCTGGCGTTGAATGTCGGGATGTGTTGACTGCGACTTGGTGGCTTTATCAAAAGCTGCATTGAGGTTTTCTGGTACTTGAGAGATCGGGTTTGTCGGTGGAAAGGTAAGTATGTCGAAATCATCTTTGGACATCTTGTAGGTAAACGCCTCATCTGTGTCCTTAGAAGGTGATGATAAGTCCAAGCCATTGGCGATCCAGGAGCTAATTTCCGTATCGGAGAAGACGCCTTCACCTTCATCCTCTGATTAAGACATTTCTCGCTCCAAGGATGAACGACGACTTGAGTCTCTATAGGATGATCTATAAGATGAGCTTCGCGCAGGCGAACGATCCAGATGTGATCTTGAATCTTTCCTGGAGATTTGCGATATTTCTCTAGATCTTTGTGAAGGTGGATTCCTGGACGTAGTTTCCCCTCTGTAGGAGTGTCTTCGCACAGGCTCTTGATGGGCGTCAGAGTCCGATGGAGATGACGACTCATATCTGCGACGTCTGTAGGGTTCAGGAGAACGTCTTGCTTCCTTCCTGCGAGGAGACTTCTTAGCAACACTCTCTAGGGCATCTACTTCAGATGGGGAAAATCATGTCCGCGAGCCTTCGCGCAGGCTTCCCTCTTCATCTAGATGTGGTGGGGAGACTGTAGAGCCTTCACGCAGGCTAGTAGACGTAGTGGTCTTCATAGCAGCCTTCTCTTGAGCGAAGCGACGTTCCATCATCGACATCATCTGGTCTGTAAACTGTTACAACAGTCCCGGGTAGAAGTTCTGCGTTGTCTGAAGAGACTGCTGCAGGGATGATGCATCTGATACTGAAGAGACGTCATCTAAGGCTCGCTGCCCTCGTGAAGAGTTGATGCTGCTGCTATCTCTGGTACCCGATGTCTGCGTTGATAGTAGGTTTACTGTCAATGTCTGCGCTGATACCAAAGCCGATGTAGCTGTAGAAGCAGGCTTCGTCTTCTTACTGACAATGGTGACTTCAGGTATGAGGATGGGTGGATCATCATAAGCGTCTGCTTCTTCCGGAGGAACAATCTCGGCTGAGAAAGACCTCGTCTTCTGATTAGAGATGATCTTAGACATCGCTGAAGTCTTCATATTAGTAGCCTTCTTCTTCTGCGAAGCTGAAGATTTGGCCTTCTTTATCTGCGATGAGGTCAGCTCAGTAGACGATGATCTCTTATGGCCTCCGGCGTTCACCTCTGGTACATTGACCTGCTCCTGAGTAACGTTCAGTAATTCACTCGAATTATGAATATCTGCAGCAGTGGTTAACACACAGTTATCAGCGCAATCACTTGATTTAGACATGACTTGTGAATACCTACGTACCAAGTCCTTACCACGTCTATGGATGGAAAAAAGGTAATTAGTAAATTCAACCGAATTTAAATTTACACAGTACTCACAGCAGGAGCTGAAAGAACATGAAACAGTGCAATTAGGACATAATAAATCCGGGTCAGCCGCAGACACTTGGTACCTACAACGAATACAAGTTTTCATCAATAGTAAACATGAAGAAAACAAATGTCAAACAAAGGAAATTTTAGAACAAATTTCAAACTGTAATGTAGAATATAATCCTAAAAACCGTATACAGCAATAATTTTGATGTAAGGTCGGAAAATATAAAAGGATATATGCCGTATAGGGACCCAGGTGCTCTCACAACCATCCTCAAGGGCGATGAAGAAGAAGGGAGTGACAAATATGGTCGATCATGTGACCATTGGGTGAGTGATTTTACGTCCGCTTATTTAAAGGGAACTTCAAGTGATTTCAAGTGTTCCACTATCATTCGCAAGAGGAAGGAGACAAGCATTATAAGCATGAGTCAGGATAAGGAAAATTTCAATTTACAAGGGCACGGACTTACTCAGACAAATTGTAAGTCATAAGAAGTATTAATCAAGTTAGTGATAAAACACTTGCTGAAGGCTATGTGAGCATTCAGTTTAACACAGATTTGAAAGGCATATCATGACTTTTAAGTCACATCTTTGGGGACATATTTCATTATGCTTCCTTAGAAAAACAACTCACTGTAGTGGTATTGCCAGCTGCTTCATATGATGTGGAGTACAGCTGTAGTATATTGTGGTACAGTGACAGTACAGCTGTAGTATATTGTGGCACAGTGACAGTACAGCTGTAGTATATTGTGGAACAGTGACAGTACAGCTGTAGTATATTGTAGAACAGTGACAGTACAGCTGTAGTATATTGTGGTACAGTGACAGTACAGCTGCAGTATATTGTGGTACAGTGACAGTACAGCTGTAGTATATTGTGGTACAGTGACAGTACAGCTGTAGTATATTGTGGTACAGTGACAGTACAGCTGTAGTATATTGTGGTACAGTGACACTACAGCTGTAGTATATTGTGGTACAGTGACACTACAGCTGTATTACATCTGATATAGTTTTCAATACCTGATGGTGTCTTCACACTCCCATTGTTCCATCCGGAGACGACTCACGGTCAGCTGCAGACCTTTGTTCTGGGCCCTCAGAGCATCTCTGTCAACGTCACAATACAGCGACTAAACATCACAGTTGACTTATATACTACAAGTCATCCTTAGCATACAGAAAACTCAATCTTTGAATAGTTTCTTTGCTGGGTACTTGCTTTGACCATCTACATAACTGTTATTCTTAGTCATGCAGTGCTCTTGGTTTGAGTGAGTATGTCGGTCTTTTCTGTAGTCAGTACCAGCCACAATTAAATGCCACCAAATAGGACTTGTATCTAGGTAGCGAGACACACATAACACTGGTGTGTGGTCTGTGGTTACCTGTATGTTTGCAGGGCCTCGCCGCAGGTCTTGGAACTCTCCAGGTTGTCATCCTTACGCTGCAGATCCTCTGCCAGCTGCTCCAGCTTAGCCATTGCACCTTCGTACTTCTCTCGCATCCGCACCTTCATCTCATGCACCTTCCTCTCTGTTGTCACTCGGATCTCATGAAGGGACCGCTTGATTTTCTTTGAGAAAATATAAAGTCAGAACTGTATCATCAGTGATTCAAACATTATTTATTTGGTGTCTAACACCACATGCAGCATTATTCCAGCTATATGACTGCAGCCTGTAACTAATCCAGTTTGGATGAGACAATTCGATGGTCGATATTGAGAGCACCAAACCATACCATCAGGGTATGATGGCATTTGGTTATGTCATTCGAGTGACCATCAATTAAGCCACCTCTGTAGGTTAAATGAAATGTTTCCAAAATGCCAAAAAGTGTGTTCAAACACTGATGCATAACCCTAATAATGAGATGTGTATTCTTTCTGGATTAAATGCTGAAGTACTAAATGTGGCTGTAATGTGTATAGTATCTTGATGAAATGTATCATGACAGCGTAAGTGTGGACGAGTAGGAACCCAGCTTCTGGCATTACCTGTGTGTCATCTCTTGCCTTGTTGACCTTCTCGAAGAGGTCAAGGTCACCCTTCCCTTCTGCCACCGATCTCCGCTCTGAAGTAAACACACCCTGACATTTAACGAATTTCATGCCAAATATATTTCATTTTAATTTTTCTGGTAAATTCATCAATCCACAAATCTTGTGAAAATAACCACTAAAATAGTCTTGAAACAGTAGTCCCTGATCGTATAAGGAAAGTAAATTAAAACTAGTTGTAAAGCCAGAATATCTTTCACCAACCCTTTGCATTTTCTGTGGAATCGTGATCTTTTTCATCCTCAAAGCTTCGTTCTGAAGAAAAGGTGAATTCTTATTAGCATTTCCACATTAAAGCTTTCCTCAAATAGAAACAAACACATCAAAATTCTAGAAATCTTACATTAATTATATGTTACTGTAGAGATACATTTATTCATCAGCAAAATGTAGAAAAAGTAACCAATTTCCATTGTCTGAAAAATAACATACTGGAGCTAATCCAATATTAAAAAGTTGTCATTCAACTTTGGGAAAAGGGGACAAATGATCTGTAAACCTTAGCGATGTCTGTTGTCCACAAAGCTGCATTATACATGCACCATATGTGTTACAAAACATGATTTAAACAATCCCAGTGGTAGCAGGATATATGCATGCGAAATTGTTGTAACCGTTCATTGAGAAACTGCTCACAGGTATGTATGAAATGTGCTGACAATGTCAACATGCAATTAAATAAATCTGATTAATCATCACAGGATTCCACAGTTTGTACATGAGTATTCACAAACACCACTGAAATAACTTAACAGTGCTGTTTCCAGGTTTTCATTTTTATCTTATTTGCATACTTAGTTGATTGTGGCACTCACCCAGTTCGGACACTTTGTTGTTGAGTTTGTCTGCCACGCACGTCACCTCTCGGAGGTCCCGCATCAGCAGGGAGACAGCCTCCTCCATGGCATGTTTCAGGCCACTTATCTCCTTGTCTTTCTTCTCCAGCTTCTTCCTGGCATCTGTCAGTTCAGCCTGTAAGTTTTCATCTTTCTTCTTGCCCTCTGCCACAGTCACCTACAGTTCAACAGGTCACCATGTCTCTTGAGATAACACAGGACAAGGCCTCACTACTCCAGGGCAATGCAACACCTGCACGTCCAGTTCACCAACATCCCCTTCTAGATGTCCAATCAAGAAACCAGAAACCCATCCAACAATATCCAAACAAGTGAGGACAGAAACCCGATCAACTCCGAGCAATGCATACATCTAACCACCCCTTCAGGGGTGGAAATAACTTTAAAATTGATAGTGTACTCCGGTATAGTGGCACATGTTAAGTGACTTGCCCTGATATTTTTTCAAGTATACCGACCATTTTCTTGCTGATTTTTTAAATAAACAACATAATTAACATTGGAAAGTCAACTGGACACCGGTACAGTGTGATGTACAAATTTGCTTGCCCGACAGAAAAAAACACTGGACTCGGGCAATGGGTTATTTCCACCCCTGCCCTTGAGAACCAAAACTGGCATCATCTCTACCCTCACCAGACAAGCCATCAATCTCTCCTCTACTATCAATACTGCAGAAACCCAGCACCTTCGCCATATTTTCACTCAGTTCAACTTCTTCAACTATCCAATCAGTACCACCCTCCATCCGAAAAATAAACTGGCCACCAACAAATCTGAACAAGCACCTATCCGTATATATGAGATGTACATAAGTCGGTCCTGTGCTGTAGTACTTCACTCAACCTTGACAAGGTATAGGAATCTCTACTGAAAGGTCACATCATAATTTAAGAAGCATATATGTCATTATCTTACCACACACATAAATGTCGTTTTCGGATTGGCTGAGCGCTCTATTATTTTCAATGTACCCCGTTTACAAGCGAGTAACATTTCAATGTACCCCGCTGTCAATGGCAACTCATTTGGTACTTCGTCGTAGTAATTCTTTATCTCGATTAACATTGAATCACGTATGGTGTACGGAAATTACCGATGTTTTGCGAATGCAAATCGATGGAAAGGGAGATAACTCTAAATCTGTTTTTCTTGTCAGCAAAATCTAGCGATGGCTACAAAAAGATTTGTACCCGTGCTTCAAACATTAAGGTGTTCAGTAAGATAAATACGTTGGTCACTGGTCCCTCGGGGCCTATGGGTTGATGTACCCTCGATGTTTAGGCTCAGGGAACATAAACAAACATCGAGGGTACATAAACCCATGCCCCCCTCGTGACCAGTGAACAACTTACAATGTGTACAGCTAGCTGACCTTGGCAGAATGTTGCCATGTGAAACATATTCCTTATTCATCAGCATCGGGTTGCTATGTGAAACATGAACTTTATTCTTCAGTATGGACTTGCTAAGTGAACCATGTACATTCTTCAGTACAGAGTTGCTATGTGAAGCATACCTTATTCTTCAGTACAGAGTTGCTATGTGAAGCATACCTTATTCAGTAGAGTTGCTATGTGAAGCATACCTTTTCTTCAGTACAGAGTTGCTATGAGAAGCATACCTTATTCTTCAGTACAGAGTTGCTATGAGAAGCATACCTTATTCTTCAGTACAGAGTTGCTATGTGAAGCATACCTTATTCTTCAGTAGAGTTGCTATGTGAAGCATACCTTTTCTTCAGTACAGAGTTGCTATGAGAAGCATAACTTATTCTTCAGTACAGAGTTGCTATGTGAAGCATACCTTATTATTCAGTACAGAGTTGCTATGTGAAGCATACCTTATTCTTCAGTACAGAGTTGCTATGAGAAGCATACCTTATTCTTCAGTACAGAGTTGCTATGAGAAGCATACCTTATTCTTAAGTACAGAGTTGCTATGAGAAGCATACCTTATTCTTAAGTACAGAGTTGCTATGAGAAGCATACCTTATTCTTCAGTACAGAGTTGCTATGTGAAGCATACCTTATTCTTCAGTACAGAGTTTCTATGAGAAGCATACCTTATTCTTCAGTACAGAGTTGCTATGTGAAGCATACCTTATTCTTCAGTACAGAGTTGCTATGTGAAGCATACCTTATTCTTCAGTACAGAGTTGCTATGAGAAGCATACCTTATTCTTCAGTACAGAGTTGCTATGAGAAGCATACCTTATTCTTCAGTACAGAGTTGCTATGAGAAGCATACCTTATTCTTCAGTACAGAGTTGCTATGAGAAGCATACCTTATTCTTCAGTACAGAGTTGCTCTGTGAAGCATACCTTATTCTTCAGTACAGAGTTTCTATGTGAAGCATACCTTATTCTTCAGTACAGAGTTGCTATGAGAAGCATACCTTATTCTTCAGTACAGAGTTGCTATGAGAAGCATACCTTATTCTTCAGTACAGAGTTGCTATGAGAAGCATACCTTATTCTTCAGTACAGAGTTGCTATGTGAAGCATACCTTATTCTCCAGTACAGAGTTGCTATGAGAAGCATACCTTATTCTTCAGTACAGAGTTGCTATGTGAAGCATACCTTATTCTTCAGTACAGAGTTTCTATGTGAAGCATACCTTATTCTTCAGTACAGAGTTTCTATGAGAAGCATACCTTATTCTTCAGTACAGAGTTGCTATGTGAAGCATACCTCATTCTTCAGTACAGAGTTGCTATGAGAAGCATACCTTATTCTTCAGTACAGAGTTGCTATGAGAAGCATACCTTATTCTTAAGTACAGAGTTGCTATGAGAAGCATACCTTATTCTTCAGTACAGAGTTGCTATGTGAAGCATACCTTATTCTTCAGTACAGAGTTTCTATGAGAAGCATACCTTATTCTTCAGTACAGAGTTGCTATGAGAAGCATACCTTATTCTTCAGTACAGAGTTGCTCTTGTTGACATCCTTTATGTCCTTCTCAAGCGTGGCCACCTTGGCAATGAGAGCGGTGCGGTCGGACTGTGCATGCTGCAGTCGCCCCTCCAACTTCTTCATGTCCTCCTCCTTGATGCCGAGCTGCTTGTTGAGATCTGTCTTCTCCTGCAGCAGCTTCTTCATCTGACAACAGTTACCATGGTTACTTCAGTGTCTCCCTCCTTGCGTTTCAACAGGAGCTCTGACACTAGGAATTGTGAAACATGTCTTAGGGTGTACTTAACATTAGGAACTCTAATACCATTTGGTAAGCTGTGGCCAGTGCTGGCAAATAACAGCAGGAGTAACAGGCTTACAGTAACCTCTATCATTGTGATACATTGCATTCACATTAAATATCATGTTTATTATTTCAAGATAACCCCAGCTTATGGATCTAACTCGTAACAAGTAATTTCATCACAGGTATCAAAGGAAACTGCTATGGCTTAATTATTTGTATTCTATATTATCAATAGCATTAAGTGACAGAAATATGAAACAATACTTTCAAATATTCAGCTTTTTAAATTACTTCTTTTTCCAAAGGGCACCCCTTAAACATATTTAAAGGTGACCCATGTGCACGCTGGAAAAAAACCCTGTAATATCCAACAGTGTCTCCTAAAACATTTACCCACCTCTCGCTCGAGTTCCTTGATTTTACTCAGCATCATCGTCTCCTCCAGAGATTTCCCCTTCTTCTCCTTCAGAGACTGGAAGCAGAGTGGTTATACTAACAGCTGAGGTTATAATAACAGGGCTCAGTTTGTGGAGCTGGATTTAACCTGCAACAGGTCCATCATGTGCATGTTGACATGAACACAGGGCTTGCCCCCTGGACCCATTACCATGATTATACGTATCAAAGGTGAAGTATAGTTGCACAAGCTAGTCTGCTTGCATGAAATCTCAGATCACTTATGATTGGTGTCATGATTTGAAACAGTTAGCACTTACTGTGACAGTACTTCTGCTGCAATGTCATCAAAGGCTAATTCACAACTCAGCTAGTAGTTGACCTACCTAACAAGCATCTGACAGGCAATGGATGGGTTTTCTTTTACGAACTTCATGCATATAGATTGTAGATATAGAGTTGCAAATATATTCACTGGTCTACAGGCTAATTCTTACATAATTTCAACTAATGTAATGATATGTTAAGCCTAAAATGTCTGAAAAATGTGGCCACAAGACGACACAAAAATGTCAAGAATATAGTGCATGAATTTGTAACTCTCAATGTATAAAGAAATAACAGGCGGAAAAAGTCCTTCCATTCCCCATTTCTTTCTTCCGAAGATTAACAGAGGTAAGGCAACATGGTTCAACCCTATAGATTGTAATTAATTTGGGGCTTTTAGTTATTTTTTTGAGTTCTCTAGTAATTGTTGTGTTAGGTTTTGTTAATAATTTAGCTTATATTAATTTATAAAAATTATTTGGGATGGGGGAACGGGAGGAACTCTTACCAAATAACCTGAAAATATCTGAATTGATCAAACCAGAGACATGCTGCTGATCACTGCATTGTCTGGTCCAGACTCGATTATTTACAGACCACCACCATATAGCTGGAATATTGCTGAGTGCGGCATAAAACTAAACTCACTCAAACCATAGACAGAACACACGAACAAGGGTGACCAGAGGAAGGTGAGATGTTTCAGGTATGCAGATTGTGATGTCAGTACTTCAAGTCAGGCTCACACACTTATACCTGACCTTGTAATCTGATGACTTACTTCTGTGCTAGCAGCATGGGTCAGGGATTTCTTCCTGGGGGTGCTGGAGAACACGCCGGGGCCCGGGATTGTTCCCCGCCAACATGCTGACACCACTGATCACGCTGCATGTACTGATGTCGAAGTCTGCTGGGCTGGGACCAAATTCTGTCAACATCAGAGTATCAAACACTGAAAGTCAGCATTTGCAGTCTGTGACATTGGCAACTCTTCCCAAGACATTAGTACCTCAGCTAACTAGAGGTTTTCTAATTAATCTCTGAACCTGCTAAACTGACTGTATACAATGGGGAGGGACTTTGGATATTCACAAGGGTTATATGTCATTCCTCAAGGTTTGAACCAGAGAAGAACCAAAGTGTACAACCTTGGGCTGGTGTGGGTGCGTGGGGGGTGTTTGAGTGATAAAATATAACATCCTTTGTGACACTTACTAAAAATGATAACACCAATATTCAAGAGTGATAATCTCTATCTATCGTAGAGAGGTAGGCTTAAGAACTGCAACAGTCAAGTACTTAAGATATAAGGGGTCCCTAGATTCATATACTATAGGTGCAAACTTCAAAGACCCAAGGATCACCCTTAAATCCAAACAGTGACACTGACAAACCTTGACAAAATAGTAGCATGATTAGTGGGATTGGTCACAAGTGACAACAAAATAGCATCTCAGTCAAGTTACACTGGTCCTTTATGAATGTATGCATACTGTTGAACAGGTGCAGCAGCAATATGACCTCTACTGTAGGTCATGCTCATATCTGTAACCATGGTAATACACTAGGAATATCACTCGCAAATTGTTGTTTACTTGCCTTTGTCATTGTTGAACCTGTCCGACTTCACAAAGACACCACCATGTGCAGACTTCAGCTCTCTGGGGTCATACGCACCAACAGGAGGGGCACTGGCTGAAGGTTTGAAAACAGCATGCTCAGGGACCTTATAGATAATACCTTGCTTGGCAGACAATTTTGGATGAAAGCACAACACAACAACACACATCCATGCCCAGTGTAACCAAATATTTCAATAAACAGCTTCAGTCTTGATAGGTGAGTCAGTCTTGATACGGATAAATGGTTTGGAAAAAAGGGGAGATAACTTGTTCAGACTTAGGTCAATAACTTCTAAAACTCTGTACAACACAAATGACGGCTAAAAGATTGATAAACATGATAATTGGAAATATCGTCAGTTGGAAAAATTGTTAACAATTAATGATATGAGAATAGTGATCTCTTCGATTGGCAGTTTAGAAGTTTGTGAGTAATAAGAAAGTAAGATACTTTATTGATGATAACTTCTTTATTATATATGATGCGACGTTTCAGTGTAGATTCTTACACCGTTGTCAAGCAAGAGTGTCACATCATATATAATATAGAAGTTGTCATCCATAAACGTATCGAACTTTCCTATGAGAATAGTGTCGCTGATAATATCATACATAAACTGTTGGATGAAATAAAGTTTAAATTACTCACACATTACACAAAGTTACATGTATTATTTATTTATGAGCTGCTGCTAAAGTATGTTCAGGACACTGTTTTGTTATCACCACAAAAATATGTCAAAACTCACGAGTGATGTGAAATATGATTTCTTTTGGACTTTGTTTGTATATTTGCTGAAAGCTAACTTTCTGATATTCATCAATAAATGATAGATATTTAGTTCACGATTATCTATCTCTAATATCTATATGGGGCGGTGGGGTAGCCTAGTGGTTAAAGCGTTCGCTCGTCACGCCAAAGACCTGGGTTCGATTCCCCACATGTTTACAATGTGTGAAGCCGATTTCTGGTGTCCCCCACCGTGACCTTGCTGGAAAATTGCTTAAAGCAGCGTAAAACTAATCTCACTCACTCACTCTATTATCTATATTGATAGCCAGTCCTGACAATACTTGAAAATATTATTTTTCAATAGTAACCTTATCTCAATCTATATTGTAGAACTTTGGTTGTTTGCCTCAGAACTTAGCATTAGGGTGTGACAGATTGTGATTTAGATCTTAAGCTTAGTAGTGCATGCATATTATTTATGGGATAATACCTATTTTTTATGCTTCACACAAGATAACTGTCCTTTGGTTGTAAGAACAAGTACCATCTTCTAAATGTTTTTACAATGTTGTTGCCAGAGAATCACACCACTGACCATCTCCTTATTATCTATCAACGGTCTGTGGCATTAGGCACTAAGTTAAGCTCAGAATGGAAAGAATTCCCGTCTGTATCCCCCCTCAAATTTCATTCTAGCCAAATCAGATCACCTGAATATATATTCATTATCTCATAAGGATGAGTTTTAACATGTTTCTTTAATTGTATCTGAACATACTGAAAGACACATCAATCTTCTTAAAATGCCACTCAAAGAAATGTTTCCTCATCATTAAAATTTAAGGGGGATACGGGCGTACGTCTTACCCTGCTATATATGGCTGCACAGGTAATCAAAACATTGCTAATAAGCATGAACAGTTTGACTATATCTTATTTGATTTTACTTTGAACATCTGAGGCCACCAAATGATATTCTTATAAGTTTGGTAAGTGTTTTTGTAAGTTTGAAACTGTTGATGTCCATAATTCCCTATATCTCATGATTTGAAGACTTAGTTAGGTAGTAACATAGGCATGATCAGGGGCGCGGTGGGCGAGCTGGCTAAGGCGCCAGGCTAGTGATCCAGCGTGGTTGAGGTGATGGGATCGAGCCTACCACCTGTGACCGGGTGTAAAAACCTTAGAGTCAACTTTGTGTGCACTCTTTCAGTGTTGTCACAACCCCTAGTGTACAGTACACAAGCCTGTGCACTTAAAAGAACCCACAAATCTGTTGGTATATGACCAGATGGTGGCCACATGAATACATGCAAACACCTAGTTGCGGGTACAGCAACATGCAGTGAACTTGGACAAAGTACTGTGACTATGTGTCCCAGTCCACCCAGCTGTGAATGGGTACCTCGTAAGGATGAGAAAGCCACAATAACTCAGTGCGCCTAGTGGCTGCAAGAGTTGAATACTCCCCAGGGAGTTGAGATTGATAATGCGATGTGCCGTTGACATTGACATACAGTGATCAAGGGAAGAAAATACCAGCGCCTTGAGCATGCACTAGTTGCCTGGATATATGCGCTATATAAATATCCTATAATAATGATGGCGCACATACAAGTGAGTCCGTTAAGTCTGCGCAGCTGCAATAGCGTACTTTCGTATCGAATGTAAACATCGTCTGCTACCACATTAACGCTTGAAATCTGGACATTTCTATAAGGGACTGGCTCTTAATCACTAAAGGTAAGTAAATAACAGTAATTGACAATTTTATGAAAATTCGTTTTCTTAAGACTTTAAAACCTTTTGCTTCATTATTCATAATTGGATTTAATATGAAACACTCTTCCTTACATTGATGAAGTGATTTTTGAAAAAATCTGGCCCCAATACGCTTCCATACTACGGATCTCCAGCTGGATGTTATGCATCAGTTGCTGCGCAGAATTACCGGACAGCAAGCGATGTCAGTAGAACGCCAGTAAGGTCAACCATATGGCATAACGCAACGTTAGAATCTTATAGTCGTCAATAAAACTTAAATTTCTAGGTAAATATGATGCACACCAGCATGTTTAGTCAAGTAAACCACAAAAAATAAGAGACGTTAGTTGCCGTGTTGTGATTGTTGTGCTTAGATGCGCGGAATTACCAGACGGCATTGTAATGGTCTCTGGTGTAGGAGCTTTGGCATTACGTTGTGGTTGGGGATTTGATACAGCTATGAAAAAATGAAGTTTCATAAAAGAAATAATGGCTAGAATGCACTTTACCGGGCGCAGCCCACGCTGCTTCTTCTACGATCCTTAGGGTTAGGGTTAGGGTATGGCACTCTTTACGATCCTTAGGGTTAAGCACCCTTTACCATTGTTTATTATCCTTAGGGTTAGGCACCCTTTACGATCCTTAGGGTTAGGGGATAGGGAAACCCAGCAGCGCTAATTAATCTGAAAAAGTGCGCCCGGTAAAGTGCAGTACTCCCGAAATAATATAGGAGCGCACAATAAATTACTTCGGGATGTGATGCAGACAATGTGAACTTTAGCCCTATTAATTTTGAAGTGGTCTTCAGGTGTCAAGGTCTGAAGACGAGCAGCTTTTCTGGATAGATGATCTGAATGAGAATGTGGTCTGTGGCGAACATACACACCTTTGACTTCGTTGAATCTTTTCAAACTTGCTTTTGAAAACGACATGGCGATTCCAGCAGGAATGCAACAGATTTCAAACAAAGAAGCCCATAGACTCGTCCCACCACAACAAAAATGTTTTGAAGCAACCGCCGAGTTGCACAGGTGCTCTCCTGCCAATCAAATATCACTTCCGGTAATGAGATACTACTTCCTTTCAAACACATTTCAAATGCCAATCAAAGAAGACATTTCAAATGTGTAAGTAAATAACACGATGTCTGTCCTATAGTAAGAAACATTTGCATAATCATTTTCTGTTGGTGCTGAAACGTTGGTAGGGATTGTATCCATGTTTTCATGTTTGAACAGCACAAAACAAATTTATTAGAAATATTAAATATCCAATTATTCTTTAAAGACTTTATTTTCTAGTGGTTCAGGAATATTACCTTTATGAAATGCATCGGTTCAACTGTTTGACTGGCATTTAAGAAGTTGGTGAGTGATAAGAATCCATACCGAAAAATCGCATCATATGTAATAAAGAATTTGTTATCCATAAAGAATCTTACTGTCTTATGCATCGGTTTAGTTTATTACCAAATTTGCACCACATAAATATTATCTACAGTAAAAACCACATATCTGTGCCATATAGAAAATGTTTGTGTCAATATGTGGTGTATTTTAAAACACAGGTTCTCCTACGTCATGGTTCCGCGTTTGGGAGTGTTCTATTTAGTTAATTACTGTTTGGTAGAATCGTGTTGACAATCTGTGGTTTGTCTTACCCAGTCTTAACCATTGGGCTGGAGTTTTGCTGAGTTCAACACCAACATCACCATTAAATCCAGTTCATCAGTCGTCCTCAAAATACACACATGGAGAGGATGTTGTTCAGTAGGACAGACTCACATTCCTTCTTATTTTGGAAGAACAAGAACCTCTTGCAATTTCTATATTTCATTTTCTTGAATTCAAGACCTTTTCTTAAAATCAACACACATTTTAATCAAGACGTATCTAATATATCTCATATAATTTTTTTATACATAGGGAATCTTACAATTCATCCAAAGCATTTTTCATTTTGTTTGGTGTTATCGGTTTTGTTCTGTTGGTGTCCATGACTGAATGATGGTCGTCATCATCATAACATGATGTGTGATGAGACACGTTGTACAAATGTATTAACTCTTTTGGCCACATTCCATGATTAAGTGTAAACATCTTTTTAAGTAGAATCCGACTTTCTTCCGAAACTTCTCAACTGAAGTTCGTGCTTTATCTCTTTTGAATAGTTGACATGAATACTGTTTAGCCACATTTGTTCTCGATCTTGACGAGACATCGCGTTAGTTGGCGAAGCGGAAGTCAACAGAAGCTTTTGCTGAACGTTAACTTTTCTTAATTTGTCACTGCTGTTTAATAAACAAGGACAGCAACATGCCGGAACGTATGTTTAGCCTTTTTAACTTAAACATTGTTGGCATTTAAACATTACATTGAAATAGAGCTTTTGTGTATATGTAGTTGCAATTTACACATTTAAAATGAAATGAGTTGATCTCCACACTCCGACTTTAGAATCCCATCTGCATATGTGGTTGTGAAAAAACTGGTGCATATTAAACAATACCCGTTGATACATTGATGAATTTAACGTGATTTACAGGTAAGTTATGATAGGCCCCTGTCTCAATGTAAACATATCGCTTCAACTTTGTCAACGCTTTCAACATAAAATTAGCTCTAGTCTAATCGTATGACCAAGACACTAGCCTTCTCTTCATCATGTTCATTGGGTCCACTCTTTAGTTAAGGATCTATTCCAGTACACTTTGTAATGTAGTGTGTGGATGACATTAAGCTGCGGTAGGGTCTTACAGTTGAGACATGACTTGTACTTTCTTATGGATTGGTATTTGAATTATGGAAATGTACAACACGACTTTTTCGGACATCATGTACGTTTTCGGACGGCAGTGTAATCTGGGCTTTAATTTGGGATGTTGCATCACACAGACATTGTCAGGGCCTACCTTTAGAATACAGCACCACAAACTTTAAAAATACGTCATAATACCCTTATACGTAATGTAATGTCATTTTCTTCGAAAGCACGTTCTCGACACAGTGCCCAATGATCCGATGCCCAATGCACCATGGCAACACGGTTGTCTTATATTTATAATATATCTTTCTTTTTTCACTAATACACTCATATAATTTGTATTACAGGGTGCTGAGGTGTTTTGTTTAGTGTATTATTGTATTTTGTATTTTTTAAATTTAGCAAGAATGCGTTACACCGGTCTATATTATATATATTCGATTTTTCGCAATTTTGGTCAATGTAATTATTCAAATTATGTAAATATATTTTATATTTCGGTTTCTAAGTAACTATTAAGTCTAAATGATTTACCAATGTGAACTGACATACATATATATTTTTTTCATTCAGTATTTTGCACCATTTAGTAGAAAAGTTTTTTATTAGTATTTTATTTTTCGAAGCAGTAATAATGCATTACACTGGACACGTCAGTTTTGTTTGTGCCGGTTCAGTCATTGCATTCTATTATTTAGGATTATTTCAAGGGGTTAGGGCTGAGGGTTTAGGGTTAGTATTAGGGACCTAATCCAATATAGTAGATGTCATGTCGTGTGACAGTTGTATCAATGTTTTAATAAAAATATTGTACAATAAATAAAAATCTTTTTGATCTATTATACGGCCCCCACCACTTGGAGTTACGCATGCGCAGCCAACCAGGTAAGCACCTAGGCCCGTGTCATCATTCCTTCTGCTGTCACTCAAGCATTCACATGTGTTTCGAGTATCATAGCTAAATTACTTCTCTTGTGAAAAGAATGTCTGAGACTCCAACAACTGTATGTATGGTCTTTATTCGTTCTTGACAGAACAGTTTTATTGACTTTGCAGTCTGTTATTTCTCTTTTATGTGACTTTGTATTAAACTTTACGCTAGCTTTCCCGTGGTTTACGCACGTGTTGCTCTTCCATGGCGGGAAGTTTAGCGTGCCACGTGGTTGTCATATTGCGTTATTATTTCTTCCTGTGGTCGCTTTCACGTAATTTTCAATGTTTTGTACGTGTATATTTATGCTGCTGGTTCTTCTGTTAGCTACATGCTTGCGTGTTTGCTTTCAGGCGTTTACTGGGTGTTTTGTCTATGGGCAGAACATTCCGAGAGCCGACAACCACAATTGCTTGTGCTGCCTTGAAAAGGTGGGACATAACCCCGATGTTTGTGAGCTTTGTATGGCCTTTTCCACCCGGGCCCAGAAGAGAAGGGCGGCGGATTTCCTGTTCTATAAGGAATTGCAGAGGCGGGAGGGGAACTTACCCAGGAGGTCCCCCCCGTCTAAAGCCAAAAAGTCCAAACCAACTAAAAAGGCTAGGTCGCATAATTCGCCTCCCCAGTCATCTCATAGTGGTTTTGATATGTCACTAATTACCCAGTTGTTCCAGCAGCATATGGACTCTGTGAAGTCCCTTGTTTATGAGTCCGTTGGAGGTCTCCGCCAGGAGTTCCTCGCCCACTCTGAACAGGGGACCGAGAGTCCGGGGATGGGATCGCCGAGCCTGGCTAGATCCCTTAGCCTGGAGGTGTCTGTTGATCCTTTGCCCTTGGTACAGACACCCCAGCTATCCCAGAGGGGGAGGGTTCGCTCCCAGTCCCCCTCTCGGTGCTGGCGCAGGGTCTGTTGAGGATTCCTGGGGTTCCGTTCTCTGCGCAGCCCCGCCCCATGAGAGCGGAGGAGTCGGTTCTGCCCGGTCTTCCTCCCGTGTCTCGGGACCAGGGTTCGAGTGGTGTGTCGGTTGCCGGAGCGGGGAGTTCCTTTGGCTCTTCCCTTCCCTTGGTGTCTGGGGCTCGGCCTCCCACCGGGTCGGTTAGACCCAGATTCTAACTTAGGCTAACTTGAGTCGTGATGTTGGGGAGGTCGAGGAGCCGGAGGGCACTTTCCGCTTCTCGTCGGCTCTCCGGGAGGTGCGGAAGCGTATTATTCCTAGTATATTCCCCAAGCCGCGGTACCCACCTGTCACTCGGACTCAGCTGAGTTCCGTCTGCCGGGCGAGGCGTTTGCCCCTAGGCAACCCTCGCAGACATTGCTCCGCATCTTGCCTTCCCTGGTGATGGATCCCCTCCTGGCTGGGACACGCCTCCGATTCGATTTACCCGAACTCGTTAAGAGGTACCAACTGGGGGACGATACTCTGTTCTTTGTGCCGGTGGTGGACGAGTGAGTGTTCACTTCGGTCGTCCTCGGGGGGAGGCTCGGCTTCCTCTGATGCAGCCCCGGCTGCCAAGCAAGGGCGTTTAGTTTCACCATTTGCCCTTGCGGGCGCCCTCCTGCAACAGGCTTACCAGACTTATGAGGAGGTCTACCGGAATGCCATGCAGCAGGTGCGGGTGGTGATCCATGAGGCCTACCTTTCCTCTGTCCACAGGTCGGCTCTGGAGGCTGAAGGGAGCACTGGGGACGTGTCCTCGCATGTTGTTCTGCTTCGCCAGTTGGCCGAAGTGCAGGCCCACCTAGCGCGCGACTCTTTGTGGTCTGTGGCGTCTACGGCGATGCGCGCAGTCATGGGGATGCCTAGTCATGTGGCTGTCTACGTCCCGCTACTCGGCAGCGACACAGCAGACCTTGCTAGCCCTTCCGTTCTGGCTGGGAGCGACGTTGTTTCCGGGGGCTCAGCAGGTCATTCGGGAGGCTGCTGCTGCAGCTACCTCCTTCAAGGACTCTAAGGCCTTTTTGGAGAATCCGCGAGCTTCTCTCCCCCGCGCTTCCGTAGCGGGTTCCAACTCCGGGGCGCAGCCTACCCCCGAGTCTGCCGTCTGGCTCCGGCCGCTGGGCAGGGTTAGGAGGAGGACCCGTCCAGCCAAAGGTAAGGTCTAGGAGCAGTCCTCTTGGTCTGGCTCCCAGCCTTTTCGCGGTCGCGGGAGGTCTGCCCCGACCTCCCGTAAAACCTGCAGGCTGTCGCAGTGGGTCGGTCCCAGTCAGTTCGTTTGCGACCGGACATTCTCACTCAGAACAGCGCGCCATACCCCAATCTTAGGATTCAGTGGGTGGCTTGGCCTCTGTCAGGTCTAGCCTCGAAGCACGCGGAATTCCTGCAGCAGTTGCAGACACAATTCTAGCTTCGGGGCGGGATTCGACAAACGTTCAGTGTGAGGATAGGTGGTCCAGCTATGCGCGCTGGTGTTCAAATAGGGGGATTGCAGATTCCTTTTCTGCGGATTTAGTCAGAGTATTTGAGTTTTTGCAAGCTCGTTTGGAAGAAGGCTTGGCGGATTCGACCATTCGTGGCTACTCCACCGCTATTTCCACTTTTCACACCCCTGTCGATGGTGCTCTTCTGGGGCAGCACCCACTCGTGCAGCGCTTTTTAGCTGGCGTGGATCGGGTTCGACCTGCTGTCAGGTGAACCAGCCCACCTTGGGATTTGTCAATTGTGCTAGATTGGGTGTCCGGTCCTACGTTCTCACGTCTATCAGCTATTTCCATTCAGTTGTTAACATGGAAGGCCGTATTTCTGGTGGCGGTAACATCTGGGTGTAGGGTCAGCGACTTACATGCTATGTCCGCAGACCCAGCACTGACTGTGCTCCATCTCGATCGTGTCAGTATTCGCCTCCCAGATACTTACCGCCCCGAAGGTCGATCACGCTTTCCATGTGACAGCTCCTATCGAACCTGCTACTCTTATCCAGCACTCACCCATTGGATGTCCGAAAGACTCTCAAGGTCTATATCAAACAAACACAGGGGATCTGTATGGGTACCCATCTGTTCTGCTGTTACGGTGGCGGGAAGGCTGGGATGCTGGCGAACAAACAGACCCTGTCTCGATGGCTTGTTTCGGTCATTTGTGCTGCTTATGAGGCTAAAGGCAAGCCTCCCCCTGAGGGGTTGAAGGCTCACTCGGTCAGGGCAGTAGCCACGTCAAAAGCTTTTGCATCGGCACTACCCATTGAAGAGATATGCTGTGCCGCTATTTGGAGCAGGCCTAGCACTTTTATCAGGCACTATCAGCTCGATACACATTCACGTGATCATGCGCGTTTTGGCCGTTCTGTTCTCTCCAGTGGACAGTGTCCTGCCACCCTGACCGAGTGAGTCTTGGTTATCTGGTTAGTTGATGCTGCTTTCAATTGTGTTTATTGATATATCCGCTGTTGTGTGATCTAACTTCTTTCGATTCTCTCCGGAGATTATGGTCGGTTGTGAGTTGGTTTTTCCCCCCTACGGTGCTCTCTAATAGACCATGATGTGGGTGGGGTTGTTTATTTTCGCACTGTGTGCGAACTTGCTCTGCTTAACCTACGAGGTCGGTTCTAAGTACCTATCCTCCCTGTCGTTTACCCTCCCATAATGCCTCTCGCGGAAGCTCCGGGACACGTGACAGGTGAGTGTTGTGGCGTCTGTTACATTATTCTTAACAATCGCTATTCATGTGTACTTTGACAGAATTCCCTCCTCCCTGGCCTCCGGTCTTTGGGAGTCTGTGTTTATGCATATATGTACCCCAAGGACGATCTCTCTGAAAAAGAATTAACTAAACCTGCAGAGGTTTCCAATTCTTTGAAGAGAGTCGTCCTTGGGGTAGGGCCGCCCACCTCCCCGCAATTCTGTTCACTGATTTATTCAGCAGAAGGAATGATGATACGGGCCCAGGTGCTTACCTGGTTGGCTGCGCATGCGTAGCAGGGAGGTAACTCCACGTGGTGGGGGCTGTATAATAGATGAAAAAGAATTTATTTATTGTACAATATTTTTATTAAAACATTGATACAACTGTCACAGGACATTTTCAGCCGCAGAAAATGCATATATGTAACCCAAGGATGACTCTCTTCAAAGAATTGGAAATCTCTGCAGGTTTAGTTAATTTTTGTAGGTTCCAAAGTCAATAACCGCCTCCGTGGTGTAGTGGTTAGAGCGTCCGCCCGGAGGTCGCTGGTTCGATCCCCGACCGCGTCAAACCAAAAGGCATTAAAATATAGTACTTGTTGGTCCTGCCTGGCACTCTGCATTAATGGGTACAAGGACTGGTCGGCTCGGAGTCAGTAAAATGTGTCGGAGTGGGGTATTCATGCTTCACTGCGGCATGGTATCTCAGTTGGCAAGCACTATAAAACCAGCTTCAGTCTGGGCTAGTACAAGGAGCCACACATCCACATACACACGCATGCACTTCGTCATATGAGCGAAATATTCTCAAACACGACGTTAAACCCAATGTCCCCTCACCTCACCAAAGATAATACTTTAGATATACACTGTATTACAACTGAGACGTATTTACACAAACAATAAAATTATAACATTGTTCATGCATTTTTATACCTTTGTTAAGGGAAAACCAAGTTCTATGGATAGTCAACTTCTTTATTGCAATGAGTGTACTCATAGGGAAGTGTACTCATTGCAATAAAGAAGTTGACTATCCATAGAACTTGGTTTTCCTTTATCTATACAACTTCTAAAAATGCATCTCAAAGAAGATATACCTTTGTTGTTCAAGGTACATTATCCTTATTCACATATAGTTAATATGCATCTATACACATGATACAAGTGCACAAAACTGCATCTACGATTTCCGTGATGGACTGCCAATGTCAGTAATAGAAGAAAGATAACAGCTAGAAGAAACTTATTACAGTAACAGTGGGGAACAGGACATTTTTGTTTAAAAATAAATAGCATTTTTTTGTAACATTCTTATGTCTGTTTTACATACACACATGACAATCTGACGGGAAAATGTGAATGTTTGCAAAATGTGAATTGCAGACTGATGTATTGCAAAACTGTTTTATATATTGAGTTTTATAGTCAACATGTATGGTGTATGTTTCAGGAGAGATGGAGGTGTTCTCCAACCCTCTCCCACCTGTCAATCATCAGCAGGATCCAGATGATGATGACGCCCACCCTCTCACAAATGAAGACTTCAGGAAGATGTTGATGACCCCTAGGGGTTCGGCATCAAGCTACACTGCCACAATCAACAAGGCTACGTAAGTTCTGAATACATCAGTTAACAATCAGTTGACAATCTGTAAAAGCATTGACCTGTTCCTGTAGGGAAGTTGATGAGGGAGCAAGTGCTTGCTATGACATGTCATGAGAAAGCAATTTAACACATGTACTTGCTCTTTTATACTATGTATCAATTTGCTGTCAAAACTCTAAAGTAGTATCTTTGTTTGTGAAATGTTGCACATGCTGAGTTCAACAGCCATACTCTTGCTTCTACTGATGATATCATGTTGAGAAATATTAGTGTTTAATTATGAGCTATACCGACACTATAAGAACAACACCAACAGAAACAACAACTAAGGTGTATCGGTTCAGCAGGAGTAATCTTGACTCCCATAGTAGTGATCATGGGGAACTAGAAATATATTTGATATCACTGCTGAGGTGTCTATTGCTGACTTTGTATATATTACCATGGTTACAGGGCACTGAGGAAGGAGGAAGATGAGGATGAAGATCCTGCCACCAGGAGGCAGAAGAAGAAAAGGTTGGTATGCATCTTACAGAGATATACCCGTGAAGGACCTGGGTTAGAATACTGATCTTCAGTAATCCATGCTTGTCGTAGGAGACTAACAGGATTGCGTGATCAGGCTCGCTGACTTGGTTGACACATGTCATCGGTTCCCAATTGCGCAGATCGATGCTCATGCTGTCCAGACTTGATTATTTACAGACCGCCACCATGTAGCTGGAATATTGCTGAGTGCAGAGTAAAACTAAACTCACTCACTCCCTCTTACAGAGATAATTGTTGGGTGTTTACATGTATTGAGTAATCCATCATTATCTTTAGGGAACTGTTACCCCACAGTCTGTGCCTGGAGTGCTCCATCCATCGGTTTCATGTCAAGTTTCTGATATAAGTTCACATTCACTTAGTACATGTGTTCAGTCAGGACAACATAAGAGAGACTGACAACCCTGATTACATTAGGAAAGTGCACATTATCCGTTCACAAAAATATATATGCATCTTATTTTAAAAAGAAGATTGAGTCATGGTAGCAATGCTATTGTTAAAGATTTGTTTAGGTGAACATATGTCGAGAATTGAAGATTTGAAATGCAAAGTTGAGTCTTAGATTCCTGGCAATCAGTTATGTATATTTTATATGGGACCTCTAAAGTTGTTAGCAAGCTTCATAATGGTAATGAAATGTTTACCTACAAAGCTTTGAGGCATCAGTTACACCTTTCTGTCAAGTAACCCAGGAACTAAAGGGGCAGTCTCAGTATACTGAGATCCCACATTAGAATAAGATCTTGTCCTCAAATTATTCTATCCAAATCTAATAATTTCAATTGGTGTAAAATGATGTATAACAAAATCTGGTCCAAGTTTTCATTGTAAGAGTGACAAGGCCAATTATCATGAGTAAAACATCTCTCAGCTGTAGCACGACAACTGAGGGTTATATGCGAGTCGTGTTGTGTGAGGTATCATCATAGGCGGATCCAGAAGGGGGTGCAGGTGGCCTGACAGTTTATTAAATGACCATTGAAACTTGGGTGAAAATGAAATGTGCACCCTCCCTTTTCTCAATAGTACCCCCCTCCTTCTAAAAATGCTGTATCCACCCCTGTGTCATGTTTCAGCTACTATGCCAAGCTGAAGAGGATGGAGGAAGAGAGACAGAAGGAGCTGGCAGACAAATACAGAGACAGGGTGAGTTCCAGTAGATCACACACAAATACCAAGAGGGGGTGATTTCTGTAGATCACACACACATATAGTACCTAACTCAGGCTGGATGTGCTGCATAAGGGAGGTAACTCTCTTAGTACTAGTCCAGATTGGCAGTACCATGTACATGCTTCATTCAAGTTTAATGACACTTTTATACTTATATGCAGCAATATATCTGAAACCTGGATGCAACCAGTATTCTTTCTTAGCTCAATCTTCCTAACTGAGAAATGTTCACACTTGACCCTCTGTATAAATCATTAATCATCTGACCAAGGTATTTGAAAAACTGACAATCATTTTGTGAAGATTTTGAAAGATGCTGGAATGTGGATGGAATTTAGAATTATCCTAAGTGACTGATATGAGCATGAAATGACCTGTCTCCCGGCAGGCACGGGAACGGCGTGAAGGGTCCAACAAGGACTACGCAGAAACTGAGATCATCAGCACCACCGCAGACTACCGAGCAGTGGCCCCTGACGCCAAGGCGTAAGTTGAAGCACTCTTTTGCCATGTCTGCTGTAATGCTGGTCACCTTATGTTCATTGCCGGTATGAGCATGATCAAACTTTATTGCATTGTTTCATGTTGACTCCGACCCGTGAAGATCCGGGGTAGAATAGGTCTTCAGCAACCCATGCTTGCCACAAACAGTGACTATGCTTGTCGTAAGAGGCGACTAATGGGATCGGGTAGTCAGGCTCGCTGACTTGGTGGACACATGTCATCGGTTCCCAATTGCGCAGATCGATGCTCATGCTGTTGATCACTCGATTGTCTGGTCCAGACTTGATTATTTACAAACCGCCACCATGTAGCTGGAATGTTGCTGAGTGTGGCGTAAAACTAAACTCACTCACTCACTCATGTTGACACCCAAGCTGAAACTACACAGTTAACCTGGAATCAGTGTGTGAGAAAACTACTGTGAAACCAACAAATTAACAATTGTATTCTATGTTAAAAAATTGATACAAATCAATGCAGAGGTATATCCATGGCAGTACAAAACAGAATCCAGTACAAATTCCGAGGTAATACAAGAGTAGTGATTGTAGCACTAAAGGCAGTGATGTAATGTTTACCTCTCAGTGATACTATTCCAACTTGGAAGCAAGCATCCAGGGTATGATGAACATCACATACAATGCTGGTCATCTTGTGGCTTGAGATTTAATGTCAGAAGAGAAGCAAGAGTTAGTTCCCCTTATATCCAAAACAAAATGCCATGAAAATTGTACGATACTCAACGATGCGTAACACTCTGGAATCAGCACCTTTTAATACACTTCCTAGTCTCTCGATAATATTCTCGGTGGCAGGGTAGCCTAGTGGTTAAAGCGTTTGCTCGACATGCTGAAGACCCGGGTTCGATTCCCCACATGATTACAATGTGTGAAGCCCATTTCTGGTGTCCCCTGCCGTGCTATTGCTGGAATATTGCTAAAAGCGACGTAAAACCGAACCCACTCACTCACTATAATATTCTGTGGGTCAGAACATGGTGGAAGCCTCTACAATTGTCAAAATATAGAGCACGCCACCTCCCCCTACTGAATATCAACAGCTATAATGTGTTACACTTGGAACATTGTATCACAATGAATAACACTGTCACATGACAGTATGCAACCCAAAATACTGTCTAAGATTTTCAGTCAGCATCCAGAATAGCTAGCACTGTTTTTGTCTGTGTGGCTGGTCCATGTTTGGAGAATCCATCATATTTACTATTTCAGGGGAGAGAACTATGCTGAGCGTCGGAAGCAGCTGATCCAGGAGTCTAAGTATCTGGGAGGTGACATGGAGCACACTCACTTGGTGAAGGGGTTGGACTACGCCCTGCTGGAGAAGGTAACAGTGAAAGACACTAACACACTCAAACAGACTCTTGGCATGCTGGAGAAGGAGACAGCCAGCCAGCAAGCCACTTTCTTTCTTTCTTCTTCTCTCTCTCAAAATAGTACAATGTAATCAAGTACTGTATGTTATAAGTATGTAGCCGATGATAGTACTGTATGTTACAAGTATGTAGCCAATGATAGTACTGTATGTTACAAGTATGTAGCCAATGATAGTACTGTATGTTACAAGTATGTAGCCAATGATAGTACTGTATGTTATAAGTATGTAGCCAATGATAGTACTGTATGTTATAAGTATGTAGCCAATGATATGTACTGTATGTTATAACTGTATACAAGTATGTAGCCAATGATAGTACTGTATGTTACAAGTATGTAGCCAATGATAGTACTGTATGTTATAAGTATGTAGCCAATGATAGTACTGTATGTTACAAGTATGTAGCCAATGATAGCCAATGTTATAAGTACTGTAGCCAATGATTACAAGTATGTATGTTACAAGCATGTAGCCAATGATAGTACTGTATGTTTATGTAAGTATGTAGCCAATGATAGCCAATGATAGTACTGTATGTTACAAGTATGTAGCCAATGATAGTACTGTATGTTACAAGTATGTAGCCAATGATAGTACTGTATGTTACAAGTATGTAGCCAATGATAGTACTGTATGTTATAAGTATGTAGCCAATGATAGTACTGTATGTTACAAGTATGTAGCCAATGATAGTACTGTATGTTACAAGTATGTAGCCAATGATAGTACTGTATGTATGTTACAAGTATGTAGCCAATGATAGTACTGTATGTTACAAGTATGTAGCCAATGATAGTACTGTATGTTACAAGTATGTAGCCAATGATAGTACTGTATGTTACAAGTATGTAGCCAATGATAGTATGTACTGTATGTATGTTACAAGTATGTAGCCAATGATAGTACTGTATGTTACAAGTATGTAGCCAATGATAGTACTGTATGTTACAAGTATGTAGCCAATGATAGTACTGTATGTTATAAGTATGTAGCCAATGATAGTACTGTATGTTACAAGTATGTAGCCAATGATAGTACTGTATGTTACAAGTATGTAGCCAATGATAGTATATGTATGTTACAAGTATGTAGCCAATGATAGTACTGTATGTTATATAAGTATGTAGCCAATGATAGTACTGTATGTTACAAGTATGTATATGCCATGCTTTCATATATAATATATATATATATATGTTATATTATATATTATATATATACTATATATGTTATATATATGTATATATATATAGTACTGTATGTTATATATATATAATATATATATAGTACTGTATGTTATAAGTATGTATATATATATATATATGTACTATATGTTTCATATATATATATATTGTATATAATGATATGTATATATATGTTATATATTATGTATATATGATATACTTATATATATATATATATGTATATGTATATATACTGTATGTTATATAGGTCATGTATATATATATATATATATGTATACTAGTATGTATATATATATATGTACTGTATGTTACAAGTATGTAGCCATGTATTGTATATGTGTGTATATTATATAGTATGTATGTAATATATATATGTACTATATGTATGTATATATGTATATGTAGCCAATGATAGTACTGTATGTATGTATAAGTATGTAGCCAATGATAGTAATGTATGTTACAAGTATGTAGCCAATGATATGTACTGTATGTTACAAGTATATAGCCATAATTATGTACTATATATTATATGTGTATGTTATAAGTATATGATGGTATGTATGTTAATGATAGTATGATGTATATGTTATAGTATATGTGTATAATGATAGTACTGTATGTTATAAGTATAGCCAATGATGTGTACTGTATGTTATAAGTATGTAGCCAATGATAGTACTGTATGTACAAGTATGTATGCCAATATATGTATGTGTAAATGTATATATGTACTGTATGTTATAAGTATGTAGTAATGATAGTACTGTATGTGTGTACTGTATGTAAGTATGTAGCCAATGTGATATGTAAGTATGTATGTATGTTATAAGTATGTAGCCAATGATAGTACTGTATGTTATAAGTATGTAATGTAGCCAATGATAGTGTATGTGTGTACTGTATGTTACAAGTATGTAGCCAATGTATGTAGTACTGTATGTTACAAGTATGTAGCCAATGATGTATGTATGTTACAAGTATGTAGCCAATGACAGTACTGTATGCAAGTATGTACAATGATACTGTATGTTATAAGTATGTATGTAGTAATGATATGTTGTATGTTACAAGTATGTAGCCAATGATAGTACTGTATGTTACAATAAGTATGTGCCAATGATAGTACTGTATGTTATAAGTATGTAGCCAATGATATGTATGTACTGTATGTTATAAGTATGTAGCCAATGATAGTACTGTATGTTACAAGTATGTAGCCAATGATAGTACTGTATGTTATAAGTATGTAGCCAATGATAGTACTGTATGTTACAAGTATGTAGCCAATGATAGTACTGTATGTTACAAGTATGTAGCCAATGATAGTACTGTATGTTACAAGTATGTAGCCAATGATAGTAATGTGTATGTTACAAGTATGTAGCCAATGATAGTACTGTATGTTACAAGTATGTAGCCAATGATAGTACTGTTGTATGTTACAAGTATGTAATAATGATAGTACTGTATGTTACAAGTATGTAGCCAATGATAGTACTGTATGTTATAAGTATGTAGCCAATGATAGTACTGTATGTTATAAGTATGTAGCCAATGATAGTACTGTATGTTATAAGTATGTAGCCAATGATAGTACTGTATGTTATAAGTATGTAGCCAATGATAGTACTGTATGTTACAAGTATGTAGCCAATGATAGTACTGTATGTTACAAGTATGTAGCCAATGATAGTACTGTATGTTACAAGTATGTAGCCAATGATAGTACTGTATGTTACAAGTATGTAGCCAATGATAGTACTGTATGTTACAAGTATGTAGCCAATGATAGTACTGTATGTTACAGTAAGTATGTAGCCAATGATAGTACTGTATGTTACAAGTATGTAGCCAATGATAGTACTGTATGTTACAAGTATGTAGCCAATGATAGTACTGTATGTTATAAGTATGTAGCCAATGATAGTACTGTATGTTACAAGTATGTAGCCAATGATAGTACTGTATGTTACAAGTATGTAGCCAATGATAGTACTGTATGTTATAAGTATGTAGCCAATGATAGTACTGTATGTTACAAGTATGTAGCCAATGATAGTACTGTATGTTATAAGTATGTAGCCAATGATAGTACTGTATGTTATAAGTATGTAGCCAATGATAGTACTGTATGTTATAAGTATGTAGCCAATGATAGTACTGTATGTTACAAGTATGTAGCCAATGATAGTACTGTATGTTACAAGTATGTAGCCAATGATAGTACTGTATGTTAGAAGTATGTAGCCAATGATAGTACTGTATGTTATAAGTATGTAGCCAATGATAGTACTGTATGTTATAAGTATGTAGCCAATGATAGTACTGTATGTTACAAGTATGTAGCCAATGATAGTACTGTATGTTACAAGTATGTAGCCAATGATAGTACTGTATGTTATAAGTATGTAATAATGATAGTACTGTATGTTATAAGTATGTAGCCAATGATAGTACTGTATGTTATAAGTATGTAGCCAATGATAGTACTGTATGTTATAAGTATGTAGCCAATGATAGTACTGTATGTTACAAGTATGTAGCCAATGATAGTACTGTATGTTACAAGTATGTAGCCAATGATAGTACTGTATGTTACAAGTATGTAGCCAATGATAGTACTGTATGTTACAAGTATGTAGCCAATGATAGTACTGTATGTTACAAGTATGTAGCCAATGATAGTACTGTATGTTACAAGTATGTAGCCAATGATAGTACTGTATGTTTACAAGTATGTAGCCAATGATGTACTGTATGTTATAAGTATGTAGCCAATGATAGTACTGTATGTTACAAGTATGTAGCCAATGATAGTACTGTATGTTACAAGTATGTAGCCAATGATAGTACTGTATGTTATAAGTATGTAGCCAATGATAGTATGTTATAAGTATGTGTATGTTATGTTATAAGTATGTAGCCAATGATAGTACTGTATGTTACAAGTATGTAGCCAATGATAGTACTGTATGTTATAAGTATGTAGCCAATGATAGTACTGTATGTTACAAGTATGTAGCCAATGATAGTACTGTATGTTAGTTATAAGTATGTAGCCAATGATAGTACTGTATGTTATAAGTATGTAGCCAATGATAGTACTGTATGTTATAAGTATGTAGCCAATGATAGTACTGTATGTTACAAGTATGTAGCCAATGATAGTACTGTATGTTACAAGTATGTAGCCAATGATAGTACTGTATGTTATAAGTATGTAGCCAATGATAGTACTGTATGTTACAAGTATGTAGCCAATGATAGTACTGTATGTTACAAGTATGTAGCCAATGATAGTACTGTATGTTATAAGTATGTAGCCAATGTAGCCAACTCTTGATGTATAATCAGCTGCGCTTCATCACCAACTGACAGGTACGAGCGGAAATCACATCAAAAGAGAGAGAAGAGGAGGATGCTATGGAGAGTGCAGTGACCAGCACCGCTGCCCCTGCCGCTGCTGCTCAGGCCAACGCAGCTGCCCCTGTACCTACTCCTGCACCAGCACCGCCGCCGCCTGAACCCAAGAAAAAGTAGGTGTTCTGTGTCTGTATGTTGTCACTGTGATGAAGACCATGCTCTATGTGATGGCTGGTGATAGGTGAGATAGGTCAGTGCTCCATGTAAAATGTAGCTGGCTGCAGGACCAAAATGGTGTCACGTGTCCGTTAGTAAATTACATTTATAACTTACACCAAACGGGCAAATATAACCAACTGTGTTTTAGGTCCCTTCCTCTATTTTGGTTGAAATTATTTAGTGTATAATGAACTATGGCTACAACGAATCACATTTAGTGTTCAGTGGCCATAGTGTACTGTATTCATGCTACTTCTTGGATTGTTCACAAGTACGTTCATGATGCCTTTGTTTGTAAACAGTCATTGGACAGTAGGTTGCAGTGTCCTTGTGACGTGAAACTGAGGTTGGTTGTTTGTTTTCAGAGAGGAAGAAGATCCAGAGAACCAGATGCAGTTCAAGACAAAAATGGGTAAATTCTTGAAACATCTTGACTTTAACCTCTGTACACACTGGTTGAAATACCATGACTCCTTAACCTTTAACCTCTATACACACTGGTTGCCGTTTTTTCATTTTTTAATTGGAGGTATCCCTTCCCAAAGTTTTCATGTAGTCCTGTAATGTCTGCAGCTGACACATTATGGTGTATTCCTTGGTGATGTTTGTCATGTGAACATTGAGCTTGGCTTTTGGACTGATGCTCAAATCATGTAAATTTCTTTGGGTCGTGAGGCTAATGATAGAATACTTATGAACAGAAGAACCTGCTGAAAAGTGTTATACATATTATGACGAAAGTAGGATACTTAAAATGTGTTTGAGATTTTCTTTCTGTTTCCAGCAAGGAATGTGTATCGTACAATCTTCAAAGCCCGACTCCCAGACAGGAATGAGTTGTTTCTACCACGTCGGATGGCATACGTTGTAGACTTGGAGGATGACTTTGCTGAGTCTGATGTGCCAACCACACTCATCAGAAGCAAAGCTGATTGTCCCAGTCTGGAAGTAAGTTCTAGAGCTGGAGTCTAAATCATTCAATAATATGTTGACCATGTTGGCAGCTTTTACACCGATCTTAGGGTGTGAGAGTAAGGGGTGTCATAAGATGTGGGGAAAGAATAAGTTGTAAGCTTTTCCAGGTGTGTTTAAATATCCAAAGGGCAATGAAATGGTAACCCATATGCCCAGCTTTACATTTTCACTGACGGGTCAGTTGGGTGAACTATTTCAACACCCTTGTGGTCTAAAGAAGGCTGGCATTTTGTCAAGAGAGAAAGGTTCTATGGTTTAGAGTGCTGACTGGAAAATATGTTCTGTATCAAGGCCTCATTCTCCCTCAAGAATTATATGTTCAAGCATAACTAGTGTTTGATGGCCACCTGACTGTGTGGACATTACTCCAACACTCTGTACAGCAGCAACAATCACTCCCATTCCAGCTGTACCGCAGTGACTCTTCTTTTGTACTGGGGACATTCCAGTGTTTTACATTGTTGGCATTTTCTTGACCAGGATACAAACAGTAAAGTAACCACTGCTGACTTCAAGTTAGTTACTAATTAAGGAGCATTTGATATTTCATAATTCTGAAAAATTAACTTCATCCTCACAATTTGAAATATCTTCTAAGTTTTTCTGATTAACTATTGACAGGCAACAACAACACTGACAACGAATGACATTGTGATTAACAAACTAACCCAGATCTTGTCATACCTGCGACAAGGCAAGAGGGAGACCAAGAAACTCAAGAAGAAGGAGAAAGGTAGGAGGAGATATGAGTAATTTAGTTGGTGCTTAATGTGTTGGCTCATCAAGCCAAATACTCAGTCATTGAGCTCCCTCAATATGTTGTTAGAGATCTGTTTGTAAATATGACTTTCTAGATCTCTGTGTGGAGTCGTTATCTTTGAATAAGACTGTATAGAGTGGTGCTTGTTGTATTGCAGGCAAGCTGAAGGAAGAGGACAAGCCGAAAGAAAAGCTGATTGGAGCAGACGACAGGTGAAGCTTTCCGTCAACATGACTCTAGGATGCTACACGATGTACTGCCGTCCCCTGTTGCCGACTCCTACAGTTACATGTGTATTGCAGCACAGGGAGACGAGACAGATATTTCAAAATTGTGATCAAAGTGAAAACAAAAATGATAAGTTAAAGCATTACTGCCCATTCTCAATGTAATTTACCATCTATGTTTTCCATTACTGAAATTTGTGAACTGTCTTAGCGGGTAGGTAGAAAGACTGCTATAAACAGTAGGAGTTTGAAAAGATGGTGACCAGTCTGTCCTGATTGCAGCATTTATGGAGATATTGGTCAGTATGCTCCTCAAGTTGGGAAGTCAAAAGATAAAAAAGATCGCAAGGAGAGAGAGAGGGACAGACTTCCGGAGAGAGAAAGAGGAGATCGTGACCGTGAGAGAGGAAGGGATCGAGATCGGGACCACAGAGATAGAGACAGTCACAGAGACAGAGGGGACCGTGAGAGAGAATACCGAGATCGGGAACGGGACAGAAGGGACCGACATCGAGAACAGGAAAGAGACAGGGACCGAGAAAGGGAACGCGACAGGGACCGAGACAGGGAGGAGAAGAAGAAAAGGTCCTACTTTGAGAAACCATCTGAAGAGGTAGGTTGTGCCTAGGCAGTGTTGGTCATAGAGGTGAGGGAACGAAGATGATAGAACCAGCTGCGGTAACAACTGTAAACTTACAGTCAGAAATGAATACATGACACATTTCTTGTAAAACAATTTCTTATTATTCTTTATATGTTTCAGAATTAGCTTTGAAACATGTATAAAGAATAGAAAGAAGTTGTTATCCATAAAAGGTCACATGTATTTTATGTTCGTCCAACTTTTAAATGCCTTTCAAGAGCTTTACAGTCAGTTGTTCCGTGAAACCAGCCCTTCCAAATGATCGTTTTTACATAATGTATTCCTTGTATCAAAGGGACATTCCTATGTACACATTAATCTGGAGGTTTGTGTATCTAGAAATTCTGTTTGGGACAGTTATGGTCAGATTATGCTACAGATGAACATGATGGTGTGTCGATGACGTGTATCTGTATTAATTGTTTCATGCATAATGTCTACAACAGGAGGATTTCCGAGACAAGCCAACCGAGTCTGCTAAGGAACTTGTGAAGAACATCAATGACAGATTTAAGGTGAGTGTAGTGTTGATGCCTTCCTGTCATGTGTAAGGTATGGGTTGATGTCCAGTAAGTTGCATCCCTTTAGTGCGACAGGATCCTATGGGCATAGGTTTGAACTGGAAGCTTGTACATGACAGACTAGGATATTCAAGGTTATACATTACTGTCTATATACACATGAGGATATATGGATATGTGGCTGTCATACTGACACGCTGGGATCTCCACGGATAAACGTATCTGTTGTGCTGTTGAAAGGTGTGGTGCATACTGACCCTCTCTGTTATTTTTGTCATGTCAGAGTACATGGTGTTCAAGAGTATGTGTAGAGACATGTCAGTATTACCTGGCTCGTATGTATTAAGTATTTTAGGAAAATCATAGAGATTGCATTACTTCATTATCATGAAATTGATTCGGGTAAGTTTGTATCTTATCAACGCAGACATGTAGATGTTATTTCTTCCTTGTTTCAGAGTTATGCCGACATGGAAGATGAGAAGCAAAAGTAAGTTGTTAGAGAAACGAGGCTCCATTCTGTCAGCATACAGAATCAGAGAAGTCATGTCTCTGTCTCCCAGTGGGAGTTGACACCGATAGACAAAACTACTTGATTACCACACTGATTTTAGCCCACTGACACTGAGAATAAACCATGAACATCGAGGAATTATGTGTCATGGTGTACTGCTTTTTATAAGCTCTGAAAGAGTTTGTTGTTTTTATCATGTAGAAACTGGGTTTTCTGAATCTCAATATGAGACACTAGCTGATGAAATGTTTAGTGATATCATTCACACAGATGTGAATTGATGCTTCACAAACTTACCAAAGATAGTTAAACTCTGTCATTGTGGGTAATACAATGCCATTCTTCCTGCTACAGGGCCAATGAGAAGGCAGAGAAAGATCGTCTGAAGAAGCTGCAGTCTAAGATGGAAATAGACAGCTATGCCGAGTGTTACCCAGGGTGAGTAGTGTAGGTGGTGTATAGTTACACTTTGTGTGGTCACCAGTACGGCAGAAGTCCTACTGGACAGTCCACCTGACCCCCCTAACCCCAACATCATCAGATTGGTAGGCAGTAAATCATGAACCAAATGAAAAAAGTATCATGTCACCTGTTTGTGTGGACATACTACAGTTGGTCACTTCAGGTTTACTTAGTGGGCTAAGCATCCAAAACCCCTTTAATCCACAGGTGGAACAACTGGCATTATTTTCACAACATCGAAGAGGCAACTATAAGGTTGTGACTGCTAACCTAGGTTTAGTGATACAGTTAATGTGTGTGCTGTATGTAAGTAGGCAGAATATAGTAGAGTTACAGTGTCCATAGGATTTCCCATCCATGTGAATCAAATAGTGTTGGTGTGTTGGCAGCCTCGTGGAAGTGATACAATGTTCTTTAACTAGGAATTGTAAAGCTACTTGCATGTGAATATAAAGTTTTCTTGCTTTAGGATGGTGGAAGCATTTGACGCTATTGACGAGTCGGATGATGAGGTTGACTACACCAAGATGGACCAAGGCAACAAGAAGGGCCCAATCGGCCGCTGGGACTTCGACACCCAGGAGGAATACAGCGATTACATGTCCAACAAGGAAGCCCTGCCCAAGTATGTGTCTAGCTGAGTTACACATCATTAACTTAAATGTTTTAGACATGATTTGGTCAAGGGAAACTTCCACCTAAGGGAATCTTGGTCTAAATGGGTAAGACACCCAATAATGGTCACCAGGCGACAGAGTTGTTAGGCTGGGTGCCTCAAGGGTTAACACCTCAAGTTTCAAGTTGATATCCTGTAATCAGCCACAGAAAGTCCTGAGGGTTGATATCACATTGTGCCCATGTGGGGATTGAACATTATCCTGTACCATTAGGCTGTACCATTCGGTGTGATGACCTACACTAGACCAGAGAATGGTTGTACAAAACAGTAATAACAGAAAAGGACTGTTTTCTTTTGTTGTCTGACAATGTAACATTGATAGCATTTAATGTCTGGGAATTCTCAATCATTTGGGGATATTTCACTAGATTTACTCCTTCCATCATTGGCTTTTGGTATCTGCCATCAATGAAATATCAACTTGTGAAACAAAACCTGAAATCTCCATTGTACTGATAGCTTCAGACAGGTGTTCTTGAACACTGGATATTTCCTGCCAAGTCTGTTACTTACATCACATATGGCTGAGTTATTGAGTTGCTGATCACGGACCGGTACTCTTATTAATGTGTGGACTTTGTTGTACTTTCAGAGCTGCCTTCCAGTATGGTGTTAAAATGGCTGATGGTCGCAGAACTCGGAGGACAGGTCCAAAGGATGAGAAAGCCAAGTTGGATCGTGAACTACAGCAGATCAACCGCATCATCCAGAAGAGGAAGGTGGCAGAGCCTGGTGACGGGGAGAAACGCATCAAGTACTGAAGTCGTACTAGTTGAAGTTATGTGTACAGTGACAATGTCTGCAGGGTTGTGATGTGATATGCCCTGCTCATCAAGATGTATTCTCACGTGACACAGTGTGGCTGTTGTCATAGGAGCACTTCAGGATATGCAGATCTCCACTGTGGAAGCATCTCAACAAAAACAAGCTTCCACCATTGCAGCGACATGGTTTGTTTACTGAGGAAACACTGAGAATCATGTCATTACCAGGTCAAGGGACGCTGCAGCTGTCATGTCTGGACTGCTTGAGTCCCAACATGTATCAAGAACAGCCTGATGCTCCAGATCTAATGGTGAATGTTAACAGAATTCAGAACTCCCTTGTCACATTTACCAGTTAATCATGCTTTTACCTGACAAAAGGGAGACTGAATGAAATTTCCAGTGTGTGATTATATGCAGTGAGATCCTTTCACGTCACCTGCCAGGTGGTTGGTATCTAGGTCTTCACTTCACCCACTGACAGTGGTGATAGTTCCATGTTGATGACACATTCCCAGACACCACAATGTGCAGTAGATCTTCACACAATGCTACAGTTTCAAGATTATATTGTACAGATGTCACCATAGGAACACTATGCCTTGAATAAAACATTAAGAATAAAAGTTCTTGTATATTGTGTACCATTTACATTGAATGACAGGAATCACAAGATTGACATTGCATTTGCAGCTCGGCAGTTTGTTGCTGACTACCATACATCTATGTGGCTTGTAATCGTTTACATGGTAAATGATGATTTTTAAGTGAGATCTAAGGAAGCGCAAAGTTTACCAGTCAACTTCCAGAGACATGGAGCTGCATGTAGGAATGATCGCTTGCTGAATGAAGCTAGGATCTTGGGGACAGTTAACAAAAGTTGGTTTGGGGACCGAGAAGCGGATCTTGGGGACAGTTAACAAAAGTTGGTTTGGGGACGAGAAGCGGATCTTGGGGAAGCAAAAGATCTTGGGGACAGAAGCGGATCTTTGGGACAAAACAAAAGTTGGTTTGGGGACCGAGAAGCGGATCTTGGGGACAGTTAACAAAAGTTGGTTTGGGGACCGAGAAGCGGATCTTGGGGACAGTTAACAAAAGTTGGTTTGGGGACCGAGAAGCGGATCTTGGGGACAGTTAACAAAAGTTGGTTTGGGGACCGAGAAGCGGATCTTGGGGACAGTTAACAAAAGTTGGTTTGGGGACCGAGAAGCGGATCTTGGGGACAGTTAACAAAAAAGTTGGTTTGGGGACCCGAGGCGGATCTTGGGGACAGTTAACAAAAACTTGGTTTGGGGACGGATCTTAGGGACAGTTAACAAAACTTGGTTTGGGGACTTAGGGACAGTTAACAAAACCGAGCGGATCTTGGGGACAGTTAACAAAACTTGGTTTGGGACCGAAGAGGATGTGCTGTGATGAGATCAGTGAGATGGCACTTGGCTTCAGTTTCTCCAGTCAGCTGGTTGCCAGCTGTTTTCAGCAATACTGCACCAACAGGCACAATAACACATGGATTTGGTTCTCAAGATGACAAAGTATGTGGTCTGCTGGAAGCATCAGTTTTATTCCTGGTTTTCTGTACAATCAATATATACATCTATATGCCACAAGCTATGAAATCAGACAGAATTAACAGACAGAAGAAAGACTGAAATGACAGAAGAAAATGGTGCAATATCAAATATACCACTCCCTCTGTGACAGGTTATCTATCCTTACTCTGAAACACTAAACCAAAATGTCATATCTTTGTCAGCAGTTGAGAAGGATATAGTAAACGTGTAGTGAAAGAAATCGAAGGCAACCAATAAGACTTCATGCTAGTTGCTGTGAAGCCAGCAAGTAGTATGTTCCGTTGTTTGGGATAGTTATGTATGTTTTAGAGCTAAGATACAAACACTGTTGAATGAAGCAGGACTTCCATTCCACAACAGTTTCACCATTCAGACTTGGAATGTACAACGTCCCCTGCAGTTTTACCTGCAGTAAATAATGATCATTCTTATAAATAGTTATGATATACTTGAAAAGCAGCATCTGGGCACAGTCACCATAAATACATGTTTGGGAATGATACATGATGATTGTGGACAAAGACAAGAGTGGGGCTTGGTTTAATGTTATTGGAGCAGTGTTATTACAGTTGTATGTTGGTGTGTCAGCTGTATGTGGGAGGCAGGTGACGCTGGCTGGAGGAGGTGTTTGACACTACGGAGGAAGCAATGTGGGTGGAGGAGGTGTTTGCCACTCACGGAGGAAGCAATGTGGAAGGAGGAGGTGTTTGCCACTAAGGGAGGAAGCTATGTGGAAGGAGGAGGTGTTTGCCACTAAGGGAGGAAGCTATGTGGAAGGAGGAGGTGTTTGCCACTAAGGGGAGGAAGCTATGTGGGTGGAGGAGGTGTTTGACAGTATTGAGGAAGCTATGTGGAAGGAGGAGGTGTTTGCCACTAAGGGGAGGAAGCTATGTGGGTGGAGGAGGTGTTTGCCACTAAGGGAGGAAGCTATGTGGGTGGAGGAGGTGTTTGACACTACGGAGGAAGCTATGTGGGTGGAGGAGGTGTTTGACACTAAGGGAGGAAGCTATGTGGGTGGAGGAGGTGTTTGACACTAATGTGGGGGAGGAAGCTATGTGGGTGGAGGAGGTGTTTGACACTATTGGAGGAAGCAATGTGGGGGGACCGAGAAGCGGATCTTGGGGACAGTTAACAAAACTTGGTTTGGGGACCGAGAAGCGGATCTTGGGGACAGTTAACAAAACTTGGTTTGGGGACCGAGAAGCGGATCTTGGGGACAGTTAACAAAACTTGGTTTGGGGACCGAGAAGCGGATCTTGGGGACAGTTAACAAAACTTGGTTTGGGGACCGAAGAGGATGTGCTGTGATGAGATCAGTGAGATGGCACATGGCTTCAGTTTCTCCAGTCAGCTGCTTGCCAGCTGTTTCAGCAATACTGCACCAACAGGCACAATACATGGTTTGGTTCTCAAGATGACAAAGTATATGGTCTGCTGGAAGCATCAGTTTTATTCCTGGTTTTCTGTACAATCAATATATACATCTATATGCCACAAGCTATGAAATCAGACAGACAGAAGTAAGACTGAAATGACAGAAGAAAATGGTGCAATATCAAATATACCACTCTCTCTGTGACAGGTTATCTATCCTTACTCTGTGAAACACTAAACCAAAATGTCATATCTTTGTCAGCAGTTGAGAAGGATATAGTAAACATGTGTAGTGAAAGAAATCGGAAGGCAACCAATAAGACTTCATGCTAGTTGCTGTGAAGCCAGCAAGTAGTATGTTCCTGTTTGGGATAGTTATGTATGTTTCAGAGCTAAGATACAAACACTGTGTAATGAAGCAGGACTTCCATTCCACAACAGTTTCACCATTCAGACTTGGAATGTACAACGTCCACTGCAGTTTTACCTGCAGTAAATAATGATCATTCTTATAAATAGTTACTATAAATACATGTTTGGGAATGATACATGATGATTGTGGACAACGACAAGAGTCGGGGCTTGGTTTAATGTTATTGGAGCAGTGGTATTTCAGTTGTATGTTGGTGTGTCAGCTGTATGTGGGAGTCAGGTGACGCTGGCTGGAGGAGGTGTTTGACACTACTGAGGAAGCTATGTGGATGGAGGAGGTGTTTGACACTACGGAGGAAGCCGTGTGGAAGGAGGAGGTGTTTGACAGTATTGACTGACTGACTGAGTTTGGTTTTACGCCGCTTTTAGCAATATTCCAGCAACATCACGGCGGGGGACACCAGAAATGGGCTTCACACATTGTACCCATGTGGGGATTCGAACCCGGGTCTTTGGCGTGACGAGCCAACGCTTTAACCACTAGGCTACCCCTCAAAGGTGTTTGACAGTATTGAGGAAGCGCCATGAGGCTGGAGGGTATGGTACTGACACCCAATGATCATCATTAGGACATTTCAGGGATTTCCACCCATCAGAAGTGGATTGTGAAACAACTAAGGGATGCAACTCTCTATAACAAACTCCTTAGCCTTACACCACTAAGCCACCAGTGACCTATGAACTGTGAATGTTTGTTGTTTTTGTTAACCCCAGTTACTGTACATATTTACAAACCTCTAATATAATTGCAGGGAAAGAAACCTTTCAAAATTTACCACTAGATTACAGGGCCAGTTAGTAGACAATAATTAATTGTCCTGTCTGTACTTCACTGGTCCAAAGTACAATTCGTAGATTTACTGAACTATCAGTACAAAATTCACTGGCCACCAGGACCACTGCAAACATATCATTTAGTGGACCTGATGAATTTCTTCTAGCCAGGGACCCCAGGACCAGCGTAAATTTCGCACATTATAATGAAAGAAGTAGATGTGAAAATTCAGCCATTCCTCATAAATCACAGACACAAGATGAAGTGATTGACATATGTACAATGACAAGGTGTATACAGGGCCCGATTTAAAGAAATGAAACTTACTTGCACCCAGTGCAACCTTAGGTAGAAACCTTGTTGCATCAGATAAAAACAGGTTGCACCTGCTGCTCAATATAGAATCTGGTATAAAATATTGAGTTTTGGTAATGATAGTTTAGAACATTATAACAAAAGAAATCTGGGACTGATAAGATTAGTTACCTCACTTCCTGAAATTTCATGAACAGTAAGTCCTTTAGTCACTGCTCATACAGTCATCAGAGTCACTCTTCCAAGTCAGTTCCTCATCATTCTGTTTTCCAGCTGAAGTCTCAAACATTGACTTGCACCTGGTGCAAGTTAGACTAATAACTAGGTTGCACTTTGTAATATTGGGTTGCACCAGTGCAAGTAACAAAGCACCAAATTGAGCCCTGGTATATATTTCACAATGATGGAATACTGCCACCAGTTTTATACACCATGACGCCGGTGACAGTCAAAGTGACAAACAGATTTCACGTAGAGTCATAAATTATGATAAGTCATATTGAAGGGCACAACCAATTTAGATTTCACATTCACACTGCAATGTTTATATAGTAAAAAGGTTTTCAGACCTTGCAACCAGTTATACATTTCTCACATGTTTACAACAGCACAACAACAAAATCTTTGCGAGTTGTAAGCATACCTTCAGTTACCTGTTCATATATGTTTCAGAGATGCCAACCCTGAATCAAATGAAAGCGGAGTCATGTCTTGTTAAAAGCAATTCACAAGCCCTGAAGGTGCGAGTTGGGGGTGAACGCGAGAGGGGGCTCAGGCCCTTTTGACAGTTGGGGTCTAGGGGGCCTCCCCTATGAAAATCTTTAGATTTAGCCTGGAAATCTGATTTTTTTAGAAAATACAAACATGTTTATGAATTTAGTAAATATGTTCGTTTGAGTTAAGTATTATCTGGTTAAGTATGCCCAGAAATTGCTAAGTTTTTATAGACAAATCGGAGTGTGGATTTTGTATTTGAAAATCGGAGTAACACCTCCAAAATCAGAGTGGTTGGCATCTCTGTATGTTCTACATACATATCTCATAAACCCTGCACAGCTGTCCAATATTTCACCACTCCCAAGATGGTATACTTCCAGAGGATAATTCAACATATTCAATTCATCTATCCAGATCATTTAGTCAGATGTTCCAGTCCTGCTGACCATGAATCTGCTTCATCCAATCCAGGACTTTATAACCCCGTAGTTTTATGTCTGTAGGACAATAAGATGTTGCAGCTTCCATGATTGAAGAGACTCACTGCGTGAACACAGCGTTAACACAGGATATTCATCATTACATGTCCTCCTGGACACAACCTGCAGCAGTTTGATGTCAGTATATCCTGCTGTGTTGAAGGGTCAATGATTCTGTGTATCTGTTCTCATGGGAGGTGTTCTGGTGGTCTTGTGTTACTGTCACGGAAACAACATGTGTGTGGCCGTCTTGACGGCAGTTCATGCCAGCGGTGTAAACAGACTAGATCTATTGGGGTTGTGAAGCTTCCTCTTCTTCTTGAGCCCACCGCCCAGCGTGGTGGAGTTTATGGAGTCATTACTGTCACTAGCCTCACTGCCTCCTTCTTCACCAGAGATGCTCTGACCTTAGGCTTCTCAAATTCATCTGAGCTGCGTGTCGTGTTGTCGCTGGACTCTATGGCCTGGAAGATCCTGCGAGACTTGCCTGTCTTCAACTGGGCGACATCGATAGGCGTGTCATCACTGGTCTTGGACTTGTCGTCGTCAAAACTGAAGGTGCTGTTAAGTGACGATTGGGATGTTGCCTGGCAACAGAAGGGAAGACATGACAGCTTGTTATAAATGTTTGTTGTCTTACATTCTTGTCAGTGACTTCTATATATAGATCACAATGCCTTGCATAGTCTGGGCCAGAAAACAGGTGCTTGATATTATGACCAACATCATGGAGGAACAATATCCTACAGTCAGGAGGTCACAACATGGAATCAACCAAACCTTGACACCCAATCCGCTAAGTCACCTATTATAACAAGTGCAGTTACAGGGGCTGCCCAATCCATGCCCCACACTGCTGCTATCTAGATTGTGTTTATAGGGCATTAACAATATGATGCCATCATGGTGAGCTGGGCGGGTGCATTGAAGCACCAGAAATAATCTTCACACATTTCAGTCATACAGGGAAACCAGGTGTGTAGAGTCGCGAGAGAACACTTCAACAACTGGGATACCCAACTACACCTACATATGTGAATGAATGAAAGCTTTTAGTCCTTTGGTAGCAGTTCTTCAACTCAAAGTCCCACGTGATGCGATCCCCAAAGATATATATCTTGAAAATCTTACCTTCTTTCCTTTCATCTGTTTGGTTTGTTTAGTTTGTTTAGTTGTTTTCTTGGGCTTGGCTTTTGACTTGTAGATGGGTGTTTGGGTCCAGTCCTCGTCACTTGTATCTAAATCCTCAACAGGGTCATCATCCCACTCATCCATGAACTCATCGTACGCACGTGAGAGGCTCCAGGTTCTCCGCTGCAGCTGTCGACTTTTTCTGAAACATGAGATATCCTTGGTGAGACAATCCGTGATGTGACACATCAGACCATCAGATGCTTTACATGAGACACACCATGAGATGCTTTACAATAGACACACGACAAACTTTACATGAGACACACCATGAGATGCTTTACAATAGACACACTACAAGATTTACGTGAGACACACCATGAGATGCACCAGCTAAGACACTTTAGTTGAGACACCCTAATTGAGACAATCCACCATTACAGGCATTACTTGAGACACAGCATCAGAGGCTTAAGATGAGTCACCCTTAATGAGACGCTTTAGATGAGACGCTTAAGATGAGTCACCCTTAATGCAACGCTTAAGATGAGTCACCCTTAATGAGACGCTTAAGATGAGACTCCCTTAAGGAGACGTTTGAGATGAGACACCCTTAATGAGATGCTTTAGATGAGACACCCTTAATGAGATGCTTAAGATGAGACACCCTTAATGAGATGCTTTAGATGAGACACCCTTAATGAGACGCTTAAGATGAGACACCCTTAATGAGACGCTTAAGATGAGTCACCCTTAATGAGACGCTTAAGATGAGACACCCTTAATGAGATGAGTCACCCTTAATGAGACGCTTAAGATGAGACATCCTTAATGAGACGCTTGAGATGAGACACCCTTAATGAGATGCTTAAGATGAGACACCCTTAATGAGACGCTTAAGATGAGTCACCCTTAATGAGACGCTTAAGATGAGACACCCTTAATGAGATGCTTTAGATGAGACACCCTTAATGAGATGCTTAAGATGAGACACCCTTAATGAGATGCTTTATGAGACACCCTTAATGAGACGCTTAAGATGAGACACCCTTAATGAGATGCTTAAGATGAGACACCCTTAATGAGACGCTTAAGATGAGACACCCTTAATGAGACGCTTTAGATGAGACACCCTTAATGAGACGCTTTAGTTGAGTCACCCTTAATGAGATGCTTAAGATGAGTCACCCTTAATGAGATACTTAAGATGAGACACCCTTAGAGAGACGCCTAAGATGAGACACCCTTAATGAGACGCTTTAGATGAGACACCCTTAATGAGACACTTTTGATGAGACACCCTTAATGAGATGCTTAAGATGAGACACCCTTAATGAGATACTTAAGATGAGACACTAAGAGATAGTCTCATCTAGACAGATCAGTTTCATCTGCTCTATATCATCACAGTTAAGAGATGTGTACATTAAATGTGTATATTTCTCAAGTAAGATGTGCACCAACTACCTGGGTTGTACTGTAATCCACTCACCTTTGGCTTTGTCTTGGGTTTGAGGACGGGGGTGAGGAATGGAGAGGACCCAGGTTCCGATATGCTGGGCATGAGTGCCATGTGTTTCCCCTGGTACATCGCTCGGGTCAGTTGCTGCAGACAAGGAAACAATTATACATGCTACAAACTGTCAGAAACCTGAGGAGGTTGCAGCAATAGCTTGACAGCGTTACCCTGGCTACCTACATGTAACTTCTTAACTTAGTGATTCAGCCTTTCCTCCGTTAACCCAGCGATTCAGCCTTTCCTCCATTAACCCAGTGATTCAGCCCTTCCTCCGTTAACCCAGTGATTCAGACTTTCCTCCGTTAACCCAGTGATTCAGACTTTCCTCCATTAACCCAGGGATTCAGCATTTCCTCCATTAACCCAGTGATTCAGCCCTTCCTCCATTAACCCAGTGATTCAGCCCTTCCTCCGTTAACCCAGTGATTCAGCCCTTCCTCCGTTAACCCAGTGATTCAGACTTTCCTCCATTAACCCAGGGATTCAGCATTTCCTCCATTAACCCAGTGATTCAGCCCTTCCTCCGTTAACCCAGTGATTCAGACTTTCCTCCATTAACCCAGTGATTCAGCATTTCCTCCATTAACCCAGTGATTCAGCCTTTCCTCCATTAACCCAGTGGTTCAGCATTTCCTCCATTAACCCAGTGATTCAGCCCTTCCTCCATTAACCCAGTGATTCAGCCCTTCCTCCGTTAACCCAGTGATTCAGCCCTTCAACCCAGTGACCCAGACAGCCTTTCCTCCATTAACCCAGTGATTCAGCATTTCCTCCATTAACCCAGTGATTCAGCCCTTCCTCCGTTAACCCAGTGATTCAGACTTTCCTCCATTAACCCAGGGATTCAGCATTTCCTCCATTAACCCAGTGATTCAGCCCTTCCTCCGTTAACCCAGTGATTCAGACTTTCCTCCATTAACCCAGTGATTCAGCCTTTCCTCCATTAACCCAGTGATTCAGCATTTCCTCCGTTAACCCAGTGATTCAGCCTTTCCTCCATTAACCCAGTGATTCAGCCTTTCATCCATTAATCCTGTGATTCAGCATTTCCTCCGTTAACCAATGATTCAGCCCTTCCTCCATTGACCAGTGATTCAGCCTTTTCTCCAATAACCCAGTGATTCAGCATTTCCTCAGTTAACCTAGTGATTCAGCCTTTCCGTTAACACAGTTATTTTTAGCTTTTCCATTAACCCAGTGATTCAGCCTTTCCATTAACCCAGTGATTCAGCCTTTCCTGGCCATTCTGTCTTAACCCACTGTTCAAATAGTTGGACCAAGCAATAAAACACAAAATATAACTTTGGCCATTCCTAAGATTGTTCTTTTTAAATCAAGTGCTAAAGTAAATATTTGTGTTTTTCTAGAGTGTGACGTACACACTCAGCTACAATTCTGACCACTTCATTCACGGTACACTGGGTTCATTCTCTGCCTGAGCTACAAACACTTCATTTGAGAATGCACTGCTACCTTCTTAAGTCCTTCATTTTCTTCCGTAACTTGTTGTAGCCTGTCGCTGAGCTCGCTCAGAGATTCGATTGTCTTTTCCTGGAACATCAGAACACTCTTGGTAAAGGTGTGTCTCTCATAAACATCGGTAACATGCCCAAATTATGTGATAGAGGTATGAATATGTTTGGTTTCAGGCCACTTCAAACAGAATATCACTTAACTGACTGAGAAAGGAATTTCTGTACAAGAAAGAACATACTCTCTTCAAAGGAGCAAATATATGACGTGTCACCTGGAATTCAAGTCTCTCTCTTGTATCCTGGTCAGCAGACATGTTGGCATCACTTGACACTGAGTTGAGTTTCTTCAGGAGGAACAGAACCTGTAACACAAACACACCAAGTACTGAACAAACATGGAGGCATCAAGCTCCGTGCTGATCCCCATTCTCACCCCCGAACAGATCCAAACTCAGATCCACTCACCTCATGCTCCCCCGAACTGATCAACCAAGGCTCTCTCTCCCCCGTACTGATCCACCCACCTCATGCTCCCCGTACTGATCCACCCACCCCATGCTAGCCTGTACTGATCCGACCATGTTGGACCCATGCTCCCCCGTACTGATCCACCCACCTCATGCTCCCCCGTACTGATCCACCCACCTCATGCTCCCCCATTACAGATCCACCCACCTCATGCTCCCCGCACAGATCCACCTCATGCTCCCCTGCATGCTCCCCATCTGATCCCCATGATCAACCCTCAGATCCCAAACACAGATCCACCCACCTCATGCTCCCCGAACTGATCAACCAAGGCTCTCTCTCCCCCGTACTGATCCACCCACCTCATGCTCCTCGTACTGATCCACCCACCCCATGCTAGCCTGTACTGATCCGACCATGTTGGACCCATGCTCCCCCGTACTGATCCACCCACCTCATGCTCCCCGTGGAGATCCAAAACCCTCATGCTCCCCCGTAGAGATCCACCCACCTCATGCTCCCCGTACAGATCCACCCACCTCATGCTCCCCCCACCCCATGCTAGCCTGTACAGATCCACCCACCTCATGCTCCCCATACTGATCCATCCATGTTCAACCCATGCTCCCCATACTGATCCACCCACCTCATGCTTACCTGCACTGATCCATCCCCCTCATGCTCCCCCATGATCCACTGATCCACCCTCATACCCCCATTACTGATTCACCCACCTCATATTCCCCCTGCACTGATCCACCCACCTCATGCTCCCCATACTGATCCACCTCATGCCACCTCATGCTCATGCTCCCCCGTGCACTGATCCACCCACCTCATGCTCCCCGCACTGATCCACCCACCTCATGCTCCCGTACTGATCCCCACTCATGCTCCCCGTGCACTGATCCACACCCCCTCATGATCCTCGCACTGATCCACCACCACACCCCCTCATGCTCCCGTGCACTCCCCGTACTGATCCACCCACCTCATGCTCCTCCGCACTGATCCTCCCTCATGCTCCCCCGCACTAATCCACACACCCCTCATGTTCCTCCTGCACTGATCCACCCCTCATGCTCCCCGTGCTGATCCACACACCCCTCATGCTCCTCCGTGCTGATCCACCCCTCATGCTCCCCGTGCACTGATCCACACCCCTCATGTTCCCCGTGCACTGATCCACCCCCCCTCATATTCCCCATACTGATTCACCCACCTCATATTCCCCGTACTGATCCACCCACCTTGGACTCATGCTCCCTCTGCAGAACTGTTATCTTTGACTCGAACTGGTTCCTCAGCTTGGTGATCTGGTCTTCCATGTGCTGGGCAGCCTGACTCGAGTCCTCGTTTGTAGCATGAGCCTCCTTAAGCTCAGTCTTGGTGATGGAGATGTCGGCCTTCGCTGACACGGCCTAGAAGGGAAACATTTTCAACCAATAACGACCATTCACTGCAACCAATTATAAATATGCTACAAAAGTACAGAGACTGAGAGTGACAGACTGGTTCAGAAAACATGATCCTCAAATACAGAGAGTTCCTGTAACAGCTGAGAAGCTTAACTCAAATGGTGAAACTCTGTCATTGTGAAGATATGTGAATACACATTGAAACTGTTACAGTCAATACTACTGTGTGTGAGCTCCAGCTTCATGAGGTGTGGGAGGTACCTGCTAGATACACATTGAAACTGTTACAGTCAATACTACTGTGTGTGAGCACCAGCTACATGAGGTGTGGGAGGTACCTGCTAGATACACATTGAAACTGTTATAGTCAATACTACTGTGTGTGAGCTCCAGCTACATGAGGTGTGGGAGGTACCTGCTAGATACACATTGAAACTGTTACAGTCAATACTACTGTGTGTGAGCTCCAGCTACATGAGGTGTGGGAGGTACCTGCTAGATACACATTGAAACTGTTACAGTCAATACTACTGTGTGTGAGCACCAGCTACATGAGGTGTGGGAGGTTACCTGCTAGATACACATTGAAACTGTTACAGTCAATACTACTGTGTGTGAGCACCAGCTACATGAGGTGTGGGAGTTACCTGCTAGAGATACACATTGAAACTGTTACAGTCAATACTACTGTGTGTGAGCACCAGCTACATGAGGTGTGGGAGATACCTGCTAGATACACATTGAAACTGTTACAGTCAATACTACTGTGTGTGTGAGCTCCAGCTACATGAGGTGTGTGAGGGAGTTACCTGCTAGATACACATTGAAACTGTTACAGTCAATACTACTGTGTGTGAGCTCCAGCTACATGAGGGTGTGGGAGGTACCTGCTAGATACACATTGAAACTGTTACAGTCAATACTACTGTGTGTGAGCACCAGCTACATGAGGTGTGGGAGTTACCTGCTAGATACACATTGAAACTGTTACAGTCAATCAATACTACTGTGTGCTGAGCTCCAGCTGTGTGGAGGTTACCTGCTAGATACACATTGAAACTGTTACAGTCAATACTACTGTGTGTGAGCACCAGCTACATGAGGTGTGGGAGTTACCTGCTAGATACACATTGAAACTGTTACAGTCAATACTACTGTGTGTGAGCTCCAGCTACATGAGGTGTGGGAGGTACCTGCTAGATACACATTGAAACTGTTACAGTCAATACTACTGTGTGTGAGCACCAGCTACATGTGTGGGAGTTACCTGCTAGATACACATTGAAACTGTTACAGTCAATACTACTGTGTGTGAGCACCAGCTACATGAGGTGTGGGAGGTACCTGCTAGATACACATTGAAACTGTTACAGTCAATACTACTGTGTGTGAGCTCCAGCTACATGAGGTGTGGGAGTTACCTGCTAGATACACATTGAAACTGTTACAGTCAATACTACTACTGTGTGTGAGCTCCAGCTACATGAGGTGTGGAGTTACCTGCTAGATACACATTGAAACTGTTACAGTCAATACTACTGTGTGTGAGCTCCAGCTACATGAGGTGTGGAGGTGTGGGAGGTCAATACCTGCTAGATACACATTGAAACTGTTACAGTCAAATACTGTGTGTGAGCTCCAGCTACATGAGGTGTGGGAGTTACCTGCTAGATACACATTGAAACTGTTACAGTCAATACTACTGTGTGTGAGCTCCAGCTACATGAGGTGTGGGAGTTACCTGCTAGATACACATTGAAACTGTTACAGTCAATACTACTGTGTGTGAGCACCAGCTACATGAGGTGTGGGAGGTACCTGCTAGATACACATTGAAACTGTTACAGTCAATACTACTGTGTGTGAGCTACTGAAACTGTTACAGTCAATACAGCTACATGAGGTGTGGGAGGTACCTGCTAGATACACATTGAAACTGTTACAGTCAATACTACTGTGTGTGAGCTCCAGCTACATGAGGTGTGGGAGGTACCTGCTAGATACACATTGAAACTGTTACAGTCAATACTACTGTGTGTGAGCACCAGCTACATGAGGTGTGGGAGGTACCTGCTAGATACACATTGAAACTGTTACAGTCAATACTACTGTGTGTGAGCTCCAGCTACATGAGGTGTGGGAGTTACCTGCTAGATACACATTGAAACTGTTACAGTCAATACTACTGTGTGTGAGCTCCAGCTACATGAGGTGTGGGAGGTACCTGCTAGATACACATTGAAACTGTTACAGTCAATACTACTGTGTGTGAGCTCCAGCTACATGAGGTGTGGGAGTTACCTGCTAGATACACATTGAAACTGTTACAGTCAATACTACTGTGTGTGAGCACCAGCTACATGAGGTGTGGGAGTTACCTGCTAGATACACATTGAAACTGTTACAGTCAATACTACTGTGTGTGAGCACCAGCTACATGAGGTGTGGGAGGTACCTGCTAGATACACATTGAAACTGTTACAGTCAATACTACTGTGTGTGAGCTCCAGCTACATGAGGTGTGGGAGTTACCTGCTAGATACACATTGAAACTGTTACAGTCAATACTACTGTGTGTGAGCACCAGCTACATGAGGTGTGGGAGGTACCTGCTAGATACACATTGAAACTGTTACAGTCAATACTACTGTGTGTGAGCTCCAGCTACATGAGGTGTGGGAGGTACCTGCTAGATACACATTGAAACTGTTACAGTCAATACTACTGTGTGTGAGCACCAGCTACATGAGGTGTGGGAGTTACCTGCTAGATACACATTGAAACTGTTACAGTCAATACTACTGTGTGTGAGCTCAGCTACATGAGGTGTGGGAGATACCTGCTAGATACACATTGAAACTGTTACAGTCAATACTACTGTGTGTGAGCTCCAGCTACATGAGGTGTGGGAGTTACCTGCTAGATACACATTGAAACTGTTACAGTCAATACTACTGTGTGTGAGCACCAGCTACATGAGGTGTCGGAGTTACCTGCTCCAGCAGCCACTTCAGTCCACACTTGGCCTCCATCATGGTGTGCAGGGACTCCCACGCCGACTTGCCCTTGCTGTCTGTAACACAACACACAGTACAGACACAGCCCCTTACTGTAACACAACACACAGTACAGACACAGCCCCTTACTGTAGCACAACACACTGTACAGACACAGCCCCTTGCTGTAGCACAACACACAATACAGACACAGCCCCTTACTGTAACACAACACACCGTACAGACACAGACCCTTACTGTAACACAACACACAGTATAGACACAGCCCCTTACTGTAACACAACACACTGTACAGACACAGACCCTTACTGTAACACAACACACCATACAGACACAGACCCTGACTGTAACACAACACACAGTACAGACAGCTCCTTACTGTAACACAACACACCATACAGACACACAGCCCCTTACTGTAACACAACACACCATACAGACACAGCCCCTTACTGTAACACAACACACAGCATAGACACAGCCCCTTACTGTAACACAACACACAGTATAGACACAGCCCCTTACTGTAACACAACACACAGTATAGACACAGCCCCTTACTGTAACACAACACACACTGTACAGACACAGCCCCTTACTGTAACACAACACACAGTACAGACACAGCCCCTTACTGTAACACAACACATTGTACAGACACAGCCCCTTACTGTAACACAACACACAGTATAGACACAGCCCCTTACTGGAACACAAGACACAGTATAGACACAGCCCCTTACTGTAACACAACACACTGTACAGACACAGCCCCTTACTGTAACACAACACACACACACAGTACAGACACAGCCCCTTACTGTAACACAGCCCCTTACTGTAACACAACACACCATACAGACACAGGCCCCTACTGTAACACAACACACTGCACAGACACAGCACCCCCTTACTGTAACACAACACAGTACAGTACACAGCCCCTTACTGTAACACAACACACAGTACAGACACAGCCCCTTACTGTAACACAACACACAGTACAGACACAGCCCCTTACTGTAACACAACACACAGTACAGACACAGCCCCTTACTGTAACACAACACACAGTATAGAGACACAGACACCCCTTACTGTACACACAACACAACACACAGTACAGACACAGCCCTTACTGTAACACAACACACTGTACAGACACAGCCCCTTACTGTAACACAACACACAGTACAGACACAGCCCCTTACTGTAATACAACACACCCAGGGGTATAAAAGCCAGACACAGCCCCTTACTGTAACACAACACACTGTACAGACACAGCCCCTTACTGTAACACAACACACAGTATGAAAAGATACACACAGCCCCTTACTGTAATACAACACACCATACAGACACAGCCCCTGAAATTACTGTAACACAACACACAGTATGGACACAGCCCCTTACTGTAGCACAACACACAGTATGGACACAGCCCCTTACTGTAACACAACACACAGTATAGACACAGACCCTTACTGTAACACAACACACCATACAGACACAGCCCCTTACTGTAACACAACACACTGCATAGACACAGCCCCTTACTGTAACACAACACACAGTATAGACACAGCCCCTTACCGTAACACAACACACTGTACAGACACAGACCCTTACTGTAACACAACACACAGTATAGACACAGACCCTTACTGTAATACAACACACCATACAGACACAGACCCTTACTGTAAAACAACTCTGTGACAACACAAATAGAAACCAGTGAGAAGTTCATGACATTCTGTGATTTGTGCATGAGTTGGTAATTGAAGTATCTTTCTGGATGACTGGAAATGTACTTTAAGCTTCCATTCTTTGATATAGAATTACAACACTATAGCTGTATGGTCACTTGTAGAACGGGCCCAGGATACCACATCCGTATATATCCAAACTATAAATCCCAGAAACAACCTACCTTGATCTGCATCAACAATTTTTTGTTGTAGATCTGAGATCTGGATGTTCCTGAAAATAGGTCCACATAGTGAGATGACGCTATCAGTGTGGTAAGATCACCTTTCGGTAATGCAGTCTTATAAAAATACCATTTTAAACCCCACTACAAGACCTCTCTGCATGAAGATCCCATGACACCTTAAAGATCACATATACTCTAGGGGGGTACAAATACATAAATCACTAATTGGCATCGTCATAAATGAAACCCAGTCATTAAAACTACTCATTTCGATCTTTAATTAACTTAAATCGACCTTTTTGACAACAGTGCAAAATACTCACCCGCTAACTAAATTTCATGAACACATAGGAACAGATATGAGGGCCGATGCAGAATTTATGTACATTTCAGGGGGTAAATTATCTTGTTTACGGGTTTGTATAAACCTGAAATCGTGACAACTGTTGTGAAAAATGAAAGCTATATGTTCTCACAATCTACAGTCATTCAATTTTGTCTCCTGCTTTGCCTAGTTTCCGAGTTACAACTTGTTTTCATAGATGATTCTGTCAAAATTGCTTGGTGTCGCTAGGCCTTATTTGTTCGAGCCAGACGCTAATGATAGCGAAAACAATGATCAGCCTCGTTCATCACGGTTACGGTTAATTTCTTCAACCTAAACAGTGCGACACTAAGAAGGGTAGATGCCCATCAGATGCAGTTAATTGAAAATATCCCCGGTAGTTCTTGTCTGATTGTAATAAAGTATCAAAGCAGTGTGGGCTTTTTCAGGTTTTCGAATGCCTGGATGGTATAATGATTGATCCAAATTGATCCCATTTCTGTGTTTTTCTACCTCGATACTTAATCATGTCATGTAAAAATATGACGTTTATTACATATATTAAAAATTGACATTTGATTTATTTGAATCCGTAAACTAAACAACCCTACTTTGCCATTGCTAAAAGAATCTGAAAATTTACTTAGGTAAATAATAATAATAATAATTGCTTTGTATAGCCCCTAGTTCCAGCTATATGCAGCCGCTCAATGCTGCTTTACACGTTAGAAGTCACTTTATTACAGTTCAATCACTAGATGAGAAAGAAATGTTTTGAGTTTTCTCTTAAAGTTGGGAGAGAGTCAGTGTTCCTGATGTCAAGGGGGGACCGCGTTCCACAGGGCGGGAGCTGCAACTGAGAAGGCACGATCTCCAGCCTTCGTTGATGTGGATGGAACAACCAGTTTCTCCTTCTGGGCAGAACGTAAGGTTCTAGATGGGTGGTAGACCGATAGCAGGTCCTTTAAATACGTAGGCGATGACTCAACATAGAGAGCATCGTACGTCAAGACGAGCAACTTGAAACTGACCCGATGTCTAATGGGCAACCAGTGTAAATCTCTGAGAATTGGCGTGATGTGACAATCCTTTCTGGTGCGTGTGACAACACGAGCAGGCTTGTTCTGAACTCTCTGTAAGTGAGAGATTACGCCAGATCCAAACACTAGAGAGTTACAGTAATCGAGTCTACTTGTTACTTGAGACTGAATCAGAATTTTGCTAGTTTCGTTTTCAAGGTACTTTCGGAGTTTGCCGATGTTAGCGATATGGAAGTTTGCTAGCTTTGGCTGTGTTCAGTGCCTGATAGGTACATACAGTTTTAGCACACAGCAAATGCTTATATGTATTTCTTATGCAACAATGAAGTTCTGTTTGGGATTCTCAAAACAGTGTCGGCCCATAAGTTTTCACATGCAATACAGCAATTAATACTCCCTTGTTGTAACCCGTGTTAGGTGGTATAAACCTACACATGTTATTTGTCATCATTCACTTGCAATTGATGGTCAGTTAATGAATTTATAACAGGTATAATTAGTGGTAACACCACTTAGATTACCCGACAAAGGTTCGAAGTTGGCATTTCTTGTGTCTGGAGTAAATACTCAACATTATAAACATCGATCAAAGGATTAACCGATAACACGCCGATTGATTAATTACTTTTATCTTACACAGCGGATTTGTCAAAAGGTAGTGTTTATGTATGTAGATTTACTAATCTATACTGAATACACTCTGTCGTGTCTGTGTCTGTGAAAAACAACGTCCTTCTTTCAAAGGATTAATCGCCAATACATTGATTGATTGCTTATTATTGGCTAACTAAATTACTTTTTGGCGGACATTATGCAATTAGTTGCCAATGAGACTATACACCAATGTGGAATACCTGAAACGATATATCACTTTTTCGTATATTAGACTGTTAAAAGACACATCACTTAGAACAGCTGCAGATGAATGGCATATCACTCGGGTTTTTGTGGATATGGTGGATACATTCCTCGAACAAGGTAATAGCCTGACATTGTTCCTATAACTTTAATCTGTTTTATTTTTAATATTTGCATTTTGTTTTTGTTCATTTGTCGTAGCATTCAACAGAATCATTGTTTTCACCGTAAAGTGTAATGAGACAGACAACATACACTAGGGTGTGTGTGCGGATTATGATTCACATTGGCAAACTATAAAATGTCTAGATATTACAGTTCTGTTATAAATTCACTATAAGAATCAGCAGATCGTCTGCTTTTTATTTAGTTTCAAAATGCATACAAGTATGATAATAAACTAATTAGGATTATAATACCAAATATAAAGACGTACATTGACTAGTATCTACATACTGGTGAGCTGACATTAACCACGTGAATGTAGCAAGAAATTTATTGCGCAGTATTGTCACTTCGACCCCCACCTCGCTTCCGTGGAAGAAATCGTTATGTTACAAGTTGTGTCATGCACAATCCTTTTGGTCATGATTCAAATATATATTTAACTACGAGTAGAAAGTAGTTTTGATTTTCTAACTTGATAATCTCATTAGTTCTAACAGACTTTAGCCCGTCACTTTACGATTTTAAAAAATGGCGGCACCCTATCGCGAACATCCGCCAGTCTGAGGATAAATGCTATTTAGGTTTCTTTTCACCGAGTTACAAAATCAAAACTACTTTCTACTGGTAGTAAAATATGTATTTGATTGATGGCCAATAGGATTTTGCATGACATAGCTTATAACATAACAATTTCTCTCGTGGAAGCGAGGTGGGTGTCAATATAATAGTACTTACAGTATTATTGTTACTTCGACCACAACCTTCTTCCGAGGAAGAAATCGTTATGTTACAAGTTGTGTCATGGAAAATCTTTATGGTCATCAATCATATACATATTTTACTACAACTAGTAAGTACATGTAGTTTTGATTCTTTAACTTCCGTGAAGCGATCTGAACACAAGTAAGATATCGTTTCAGGCTTCCACAACGCTCGCTTTGCACTCACAAACATAACCCATTTAGCACGAACTGTGGGGTCCTGTGGAAATCTGTGCATGGTAACCCCATCGCTCGACCCCTAGGAACAATTGACGACAACGCAACGATTTGGAAAGTCTTGGTTGATGTCGAGAAATCATCAAAATGACGAGCTTGCTACACACTTTATATACAACTAACTGAAAATCCTTCCTCATATGACGTCACTGCAGTGCTCTGGCGACAGAGTTACGTAACCTGTCTGTGGTTTCATTGGTGGGCGAGAGTGAAGCAGGCGACTTTTTGGCAACTTTAATCGCTCGGTATTAATTAACCACAAGTTTTTAAGAATGAATTTGGTGTTCCGCATAAAACTAACCACAAATCTTTCATATGTAATAGTTAAAAGAGTACCAAAAAAAAGAAAACTTTATTTGTTCTTTAAGAAAGTCGCAAACTACCCAAATGGAGTCACAGTGTTACAGTCACAGTGTTACAGTCACATGTGGAAGCAAAGCCCCAAGTCTCAGACCTTTTTGAAAAACACTCAACAATGTGATACTTATTTAAACACTCAACAATACGATACTTATTTAGACACTTAACAATACGATACTTTTTAAACATTCAACAATCCGATACTTATTTCAACACTCAACAATACGATACTTATTTAGATGCTCAACAATACGATACTTATTTAGACACTGAACAATACGATACTTATTTAGACACTCAACAACACGATACGTATTTAGACACTCAACAATCCGATACTTATTTAGACACTTAACAGACACTTAACAATACGATACTTATTTAAACACTTAACAATACGATACTTATTTAGACACTTAATAATACGATACTTATTTAGACACTCAACAATACGATACTTATTTAGACACTCAACAATCCGATACTTATTTAGACACTCAACAATACGATACTTATTTAGACACTTAACAATACGATACTTATTTAGACACTTAACAATACGATACTTATTTAGACACTTAACAATACGATACTTATTTAAACACTTAACAATACGATACTTATTTAGACACTTAATAATACTATACTTATTTAGACACTTAACAATACGATACTTATTTAGACACTCAACAATACGATACTTATTTAGACACTCAACAATACGATACTTATTTAGACACTTAACAATACGATACTTATTTAGACACTCAACAATACGATACTTATTTAGACACTCAACAATACAATACTTATTTAGACACTCAACAATACGATACTTATTTAGACACTTAACAATACGATACTTATTTAGACACTCAACAATACGATACTTATTTAGACACTCAACAACACGATACGTATTTAGACACTCAACAATCCGATACTTATTTAGACACTCAACAATACGATACTTATTTAGACACTTAACAATACGATACTTATTTAGACACTTAACAATACGATACTTATTTAGACACTTAACAATACGATACTTATTTAAACACTTAACAATACGATACTTATTTAGACACTTAATAATACGATACTTATATAGACACTTAACAATACGATACTTATTTAGACACTCAACAATCCGATACTTATTTAGACACTCAACAATACGATACTTATTTAGACACTTAACAATACGATACTTATTTAGACACTCAACAATACGATACTTATTTAGACACTCAACAATACAATACTTATTTAGACACTCAACAATACGATACTTATTTAGACACTTAACAATACGATACTTATTTAGACACTCAACAATACGATACTTATTTAAACACTCAACAATATGATACATATTTAGACACTCAACAATCCGACACCCACTGACACAGTCAACAATCTGATATTCAAGTGCAGGTGTCAGTATAGTGTTTACTAAAACCATCACTTCAAACATGAAACGTTTGTGAGTGAGTTTATTTCATGCCACACTCAGCAATATTTCAACTATATGGCGGCAGTCTATAAATAATCGAGTCTGGACCACACAATCCAGTGATCAACAGCATGAGCATCAACCTACGCAATTGGGATATTATGACTTGTGTCAACAAAGTCACCGAGCCTGACCACCCGATCCCGTTAGTAGCCTCTAACAACAAGCATGGGTTACTGAAGATCAATTCTAACCCGGATCTTCACGGATGAAACGTTTGTGACCTCAGTTAAGTGTGAATTAATGGATGTCTTGGTTCTCTGCTAGGCCATATATGGATAGCTCCCCTGCAGTGTTAGAAAGATAAGTACCTCAACTCAATTTCTGTTTCCAGTGCTGTGATCTGTGAAATGACACTGTCTTGTTCAAAGCTTACATCCTCAGTGGAGCCTTCTGAGTTGACCCAGGCCATTTTCTGTAGTCAAAAATATGCATGTCAGTAAAACTCTGCCAGCAATACACACAAATATCATCTCAACTATACCATACAACTAAAAACACACTTAGTGCTATTCACATATTAAAGTAAAATATATCTGAACTAATGGCTTCTTGCAGATAAACAATTGTGGTTTGTATGTTGGTAGCCTTTTGAGTCTAAATGTTCACTTAGCTACATACTCACTTTCTTCGGGGGTGTATCATCCAGCTTGGCCTTGAGGTCGGCCAGCTGTGTAGCGAGTGTCTTGCGGTCGGCCAGCAGACTGTCCAGGTGATACTTGGCCTCTCGGATGCTGACCTGCACGTCCAGCTCCTGGCTGAGCCAAGCCTGTGACACACAACTTCATCATACATCTCTGGTAGACCAGGCAGGGTTTTACTTTACACGCATACAAGAATCTGCCACATCACATGTGCCACACCACTGTAGATCACCCAGACTCCAACATACTAACAAAGAGAGCCCCTTTAAAACAGCTGTTGTCGTCATAACATCTCAAACAGCTTCTGCATAATACTGAAGACTAAGTATCACATCAAAAACGGACCTCTACCCTTATAACAATAACCACTTACTCTCCTCTCCCTTGACAGCCACACCCAGCCACTGACCCATTCAATCATAACCACACCCAGCCACTGACCCCTCCCTTTAATAACCACACCCACCTATTGACCCTCCCTTAATCACCACACCCACCTATTGACCCTCCCTTAATCACCACATCCACCTATTGACCCCTCCCTTAATCACCACACCCACCTATTGACCCCTCCCTTAATCACCACACCCACCTATTGACCCTCCCTTTAATCACCACACCCACCTATTGACCCTCCTTAATCACCACACCCAGCCACTGACCCTCCCTAAATCACCACACCCACCTACTGACCCTCCCTTAATCACCACACCCACCTATTGACCCTCCCCTTAATCACCACACCCACCTACTGACCCCTCCCCTTTAATCACCACACCCACCTACTGACCCCCTCCCTTAATCACCACACCCAGCCACTGACCCTCCCCTAAATCACCACAGCCACCTATTGACCCTCCCTTTAATCACCACCCCCAGCCACTGACCCTCTCCTTAATCACCACCCCAGCCACTGACCCTCCCCTTAATCACCACACCCAGCCACTGACCCCTCCCTTAATCACCACACCCAGCTACTGACCTCCCTTAATCACCACACCCAGCCACTGACCCTCCCCCTTAATCACCACACCCAGCCACTGACCCTCCCTAATCACCACACCCAGCCACTGACCCTCCCCTTAATCACCACACCCAGCTACTGACCCTCCCTTAATCACCACACCCACCTACTGACCCTCCCTTAATCACCACACCCAGCCACTGACCCTCCCTTAATCAATCACCACCCAGCTACTGACCCTCTCCCTTAATCACCACACCCAGCTACTGACCCTCTCCCTTAATCACTCACACCCACCTACTGACCCTCCCTTTTAATCACCACCCCCAGCCACTGACCCTCCCCTTAATCACCACATCCAGCCACTGACCCTCCCTTAATCACCACACCCCAGCCACTGACCCTCCCTTTAATCACCACACCCACCTACTGACCCTCCCTTAATCACCACACCCAGCTACTGACCCCTCCTTTAATCACTCACATCCACCTACTGACCCTCCCTTAATCACCACCCCCCAGCCACTGACCCTCCCTTAATCACACACCAGCCTACTGACCCTCCCTAATCACCACACCCAGCCACTGACCCTCCCCCTTAATCACCACACCCAGCCACTGACCCTCCCTTAATCACCACACCCAGCCACTGACCCTCCCCTTAATCACCACATCCACCTACTGACCCTCCTTTAATCACCACCCCAGCCACTGACCCTCCCTTAATCACCACACCCACCTACTGACCCTCCCCTTTAATCACCACACCCATCTATTGACCCTCCCTTAATCACCACATCCACCTACTGACCCTCCCTTTAATCACCACACCCAGCCACTGACCCTCCCTTTAATCACCACACCCACCTATTGACCCTCCCTTAATCACCACATCCACCTACTGACCCCTCCCTTAATCACCACACCCAGCCACTGACCCCTCCCTTAATCACCACACCCACCTACTGACCCTCCCTTTAATCACCACATCCACCTACTGACCCTCCTTAATCACCACCCCCACCTACTGACCCTCCCTTAATCACACACCCCCAGCCACTGACCCTCTCTTAATCACCACACCCACCTACTGACCCTCCCTTAATCACCACATCCACCTATTGACCCTCCCTTAATCACCACACCCACCTGTTGACCTCCCTTAATCACCACTCACACCCAGCCACTGACCCTCCCCTTAATCACCACCCCAGCCACTGACCCTCCCCTAAATCACCACACCCACCTACTGACCCTCCCTTAATCACCACCCCCCAGCCACTGACCCTCCTAAATCACAACCAGCCACTGACCCTCCCTTTAATCACCACACCCAGCTACTGACCCTCCCTTTAATCGCCACATCCAGCCATTGACCCTCCCCTAAATGCCACACCCAGCTACTGACCCTCCCTTAATCACCACACCCACCTACTGACCCTCCTTAATCACCACCCCAGCCACTGACCCTCCCTTAATCACCACACCCCAGCCACTGACCCCTCCTCCCACCAGCCCTGACCCTCCCTTAATCACCACCCCCACCTACTGACCCTCCCTTAATCACCACCACCACCTGCCCTGACCCTCCTTAATCACCACCACCCACCTACTGACCCTCCCTTAATCACCACACCCACCTATTGACCCTCCCTTAATCACCACCCCAGCCACTGAACCCTCCCTAATCACCACCCCCAGCCACTGACCCTCCCTTAAACGCCACACCCACCTACTGACCCTCCCCTAATCTCCACCCCCAGCCACTGATCCCTCCCTTAATCACCACACCCAGCCACTGACCCTCCTTTAATTGCCACACCCAGCTACTGATCCCTCCCTTAATCACCACACCCAGCTACTGACCCTCCCTTAATCGCCACACCCACCTACTGACCCTCCCCTAATCGCCACATCCAGCTACTGACCCTGACTCTGTTGCCGATGCTGCTACCATCACACTTGTTCAGCTGTTTACTCCTCTCTTCCATCACTGTCTTCTGCCGTGCTAGGGCATCCTTCAGCCTCCTGTTGGCTGCAGCTGCCTCCTCAGCCTTCCGTCTCAGGACAGTCTGCTGCTTCTCATGGGTCTTCTGCATCTTCTGGATCTCACACTGTCGCTTGAGGTCCTGGTGACAGAGGGATGATTTTTTATCTGCTGTTCCAACAACCTTTCCAAAGACCATCTTTACTAGAGTAAATACAAGTCATTGTGAATCCAGGCCCAGATACTTCAAAGATAAACACACTGAATTTTGACCAAGTTGTAAGTGACACTGACTCAGGTAAGTTCGAGATGTATGTAACCTGCATGATCCAGATGCATGTCGTAATGTGGTAGTGTTATATATTGTGTAATAATGCTCCAGATGTAATACATTGTACAAGGGCATTCAGTGAGGGGCAGTGGTGTGCTACCCTTGCACCTGGACTTGATTTAGACAGAAAGATCAGGACAGTGGCATAAGGAGCATATTCGGAACCATCTGTACAATATCTCTGCCATCTTCTTCTTAGGTATGTAAGGGGGGTTAACTCTTGCATTACTCCCACATTACATCTCAAGCCAAAAGAAGACTAGCTTTGGTGTAATCATTCTACACTATGAATTGTTTGCCTAATTTGGACGTTTGGATTACCGTTGGGAGAGGTGAATATTACAATCAAAGTCTTAACTGCTGTAACCACTGTTCTTGCATTACATTACCTTTGACCGCCATATAGCTGGTATATTGCTGGGTGCAGAGTAAAACTAAACTCACTCACTCACATTACCTTTGACTGCCATATAGCTGGTATATTGCTGAGTGCGCGTAACACTAAACTCACTCACATTACCTTTAACCGCCATATAGCTGGTATATTGCTGAGTGCAGGGTAAAACTAAACTCACTCACTCTCATTACCTTTGACCGCCATATAGCTGGTATATTGCTGAGTGCAGCGTAAAACTAAACTCACTCACTCACATTACCTTTGACCGCCATATAGCTGGTATATTGCTGAGTGTGGCGTAAAACTAAACTCACTCACTCACATTACCTTTGACCGCCATATAACTGGTATATTGCTGAGTGCGGCGTAAAACTAAACTCACTCACTCACATTACCTTTGACTGCCATATAGCTGGTATATTGCTGAGTGCAGCGTAAAACTAAACTCACTCACTCACATTACCTTTGACCGTCATATAGCTGGTATATTGCTGAGTGCGGGGTAAAACCTAACTCACTCACTCACATTACCTTTGACCGCCATATAGCTGGTATATTGCTGAGTGTGGCGTAAAACTAAACTCACTCACTCACATTACCTTTGAATTTGTACTGCCACTCTGATTTGTACTGCAATAGTGACACCTTTGTACTGATCTCACCTGGTTAACCTAGTAGTTTCAACTTGGGAGTCAGTCACCCAGATGCATTTGACCTGACTGACCGCTTAGCATGTAACCTTCTTGGCCCAATACCATGTAACCTTCTTGGCCCAATACCATGTAACCTTCTTGGCCCAATACCATGTAACCTTCTTGGCCCAATACCATGTAACCTTCTTGGCCCAATACCATGTAACCTTCTTGGCCCAATACCATGTAACCTACTTGGCCCAATACCATGTAACCTTCTTGGCCCAATACCATGTAACCTTCTTGGCCCAATACCATGTAACCTTCTTGGCCCAATACCATGTAACCTACTTGGCCCAATACCATGTAACCTACTTGGCCCAATACCATGTAACCTTCTTTCCCAAACCATGTAACCTACTTGGCCCAATACCATGTAACCTACTTGGCCCAATACCATGTAACCTTTCATTTGACCCAATACCATGTGTAACCTTCTTGGCCCAATACCATGTAACCTACTTGGCCTAATACCATGTAACCTACTTGTACTACAATACCATGTAACCTACTTGGCCCAATAATGTAACCTTCCCAATACCATGTAACCTAACCTTGGCCCAATACCATGTAAACCTTGGCCCAATACCATGTAACCTTTGAACAATACCATGTAACCTTTCTTGGCCCAATACCATGTAACCTAACTTGGCCCAATACCATGTAACCTTTCCATGTAACCTACTTTGACCCAATACCATGTAACCTTCTTGGCCCAATACCATGTAACCTTCTTGGCCCAATACCATGTAACCTTCTTGGCCCAATACCATGTAACCTACTTGGCCCAATGTAACCTTCTTGGCCCATGTAACCTTCTTGGCCCAATACCTTGGCCCCATGTAACCTACTTGGCCCAATACCATGTAACCTTCTTGGCCCAATACCATGTAACCTACTTGGCCCAATACCATGTAACCTTCTTGGCCCAATACCATGTAACCTACTTGACCCAATACCATGTAACCTACTTGGCCCAAAACCACGTAACCTTTCATGTAACCTTCTTGGCCCAATACCATGTAACCTTCCATGTAACCTTCTTGGCCCAATACCATGTAACCCAATACCATGTAACCTACTTGGCCCAATACCATGTAACCTTCTTGGCCCAATACCATGTAACCTTACTTGACACAATAGTATGTAACCTTCTTGGCCCAATAACCATGTGTAACCTCCTTGGACCAATACCATGTAACCCTTCTTGGCCCAATACCATGTAACCTTCTTGGCCCAATACCATGTAACCTTCTTGCCCAATACCATGTAACCTACTTGGCCCAATACCATGTAACCTTACTTGGCCCAATACCATGTAACCTTCTTGGTAACCTTCAATACCATGTAACCTTCTTGGCCCAATACCATGTAACCCTATACCATGTAACCTACTTGGCCCCCATGTAACCTTCTTGGCCCAACCATGTAATGTAACCTTCTTGGCCCAATACCATGTAACCATGTAACCTAACTTGGACCAATACCATGTAACCTTCTTGGCCCAATACCATGTAACCTACTTGGCCCAATACCATGTAACCTTCTTGGCCCAATACCATGTAACCTTCCATGTAACCTACTTGGCCCAATACCATGTAACCTACTTGGCCCAATACCATGTAACCTACTTGGCCCAATACCATGTAACCTTCTTGGCCCAATACCATGTAACCTTCTTGGCCCAATACCATGTAACCTACTTGGCCCAATACCATGTAACCTTCCATGTAACCTTCTTGGCCCAATACCATGTAACCTTCTTGGCCCAATACCATGTAACCTTCTTGGCCCAATACCATGTAACCTTCTTGGCCCAATACCATGTAACCATGTAACCTTTTGGCCCAATACCATGTAACCTTCTTGGCCCAATACCATGTAACCTTCTTGGCCCAATACCATGTAACCTTCTTGGCCCAATACCATGTAACCTTCTTGGCCCAATACCATGTAACCTTACTTGGCCCAATACCATGTAACCTACTTGGTAACCCCACCATACCATGTAACCTTCTTGGCCCAATACCATGTTACTTGACACAATACCATGTAACCTTCTTGGCCCAATACCATGTAACCTTCTTCTTGGCCCAATAATACCATGACCCAATAACATGTAACCTTCTTGGCCCAATACCATGTAACCTACTTGGCCCAATACCATGTAACCTACTTGGCCCAATACCATGTAACCTTCTTGGCCCAATACCATGTAACCTTCTTGGCCCAATACCATGTAACCTTCTTGGCCCAATACCATGTAACCTACTTGACCCAATACCATGTAACCTTCTTGGCCCAATACCATGTAACCTTCTTGGCCCAATACCATGTAACCACTTCCATGTAACCTTCTTGGCCCAATACCATGTAACCTACTTGGTCCAATACCATGTAACCTTCTTGGCCCAATACCATGTAACCTACTTGGTCCAATACCATGTAACCTTCTTGGCCCAATACCATGTAACCTTCTTGGCCCACCATAACCTTGGGTCCAATACCATGTAACCTTCTTTGGCCCAATACCATGTAACCTACTTGGCCCAATACCATGTAACCTTCTTGGCCCAATACCATGTAACCTTCTTGGCCCAATACCATGTAACCTACTTGGCCCAATACCATGTAACCTACTTGGCCCAATACCATTACTTGGCCCAATACCATGTAACCTACTTGGCCCAATACCATGTAACCTACTTGGCCCAATACCATGTTACTTGGCCCAATACCATGTAACCTACTTGACAAAATAGTATGTAACGTATGTGATGCAGACCCCTAGTGATGTGACGTAGATGGCAGTTACCGATGTGACCCTGATGCAATACAACCAATGTAACCCAGATCCATGCGAATGATGTCAACTAGAATCATGTGACCTAAGTGACCCAGATGCCAGTGATGTGACCAGTGTGACCTACCTTCTGCTGCAGCTGTAGCACCTCCTTATCTTTCTGCTGCTTCCACTTCCGGAACGACTCAGCATCCTCCTTGATCTGCTTCATAAGTTTGACTCTCTGGTGCTTCATGGACTGCAGACACAACACAGACATGTTACTAGACATAGATAGACTTCATTAGACAGACACCAACACAGTCAGATCAGTTGTCAGACACAACACAGACACGTTATTAGACATAGGGAGACTTCAGTAGACAGACACCAACAGTCGGGTCAGGTTTCAGACACAACACAGACACGTTATTAGACATAGGGAGACTTCAGTAGACAGGCACCAACAGTCGGGTCAGTAGTCAGACACAACACAGACACGTTATTAGACATAGGGAGACTTCAGTAGACAGGCACCAACATCGGGTCAGCTGTCAGACACAACACAGACACGTTATTAGACATAGGGAGACTTCAGTAGACAGGTACAAACATCGGGTCAGTTGTCAGACACAACACAGACACGTTATTAGACATAGGGAGACTTCAGTAGACTGACACCAACAGTCGGGTCAGTAGTCAGACACAACACAGACACGTTATTAGACATAGGGAGACTTCAGTAGACAGGTACCAACATCGGGTCAGTTGTCAGACACAACACAGACACGTTATTAGACATAGGGAGACTTCAGTAGACAGTAGACAGGTACCAGACAACATCGGGTCAGTTGTCATCGGGACACAACACAGACACGTTATTAGACATAGGGAGACTTCAGTAGACAGGCACCAACATCGGGTCAGTTGTCAGACACAACACAGACACGTTATTAGACATAGGGAGACTTCAGTAGACAGGCACCAACATCGGGTCAGCTGTCAGACACAACACAGACACGTTATTAGACATAGGGAGACTTCAGTAGACAGGTACCAACATCGGGTCAGTTGTCAGACACAACACAGACACGTTATTAGACATAGGGAGACTTCAGTAGACAGGTACCAACATCGGGTCAGTTGTCAGAAGACACAGGCACTTGAGACAATTCCTTTGGGAAGACAAATTGGTTCAATACACCATGGTGTGATATATTGTAAATTTTGGTGTGCTCTACTTAGACTTGTGCTATATTTAGCCTTACAGTAGATTTAAACAGATCAATCTGGAAAGAGCAACAATCACCCGCTTAAGTGTAGACTCTTTTTCTTAGATATATGCTTCACATCTCACATTACATCTTAAGCCACAAGAAGACCAGCATTTGGTGTGATCAGTCCATAATGTGAATACTCAGAGGTTGGATTACTGTTAATCACATTATATTTGAGTTTGTACAGCCACTATATTCTGTACTGCCATAGTGATACTTTTGTAGTCTAATTTTTAGAATTAATAATATCTCCTTTCTTTGCTGTTTATTGGCTCCACACCTGGTTTTTGATTTGCAATTAAGTTTTTAGTTTCAACTTGACAATCAGCACATAGCACATGTTGTACCTGGATGTCTGTGTTGAGCTTCAGAACCTGCTTGTCTGACTGCTCCTTCAACTTCACCATCTTACTCTGCTCCACCATCTTCTTCTTCAACTTCCCCTATCTGTGTCTCTGCAGCTCCTGCATCCTGGAGATACAAGCAGCGTGTACAGGCCCCAGCACTTATAGAGCTTACAGCTCACTGATCCTGAGATACAAGCAGCTGTACAGGCCACTTACCAGCACTTATAGAGCACTTACAGACACACAGCTGTACAACCCTCCAGCACTTACAGACACACAGCTGTACAGGCCTCCAGCACTTCCACAGACTACAGACACACAGCTGTACAGGCCTCCAGCACTTACAGACACACAGGCCTCCAGCAGGTACAGGCCTCCAGCACACTTACAGACACACAGGTGTACAGGCCTCCAGCACTACACAGACACACAGCTGTACAGGCCTCCAGCACTTACAGACACACAGGTGTACAGGCCTCCAGCACTAACAGACACACAGCTGTACAGGCCTCCAGCATACAGCACACACAGGTGTACAGGCACTTACAGACACACAGGTGTACAGGCCACCAGCACTTACAGACACACAGCTGTACAGGCCTCCAGCAGCCTCCAGCACCTACAGACACACAGCTGTACAGGCCTCCAGCACTTACAGACACAGCTGTACAGGCCTCCAGCACTTACAGACACACAGCTGTACAGGCCTCCAGCACTAACAGACACACAGCTGTAGCAGGCCTCCAGCACTTACAGCTGTACAGGGCCTCCAGCACTTACAGACACACAGGTGTACAGGAGCTCCAGCACTAACAGACACACAGCTGTACAGGCCACCAGCACTTACAGACACACAGCTGTAGGCCACAGGAATCCAGCACAGACACACAGCTGTACAGGGCCACCAGCACTAACAGACACACAGCTGTACAGGCCTCCAGCACTTACAGACACACAGCACTAACAGACACACAGCTGTACAGGCCTCCAGCACTAACAGACACACAGCTGTACAGGCCACCAGCACTTACAGACACACAGCTGTACAGGCCTCCAGCACTAACAGACACACAGCTGTACAGGCCACCAGCACTTACAGACACACAGCTGTACAGGCCTCCAGCACTAACAGACACACAGCTGTACAGGCCTCCAGCACTTACAGACACACAGCTGTACAGGCCTCCAGCACTTACAGACACACAGCTGTACAGGCCTCCAGCACTTACAGACACACAGCTGTACAGGCCTCCAGCACTTACAGACACACAGCTGTACAGGCCTCCAGCACAGCTGTACAGGCCTCCAGCACTTACAGACACACAGCTGTACAGGCCTCCAGCACTTACAGACACACACAGCTGTACAGGCCAGGCCTCCAGCACTAACAGACACACACACAGGCCTCCAGTACAGACACAGTACAGGCCTCCAGCACTTACAGACACACAGCTGTACAGGGCCTCCAGCACTTACAGACACACAGCTGTACAGGCCTCCAGCACCTCCAGCACTAACAGACACACAGCTGTACAGGTACACACACACAGCTGTACAGGCCTCCAGCACTTACAGACACACAGCTGTACAGGCCTCCAGCACTTACAGACACACAGCTGTACAGGCCTCCAGCACTTACAGACACACAGGTGTACAGGCCTCCAGCACTTACAGACACACAGGTGTACAGGCCTCCAGCACTTACAGACACACAGCTGTACAGGCCTCCAGCACTTACAGACACACAGCTGTACAGGCCACCAGCACTTACAGCACTGTACAGGCCTCCAGCACCTCAGACACACAGCTGTACAGGCCTCCAGCACTTACAGACACACAGGTGTACAGGCCTCCAGCACTTACAGACACACAGCTGTACAGGCCACCAGCACTTACACACACACAGCTGTACAGGCCTCCAGCACTAACAGACACACAGCTGTACAGGCCTCCAGCACTTACAGACACACAGCTGTACAGGCCAGGCCACCAGCACTTACAGACACACAGCTGTACAAGCCTCCAGCACTTACAGACTTACACACACTGTACAGGCCTCCAGCACTTACAGACACACAGCTGTACAGGCCTCCAGCACTTACAGACACACAGCTGTACAGGCCTCCAGCACTTACAGACACACAGCTGTACAGGCCACCAGCACTTACAGACACACAGCTGTACAGGCCACCAGCACTAACAGACACACAGGTGACACACACAGCTGTAAAGGCCTCCAGCACTTACAGACACAGCTGTACAGGGCCTGTACAGACACACAGCTGTACAGGCCTCCAGCACTAACAGACACACCCAGGCCTCCAGACACACAGCTGTACAGGCCACCACCACTAACAGACACACAGCTGTACAGGCCTCCAGGCCTCCAGCACTACAGCCTGCAGCAGGCCTTACAGACACACAGACACAGACACACAGCTGTACAGCACTTGAACCTCCAGCAGCACTTAACAGACACACAGCTGTACAGACCTCCAGACACACACAGCTGTACAGGCCTCCAGCACTTACAGACACACAGCTGTACAGGCCACCAGCACTTACAGACACACAGGTGTACAAGCCTCCAGCACTACAGACACACAGCTGTACAGGCTCACCAGCACTTACAGACACACAGCTGTACAGGCCACAGGGCCTGTACAGGCCACCAGCACTTCAGCACAGACACACAGGTGTACAGGCCTCCAGCACTTACAGACACACACACAGCTGTACAGCCTCCAGGACTAACAGACACACAGCTGTACAGGCCACCAGCACTAACAGACACACTGGCTGTACAGGCCTCCAGCACTTACAGACACACAGCTGTACAGGCCTCCAGCACTAACAGACACACAGCTGTACAGGCCTCCAGCACTAACAGACACACAGCTGTACAGGCCTCCAGCACTTACAGACACTTACAGACACACAGCTGTACAGGCCACCAGCACTTACAGACACACAGCTGTACAGGCCACCAGCAGCTAACAGCACTAACACACAGACACAGCCTGACAGCCTATACAGACACACACAGCTGTACAGGCCTCCAGCACTAACAGACACACAGCTGTACAGGCCTCCAGCACTAACAGACACACAGCTGTACAGGCCTCCAGCACTTACAGACACACAGCTGTACAGGCCTCCAGCACTTACAGACACACAGCTGTACAGGCCACCAGCACTTACAGACACACACTGTACAGCCTCCAGCACACAGACACACTGTACAGGCCTCCAGACACACACTGTACAGGCCTCCAGCACTAACAGACACACAGCTGTACAGGCCTCCAGCACACAGCTGTACAGGCCTCCAGCACTAACAGACACACACAGACACACAGCTGTACAGGCCTCCAGCACTTACAGGCCTCCACAGACACACAGCTGTACAGGCCTCCAGCACTTACAGACACACAGCTGTACAGGCCTCCAGCACTTACAGACACACAGCTGTACAGGCCTCCAGCACTTACAGACACACAGCTGTACAGGCCTCCAGCACTTACAGACACACAGCTGTACAGGCCTCCAGCACTGTACAGACACACAGCTGTATAGGCCTCCAGGCCTCCAGCACAGGCCTACAGACACACAGCTGTACAGGCCACCAGCACTTACAGACACACAGTACAGGCCTCCAGCTGTACAGGCCTCCAGCACTAACAGACACAGACTCCACACACAGCAGCTGTACAGGCCTCCTGCACTAACAGCACTTACAGACACACAGCTGTACAGGCCTCCAGCACTTACAGACACACAGCTGTACAGGCCTCCAGCACTTACAGACACACAGCTGTACAGGCCTCCAGCACTTACAGACACACAGCTGTACAGGCCTCCAGCACTTACAGACACACAGCTGTACAGGCCTCCAGCACTTACAGACACACAGCTGTACAGGCCTCCAGCACTTACAGACACACAGCTGTACAGGCCTCCACCACTTACAGACACACAGCTGTACAGGCCTCCAGCACTTACAGACACACAGCTGTACAGGCCTCCAGCACTTATAGAGCACTTACAGACACACAGCTGTACAGGCCACCAGCACTTACAGACACAGCTGTACAGGCCTCCAGCTGTACAGGCCTCCAGCACTTACAGACACACAGCTGTATAGGCCTCCTGCACTAACAGACACACAGCTGTACAGGCCTCCAGCACTTACAGACACACAGCTGTACAGGCCTCCTGCACTAACAGACACACAGCTGTACAGGCCTGCAGCACTTACAGACACACAGCTGTACAGCTGTACAGGCCTCCAGCACTTACAGACACACACTGTACAGCTGTAGCTGTACAGGCCTCCAGCACTTACAGACACACAGCTGTACAGGCCTCCAGCACTTACAGACACACAGCTGTACAGGCCTCCAGCACTTACAGACACACAGCTGTACAGGCCTCCAGCACTTACAGACACACAGCTGTACAGGCCACCAGCACTTACAGACACACAGCTGTACAGGCCTCCAGCACTTACAGACACACAGCTGTACAGGCCACCAGCACTTACAGAGCAATTCCACTGAAGACACACAGCTGTACAGACCATCGGCACTTACACGGCACAGACACACAGCTGTACAGGCCTCCAGCACTTACAGAGCACTTCCACTTACAGAACACCAGCTGCACAGACCATCGGCACTTAACACAGCAGACATACAGCTGTACAGGCCTGCAGCACTTACAGACACACAGCTGTACAGGCCTCCAGCACTTACAGACACACAGCTGTACAGGCCTCCAGCACTTACAGCAACATACATGTGACTGAATATAGAGCATCAACATATATCATACAAACACCAGAAGTAGTACGGATTGTACCCTCCAAGCTACAGCACTTACAGCAACATACATGTGACTGAATATAGAGCATCAACATATATCATACAAACACCAGAAGTAGTATAGATTGTACCCTCCAAGCTACAGGACTTACTTGTTGGCTGCTGAGTTCATCTTGGCATCCATCAGGGCGTGGGAGAGATTCTCCTTCTCTTTCTGCAGATCTGTAATCTCTGTCTCCAGTTCCTTCACCGAGAGCTGGAACACAGAACAGACAGATATAGATACATGTCTAGAGTACATTATTACAGAACAGACACATGTCTAGAGTACATTGTTATAGGACAGTCAGACACATGTCTTGAGTGCATTGTTATAGGACAGACAGACAGACACATGTCTGGAGTACATAGAGACAGACAGACACATGTCTGGAGTACATCGATACAGAACAGACACATGTCTGGAGTACATCGTTATAGGGCAGACAGACACATGTCTTGAGTACATCGTTATACGGACAGACAGACACATGTCTAGAGTACATTGTTACAGAACAGACACATGTCTGGAGTACATTGTTATAGGACAGACAGACATATGTCTTGAGTACATCGTTATAGAACAGACAGACACATGTCTGGAGTACATTGTTATAGGACAGACAGACATATGTCTAGAGTACATTGTTACAGAACAGACACATGTCTAGAGTACATTGTTATAGGACAGACACATGTCTGGAGTACATCGTTATAGGGCAGACAGACACATGTCTAGAGTACATTGTTACAGAACAGACAGACAGACAGACACATGTCTAGAGTACATTGTTATAGGACAGTCAGACACATGTCTAGAGAACATTTTTATAGCAGACAGACACATGTCTAGAGTACATCGTTATAGGGCAGACAGACACATGTCTAGAGTACATTGTTATAGAGCAGACAGACAGACACATGTCTTGAGTACATTGTTATAGGGCAGACAGACACATGTCTGGAGTACATCGTTATAGGACAGACAGACACATGTCTAGAGTACATTGTTATAGGGCAGACAGACACATGTCTAGAGTACATTGTTATAGGGCAAACAGACACATGTCTAGAGTACATTGTTATAGAGCAGACAGACAGACACATGTCTTGAGTACATTGTTATAGGACAGACAGACACATGTCTGGAGTACATTGTTATAGGACAGACAGACACATGTCTAGAGTACATTGTTATAGAACAGACAGACAGACAGACACATGTCTAGAGTACATTGTTATAGAACAGACACATGTCTGGAGACATCGTTATAGGGCAGACAGACACATGTCTAGAGTACATCATTATAGGACAGACAGACACATGTCTGGAGTACATTGTTATAGGACAGACAGACAGACACATGTCTGGAGTACATCGATACAGAACAGACACATGTCTGGAGTACATCGTTATAGGGCAGACAGACACATGTCTGGAGTACATCGTTATAGGGCAGACAGACACACGTCTAGAGTACATTGTTACAGAACAGACACATGTCTAGAGTACATTGTTATAGGACAGACACATGTCTGGAGTACATCGTTATAGGACAGACAGACACATGTCTGGAGTACATCGTTATAGGGCAGACAGACACATGTCTAGAGTACATTGTTATAGAACAGACAGACAGACAGACACATGTCTTGAGTACATTGTTACAGAACAGACACATGTCTAGAGTACATTGTTATAGGACAGTCAGACACATGTCTAGAGTACATTGTTATAGGACAGACAGACACATGTCTGTAGTACATCGTTATAGGACAGACAGACACATGTCTAGAGTACATTGTTATAGAACAGACAGACAGACAGACACATGTCTTGAGTACATTGTTATAGGACAGACAGACACATGTCTGTAGTACATCGTTATAGGACAGACAGACACATGTCTAGAGTACATTGTTATAGAACAGACAGACAGACAGACACATGTCTTGAGTACATTGTTACAGAACAGACAGACATGTCTTGAGTACATTGTTATAGGACAGACAGACAGACAGACTGACAGACAGACAGACAGATGTCTGGAGTACATTGTTATAGGACAGACAGACAGACACATGTCTGGAGTACATCATTATAGGGCAGACAGACACATGTCTGGAGTACATCGTTATAGGACAGACAGACACATGTCTAGAGTACATTGTTATAGAACAGACAGACAGACAGACAGACACATGTCTTGAGTACATCTTGAGTACATTGTTATATAGACAGACAGACAGATGTCTAGAGTACATTGTTATACAGACAGACAGACACATGTCTAGAGTACATTGTTATAGAACAGACAGACAGACAGACAGACACATGTCTGGAGTACATCATTATAGGACAGACAGACACATGTCTGGAGTACATTGTTATAGGACAGACACATGTCTGGAGTACATCGTTATAGGACAGACACATGTCTAGAGTACATTGTTATAGGACAGACACATGTCTGGAGTACATCGTTATAGGACAGACAGCTAGAGTACATTGTTATAGGACAGACAGACAGACAGACACATGTCTAGAGTACATTGTTATAGAACAGACAGACAGACAGACACATGTCTAGAGTACATTGTTATAGAACAGACAGACAGACAGACAGACAGATGTCTGGAGTACATCATTATAGGACAGACAGACAGACACATGTCTGGAGTACATCATTATAGGACAGACAGACACATGTCTGGAGTACATTGTTATAGGACAGACACATGTCTGGAGTACATCGTTATAGGACAGACACATGTCTAGAGTACATTGTTATAGGACAGACACATGTCTGGGGTACATCGTTATAGGACAGACAGACACATGTCTGGAGTACATCATTATAGGACAGACAGACACATGTCTGGAGTACATTGTTATAGGACAGACACATGTCTGGAGTACATTGTTATAGGACAGACACATGTCTAGAGTACATTGTTATAGGACAGACACATGTCTGGAGTACATCGTTATAGGACAGACAGACACATGTCTAGAGTACATTGTTATAGAACAGACAGACAGACAGACAGACACATGTCTTGAGTACATTGTTATAGAACAGACAGACATGTCTTGAGTACATTGTTATAGAACAGACAGACATGTCTAGAGTACATTGTTATAGGACAGTCAGACACATGTCTAGAGAACATTTTTATAGGACAGTCAGACACATGTCTAGAGAACATTTTTATAGGACAGTCAGACACATGTCTAGAGTACATTGTTATAGAACAGACAGACAGACAGACAGACACATGTCTTGAGTACATTGTTATAGAACAGACAGACATGTCTTGAGTACATTGTTATAGAACAGACAGACATGTCTTGAGTACATTGTTATAGAACAGACAGACATGTCTAGAGTACATTGTTATAGGACAGTCAGACACATGTCTAGAGAACATTTTTATAGGACAGTCAGACACATGTCTAGAGAACATTTTTATAGGACAGACACATGTCTAGAGTACATTGTTATAGGACAGACACATGTCTAGAGTACATTGTTATAGAGCAGACAGACAGACACATGTCTTGAGTACATTGTTATAGAACAGACAGACACATGTCTGGAGTACATTGTTATAGGACAGACAGACAGACACATGTCTGGAGTACATCATTATAGGGCAGACAGACACATGTCTGGAGTACATCGTTATAGGACAGTCAGACACATGTGTTCTGACATCTAGGCCCTGCCAAACACTGAACATCAATGGAGTTCTACTGACATCAGTCTCACCCATCACTGAACACCATGGTGTCCACTAACCTCAGGGACCTGTCACATTTCAAACAATGAACCATTCAACTGACCTCATAGTGTTTCTTCATGGTCTCCATCTTGCCATCGTTGTCCGTCATCTGAGACGCCAGCTCCTCCTTCTTGGCCAGGAGTCGGTTCAGCTCCTGAAGCTCCCTGTTCATCTGAGCTTGTTTCAACACATGCTGTGTGGAGATGGCGCGGCTGTCTGGTGTCGACGGCAGAGCCTCTCCGTCGTCATCCTGCCAATGATAAAAGATGTAAAAATGTCAATGCATACATACAGCGAGGAAATACCGGAAGTCAGACTTAGTAAACAGATCACAGATCAAATAGCCTTGGAAAATACACCATAAAGGAATGGTGGCAGCATTCAAACAATTCATTTGTACAACTCCCTACAGTAGTCATGCTCAAAACAAATATACAAAGAGAAGAGTCCCACCTACAAATGTTTGTCAAAGTTGTAGCTTCTAATTATTGTCACCTGATATTTCAGGTCCGTGGAACCCAGTTCCCACTGCAGTAGCAAACAATGGAATATTTTCAAGTGAGACTGGAATATAATATCCAATGAGAAGAGGTATACCATAAGCTGTAACCTCTCCTGCAAGAAAAACTAAATGGCCCCATTGTCACACCCAGCTGGAAGACAAGTAGATACCTACCTCAGGCTCAAGGGATTCATCAATCAAGTCATCACTTCGTTCTTCCTCTGACTGAAACACAGAAAGACAGAAATATGTGTAATATCCACACAGGAAAACTGTAATTTTAGTTCATGCCACATATAATAGTATACCAGACTTTTTAGTTAAACAACTGACTGAAGACATACACCTACATGTACACAGAAACTACTATGGGGCGAGCTGGCTAAGGCGCCAGGCTAGTGATCCAGCGAGGTTGAGGTGTCGGGATCGAGCCCACCTGTGACTGGGTGTAAAAAACCTTGGAGTCAACTTTGTGTGCAGACTCTTTCAGTGTTGTCACAACCCTTAGTGTACAGTACACAACCCTGTGCACTTAAAAGAACCCACGAATCCGTTGGTATTTGACCAGATGGTGGCCACATGAATACGTGCAAACACCTAGTTGCGGGTACAGCAACATGCAGTGAACATGGACAAAGTACTGTGACTATGTGTCCTAGTCCACCCAGCTGTAAATGGGTACTTCGTTAGGATAACGCCACAATAACTCGGTGCGCCTAGTGGCTGCAAGAGTTGTATACTCCCCAGGTAGTTGAGATTGATAATGCGATGTGCCGTTGAGATTGACATCCAATGATCGAGGGAAAAAATACCAGCGCCTTGAGCATGCACTAGTGCGTGGATATGTGAGCTATATAAATATCCTATAATAAATAAATACACAACAGAGGTACAGCTGTTACTCACATCTGTCCTTACGTTGTCTGCCAGTCTCCGCAGCTTCTCCAACTCACCCCTCATCTGGGGGGTTGCTGTCGGCATCGATGCTCTGACTCAGCAGCTCAAAGTCCACTCTGTGTAATGAGTAGAGAAACACTCAAAAATCATAATTATCTCAGAAAATACAAATGGACATGAGCTCTTGTCTACTCCATCATTAGGCCTTCTGTACACACACGCAGGGAGTGAGAGGGACACTATGCTGTTATGCTAAGACCAATGAAAACTTCGAGTGACTAGTTGATTTCTCTAAGTCAGTTTTGACCAGTGTGAGTGATATGGAGAGAAGATATCAGGCTGTTGACTGACTAGCTTGGCAAATACTGCATTCCTTAGGACATATCACATTGTGTCCTTGTGTTTGTACTAGCTTACAACCCTTGAGGTTCTTTTTCAGTAACAGAGGGAGTAAGTTTCTAAAGAAAACAAATTCAAAGCAGGACTTTTCCAGTAATTGTCAGCAAACCCCAAAAGATGTAAGCTTCATCACTTTCACTGATAATGGATAAAGTAACCTCTAACTTGTTGCCCTTCATTTTTTAGCTGAAACTGTTCTCATCACCATCACAACCAGCTACTGCTGTTGCTTACCCCGTGTGTGACTTGAACTCCCGGAGTTTCGACCTCAGTTTGTCCCTGCTCAGTTCTAACTTGATGGACCGTTCCAGGTTGATGGTGTTTTGATCCACTGACGACTGTAGCTCCTTTGTCAGTTTGGTGTTCTCCTCCTGAGGGTCAGACATGGGTGAGTGAGTGAGTGATGCATGTACTTCTGTATGTATCAGTGAGTGCAACAGTTGCCTGTAGGTAGTATGGACCAAGCAAACCAGTGACCAACAATATAGGGGAAGGAATCATGCTCAATGTTGGATACAAAAACTTAACTCCACCAGTTTCAGATGTACCTACATCTACCTTGAAAACCTCATTATCAAAATGCTGACATCGTCAAAGAGATACTTTTGTCAAGTGCATCTTACTGTTATTATTATAGCATTATAAGGACTACAACAAAATGCCCACCTCCAACAGTTTCGTTCTGTCCAGCATGGTCTTGTATTCTGTGCTGCTGCTGTTGACAGGGCTGGACAACAGAAACAATAATCATCTGTTAAATAAAAAGCAGTTCATGACAGCAGTCGACAGTTACCTCAATGTTCAGGCTTTCAGTTCTCTTTCACAAAGACAAAATTGGAAATTTTATAATAAATTGTACAGTTTTATACGATCATTTCCTTGCGGTTGGGGAGTTTGCAAGAGACCAGCTGTAAACATTTCAGATTACCATCTCGAATAATAGTATGTTTTCAAGGTCAGAAAAAGGGTCAGGAAATTTTGCCATATTTCTTTGAAAAGGTAATCAAAAAGATATACTTCAGGTCTTACCTTGACTGTTGTTTGACTGTTACAGTCACGTCCCCTGGACCACCCTGGATCATCTGGACCTGCAGCTGCTGGACCTGGAAATACATGTCATAATGTCATGACTGGGACCTGGTGGCGTAAGTCATTTTGTCATCACTGAAACCTGTTGGTGTAAGTCTTATTGTCATCACTGGGACCTGGTGGTGTAAGTCATATTGTCATCATCTGGACCTGGTGGTGTAGTCATATTGTCATCACTGGGACCTGGTGGTGTAAGTCATATTGTCATCACTGGGACCTGGTGGTGTAAGTCATATTGTCATCAGCAGGACCTGGTGGTGTAAGTCATATTGTCATCAGCAGGACCTGGTGGTGTAAGTCATATTGTCATCAGCAGGACCTGGTGGTGTAAGTCATATTGTCATCAGCAGGACCTGGTGGTGTAAGTCATATTGTCATCAGCAGGACCTGGTGGTGTAAGTCATATTGTCATCAGCAGGACCTGGTGGTGTAAGTCATATTGTCATCAGCAGGACCTGGAGATGTGGCCACTTGTCCAGTGGAGGGTCATGAAGCTAATTTCACAATGTGGTACCAGACATGTTCTCACCAGTGACTTGAGCCGCATGATCTCTTGCTGCTGGGGGTCTCGGTTGATGATGGGCTTGTTCTTGATCTTCCGCGCACGGTCAGCGTACCTCAGTGTGTTGATGGTCTCCTCCATGTTGGAGTCGGCAGGGCTGACACAGGCGATCATCAGGGTGTGGCTGTTGCCGCCCAGCGAGTCTGACAGAGGTGAACACGTGGCACATTATATCGGCTTGTCTATTGTGAACACTTTAGCCGTTTCCAGTTGTTCTGGTGATGTATTCTATGTATTGTGTTGTTGTTAAACAACCAGCAAATAATGAAATCTGGACCACATGAACCAGTGATACATATTATGAGCAGTTTCCTCAGTATTGGGTCACTGTCAGTAAGTCCCTGAGTCAATCCATTCCAGGGTTACCTCAGAACTTCACTACACAATCAAGACTGTGAAACGAGTTTTGTAACAGATGGAATCTGGCCACAAACACCAGCTTCCAGTTGTTACCTACCTTGCAGCAGACGAGTGAGTTTGGAGTCTCGGTAAGGAATGTGGTTCCTCTTCTGACTGTCGTCTCCCAGGGCGCTGATCACGTTACCCAGGGCCAGCAAACCGCGGTTGATGTTGATACCTGCGAGTGAACATATTTTCAGAATAAACCTTTCTTTAAAATTACTATATGACCCAAAATTTGATGAAATAAATATTGCCAGTGAACACCATGATCTGTCAACACTTCACACCAGACAAGAAATGTACATGTGAGTAGGAACGAAATACCCCAATACCATGTTATAAATACAAAGACTTCACAGGATTTATCGACACAAGGAATGAGGGTGTGACCCAGAGGAAAAAAGTACCTTTGTGCAAAATAAAAAGTACACTAGGACTTGAAAGTAAATCAGGGTTCAATTTTTTTTTAAATGTAACTTGCCCTGAAATACACAATGCCGTTTTAGAAAGTGGTCAAATGTAACATATGTTATATTTGGAATTACACTTTAGTAAAGTACAGATTCTAGTACTTTTTGGTTTTTTCTAGTTTTCTAGTTGTCCGACTTCCATTTTGTGGAAGCCGCGGTGGCTGAGCGGTCTAGGCGTCTGACTTTGTGTGCTGGTGATTAGGTGCCTGACTCTGAGGGTGTGGGTTCAAATCCCGGATGGGACTCAACCCAAAAAAGTACTAGAATCTGTACTTTACTAAGAAAGTGTAATCCCAAATATAACATATGTAACTTGCCCTGACTAATTTTCCACTTGCCCTGATTTTTTTTACATAGTTGTGATGATGTTATAATGAAAGAATAAATCAACATGGTATTTGATGTTAATGTTTACTGGACTTATTTCTGCTTTGCAGGTAATAATTGTTATTATTTTTTCATATAGAACATAGGAACATAAATCTCTTGGTGTCTTTAAGATAATTCAATCATGACTTGGAACGAGCTGGTAGTGCTTATGACTGACTGACTGACTGAGTTTGGTTTTACACCGCTTTTAGCAATATTCCAGCAACATCACGGCGGGGGACACCAGAAATGGGCTTAACACATTGTGCCCATGTGGGGAATCGAACCCGGGTCTTCAGCGTGACGAGCCAATGCTTTAACCACTAGGCTACCCCACCGCCCCGGTAGTGCTTATGGAATGTAACAGACAAAACCAACCTTGTGAAAAATATTGTTGATGAAAACAAGTGTTCCAGAATTGTTTGTGTTCGATTATGAGAAAACATGATCGATTACTTGGTCGTTTAGCGACTGCGACCAATCTTCGATTATTTCAATTAATCAGATCACCACTAGTATGTGCGGCTGCTTGTACTAGCCCAGACCGAAGCTGGTTTTATAGTGCTAGCCCACTGAGATACCATGCCGCAGTGAAGCATGAATACCCCACTCAGACACATTATACTGACTCTGAGCTGACCAGTCCTTGATGTACCCATTAATGTTGAGTCCCAGGTAGGGACCAACAAGTACCATATTTTAACATCTTTTGGTATGACGCGATCGGGGATCGAACCCGTGACCTTCCGCTCTCTGGGGGGACGCTCTAACCACTACACCACAGAGGCAGTCTAGTACTTTGAAGTACAGTATTTCAGTGGAGCTTGACTGAAACATTCAAACCTTTTGTCAATATATTTCACAATTACATCAATGAGTGAATTGAAGAACACATCCTGTTTGAAGTTTAAACGTTTTGACTGTCCAATCAGTCGAATCACACCATCAAAAGTACCATCTTGGTGTGAGTACAGATCCATGAAGGCTTTCAGGTTTTCTCCTGTCTCTGGCTGGACTTTTAGTTGGGTAAGTTTCAACATAACACCTTCCATTTCCTGGGCAACTGTAGTGACAAGATGGTCCTCCTTTTAGAACACAAGGGATACTTCAGTGAGTAGAGGGAGCACACCCAACTGAATAAACAATGTCTTAATGAAAGTCACAGTTTATATTTTTGCAAGCCAGCCCTTTGCTTTACAGCTCTGTTCAGTTCGCCCAGTAGCAACAGTTTCAATGTGTTGAATCACTGAATGGAGACTTGTCCAGTAGCAACAGTTTCAATGTGTTGAATCAACTGGAGACTTGTCCAGTAGCAACAGTTTCAATGTGTTGAATCACTGAATGGAGACTTGTCCAGTAGCAACAGTTTCAATGTGTTGAATGACTGAATGGAGACTTGTCCAGTAGCAACAGTTTCAATGTGTTGAATCACTGACTGGAGACTTGTCCAGTAGCAACAGTTTCAATGTGTTGAATCACTGAATGGAGACTTGTCCAGTAGCAACAGTTTCAATGTGTTGAATCACTGACTGGAGACTTGTCCAGTAGCAACAGTTTCAATGTGTTGAATCACTGACTGGAGACTTGTCCAGTAGCAACAGTTTCAATGTGTTGAATCACTGACTGGAGACTTGTCCTGAGAACCCTCACAGCCCTCACTTTGCTTGCCAACCACCTCACATTTTTCACATCACTCATATGAACCAAATCTGTTTCAAAGATCTGAGAAATAGTTTTAAGTTCTCTTCTCATTTTGGGGCTATTGTGGTAGAATTTGAACATCTGTTTCAACATCTCTTCAAGGTTACTCAGTGGCAACAAGCCTTTTACTGCATCCAACACAGACTGCTCAAGCTTGTTTGCTATACACTGACCAGGTACAACATAGGGAGCTTGCCGTTTGATCTTTGCCGCAACTCCTGAATGGTCACCCATCATCACAGAGGCACCGTCAAAGTTTACAGACACTAGTTTGGGCCCCTCATGGTCTTGTGATACAAGCTTTTCATAACTAATGTCATTGATTTCAAGAGCAGTTTTTATTCCATCCAACACCCCATCAGCACTAGCATGATCTAGAGATACAACTGCAGCATGGAATGAAACTGGAACCCCCTGGCTTACGTAACGAAGAAACACAGTTTCCTGTTCAAGAATTGCCGAGACGGTACTCCCATCACTATGAATGGCTACATAGTTTGCTCTATTAATTTCAGACTGGAAGTCTTTTTTTAAACTCTGTGAAATTGCTTGAATAAACTTGCTCGCACCATCATTGTTTCTGTAATTATGTCCACACCAACCCTGTCAAGCAAGTCTAAGTGCATTGCAAAATCACGAAGTTGTTTTCCTTCGCTGGCAATGAGAAAAGCTGTCACAAAACATTTCTCAATTTGATCGTAGTTCTTTTTGTCCATGTTTTTAAAACACTTTAAAAGTTTTCCGTTTGTGTTTACTTTATTGTAACTTGTCCCAGCCTCCAAATCGCTGGTTTCACTGCTATGGATATAACATGACAAACACTCGGCATGAACTGCTGAACTGTCGTGAATCTTCAGATATTCTACTCTGAAGTTTGAGCACCCATTGACAAAAGTGTTCTTTACCCCATGACTCGTGGATACAGACGGAAATCGTGCACAATATTTACAAGTCATAACAGCTTCTTCTTCGTCGTAAAGTAACCATGGCCATTTTGAACACCAAGACTTCTGAAATTGTCTACAACGTTTCTCATTGTCATATTTTTTATCTTTCGACTGTTTGGTGCAAACATCTGCTTCGGTTTCGTCATCCAAGCCTTCCTTTTCAACCCCGTAGCCTATTGTAAAAAACTGTCAATCAGTTTCTGTGACATTCGTCTGCTATTTTGTCTTGGCCTGTCAGTCGACTTGAGTGCATGCTGGCTTTCTCGTCAGTGATTGGTCAGTTATTTATAGAAAAGTTCGCTTCGGTTTCTATAGCCGGAAATAAATAGCAAAGAAAGATTTAGTATCTATTTAGTATCATTGCGAAAGTTACTTCATTTCGCGCTCGTATCGTGTCACATTTGAGGGTTAAAACCGTAAGCATTGCAGAAATTATCTGGTAGCCCACGGACAAGTAAGATACCATTATTTGATCGCCGAAATGAAAACTGACTTGTTTCGGGCATCGGGCGATGGGATTTTTGAACCCATGTAAATCCAGATTAAGCTAAATGTAACTTTCAATGACAACTGACAGTACCTTCTCTAAGTCTCTCTCCTTCTGCATGCGTTCTCTTGATCCGCTCAGAGCCCGCTAAATCCACCAGGTGGAATTTAGCCTTGCAAGAATCCTCTCTGAAACATACAGCCACAATCCTTAGGTGTTACACCAAGATGGCTTTCCTAAATATGCAAAAGTAAATGGTGAAAAAGAATTATTTGGCACATCTTAGAAGTGGATCTTTCAAATTTTCATGTGAAATTGAGTGTTTGACAGGCCAAGAAAGCCACTGTCGCAATACTCCCACAAAGCTTATTTCTCCAATCACCTGAATCTGAATAATCTCCTAAATTTTGAACCTCTTAGAACAGATTATATTCTTTAATTAGGATTATTTAAAACAAGGCATCACTTGACGTTTATGCTTAATTTCAAACTTCAAGATTACATCATAAGGTACTATACTCCACAACTACTTACGGGTCATCCTTACTGACTCTGTCTACAGTTATGGTGAAGATGGCGTGAGATCGGCTCGAGGTGTTGTTCATGGCAGTCGATCCTGTGGTGCGTGAAGATGACCCTTGTGACAGACACTTCATGGTCTCTTCAAAGGACTTCACTTTTACTTCTCTTAAACCAGCTATCTGTAAACAACCTTATAATAAGTTATATTTCTTTATTCAAACATTATTTTTTTTCTTTTTCTATACATCCCCAGAAACAATAATGCCAAAAAATTTTGAAAAGTGGAGGGTCTGAGCATCTATCCTATTAATGTATCAATATAAGTCACCTTTGATGTAATGCCCAGATCCTTACTGTAACCGGTCCATCTTATTGAAGACCTGACCATGGTCCCCACATGAGGTGGTCACACATCCATCTTACTGAAGACCTGACCATGCTCTAAACATGAGGAGGTCACACATCCATCTTACTGAAGACCTGACCATTGTCCACACATGAGGTAGTCACATCCATCTTACTGAAGACTTGACTATGGTCCACACAGTAGGAGGTCACACATCCATCTTATTGAAGACCTGACCATGGTCCACACATGAGGTGGTCAAACATCCATCTTACTGAAGACCTGGCCATGGTCCACACACGAGGTGGTCACACATCCATCTTACTGAAGACCTGGCCATGGTCCACACACGAGGTGGTCACACATCCATCTTACTGAAGACCTGGCCATGGTCCACACACGAGGTGGTCACACATCCATCTTACTGAAGACCTGGCCATGGTCCACACACGAGGTGGTCACACATCCATCTTACTGAAGACCTGATCATGCTCTACACAGGAGGTGGTCACACATCCATCTTACTGGAAGACCTGGCCATGGTCCACACACGAGGTGGTCACACATCCATCTTACTGAAGACCTGACCATGGTCCACACACGAGGTGGTCACACGACTATCTTACTGAAGACCTGATCATGCTCTACACATGAGGAGGTCACACATCCATCTTACTGAAGACCTGACCATGGTCCACACACGAGGTGGTCACACGACTATCTTACTGAAGACCTGATCATGCTCTACACATGAGGAGGTCACATCCATCTTACTGAAGACCTGACCATGGTCCTTACTGAAGACACACACGAGGTGGTCACACATCCATCTTACTGACGACCTGACCATGGTCCACACACGAGGTGGTCACACATCCATCTTACTGAAGACCTGACCATGATCCACACACGAGGTGGTCCCACGACTATCTTACTGAAGACCTGATCATGCTCTACACTGGAGTAGGTCACACATCCATCTTACGGAAGACCTGACCATGGTCCACACACGAGGTGGTCACACATCCATCTTACTGAAGACCTGAGCATGGTCCACACACGAGGTGGTCACACATCCATGTTACTGAAGACCTGAGCACGGTCCACACATGAGGTGGTCACACATCCATCTTACTGAAGACCTGAGCATGGTCCCCACATAGGAGGTCACACATCCATCTTACGGAAGACCTGACCATGGTCCACACATGAGGAGGTCACACATCCATCTTATTGAAGACCTGACCATGGTCCACACATGAGATGGTCACACATCCATCTTACTGAAAACCTGACCATGGTCCACACACGAGGTGGACACACATCCATCTTACTGAAGACCTGACCATGGTCCACACACGAGGTGGTCACACATCCATCTTACTGAAGACCTGACCATGGTCCACACACGAGGAGGTCACACATCCATCTTACTGAAGATCTGACCATGGTCCACACATGAGGTGGTCACATCCATCTTACTGAAGTCATGCACCTACATTGTCTAATTCTGACCTTGTTCATCATCATATAATGACTATTTAACACATGTCAGTGTTAAACAATGTTTAATGTATACAAGTAACAAGAAGAGGTTTGATGAACTTACAGCAATTCCGCCGTTAGCTTCCTCCCTAATGACGAGACACTCTCTCTTGGAGGGATGGCAGAGAAGGTCGTGCAGGTCTTCCTTGTGAATCTGAAACATTTGGAAAACACGTGGACATCAAAAGTAGTTCTTGACCATTGTTGACTGGCCACTACTACAAAGTGAGAGTCTGCTCAGGATAATAGCGTTTGGTAATAAATGACCATACATGATATTTGATGTGCTGCTAGCCTGGTATTCGTAAGATTAGCTATATTAAAAGCAAAAAATGCAAAAGTCAATACTGTTTATTCATTGTAACAATGAGACCAAAATATTTCACCAAAACATCCGGGCAGCGTAAATTATTTGTTATTTTCCGTAATTGTTGTCTTCAAACATTTTCTGGAATGGCTGAAAACTATGAATACACAATGTCATCTAGAAAGTTAGAGCTGTGCCAATTTACACTTATCAGAGAGATACACAAAGTCTGTGGTCCAGACTACCAGTTGTCTGACTTCCATTCTGTGGAAGCTGGCTGAGTGGGTTAGATGGCTGACTTTGTGTGTTGGCAATTATGTGCCTGACTCTGAGAGTGCTGGATCCGATCCCGGATCGGACTCAACCAAACAAAAGTACTAGAATCTGTACTTTACTGAGAAAGTATAATCCCAAATATAATATGTGATGCATTTGACCACTTTCTTAATGGCAACGTGTAAATTAATCATGCTCACGAATCATTTACCAGAAATTTATAATAAGCTGCCTTTGCAGCAGCACACTATGAACATTCCTCTGTGCTGCTCTCTGCCAGGGACCATTGTTAACTGGTAGCCCAAGATATATTTCAGCAGTCAAAGTAATTTCTCAAGAAAAATTCAGAATAAACAATATGTATAAAGAAACATAATTAGGATTCAGCTTACTACTTTTTTCTACATTTGTCATGCCATGCCAGCATGTTTTTTGTGGAGTCCAAGTCTCCAGAATTGTAGAAACTGGAGAGTGAGTAACACTGAGTTTGTATATTATGGAAGTGGGATTAACATTAGGTGGCCATTAGGCAAATTTATAAGGAGCATGGATGCCAAAACTAGAACTAGGTCAAATTTACAAACAAAATTGCCACAAGCAAGAGGTATCTAGGTATCCTACCTCAAGGTACGACACTGAGATATTGAAGTCACTTTCATCTTTCCTCTCATCAATCCCCTGGAAGAGTTCTCGCAACACCCTTGGTATCACCCCCATGTGCTCTTCATCCTGGATCAGAGACGCCTCGTAACATCCTCCCATTGTGAACGTCTTGCCGCTGCCTGTCTGGCCGTACGCCAACACTGTTGCATTGTAACCTGGGACAGAGGAGATCAAAATACTGGAGCCTTGCAGTCTGGGGTCATGGACGTTCATGTGAGTGAGTTTAGTTTTACACTGCACTCAGCAATATTCCAGCTATATGGAGGCGGTCTGTAAATAATAGAGTCTGGGCCAGACAATCCAGTGATCAACAACATGAGCATCGATCTGCACAATTGGGAACTGATGACACGTGGCAACCAAGTCAGCGAGCCTGACAACCCGATCCTGTTAGTCGCCTCTTACGACAAGCATGGGTTACTGAAGGCCAATATTCTAACCCGGACCTTCACGGGTAGGTGGACATTCATGTGATTATGCAGGTGTGCGATGGATGCAGGTTCCATCTATTTAGTTGCGAACACAGTACCAAGCCATAAACGTGTAATGAGTTTGACACTTTCCTTAAAAGTTAGCTCAGTGTTAAAATGTTATTAAGTGCTGTCACTCACTGACTTTGTTCATGTGTTCCTCTGATCTATGATTGAGTCAGGTGCTACATGATATACTCTGCCAGTGAATCAAATGGATTTTCCTAGTAATCATAATGCAAGGTATCTCTTGGAGGCTCCTCATTCTGGCTGTCAAATTCCACCAAAAGACACTATGAACAGATACACTTATCAAACAAACTCTGTGATTTGGAATATTCATGTCAGAATTCTATACACTATACACCTACAAGTTATGAAAGTACAATGGTAAACTGTCTTATGGCATGTGAGCAATAGTCAAACAAATCCTGGCTGCCAATAAATAGTCAAGCCTGGCCACAAGAAATCAGTTGTGAATGACTGAACATTGAGCTGTGCCATAGAAGCATGAAGGCACATCACGACAAGTCACTGGGGCTGACCAGCTAGTCTTTCATATTCAGTTAACGAGAAACATAGGAAACTATGAACCTATTCTTTCTCTTTCATATATTTAGACACTAACTGCAATGACTGATGAATACCTTTAAACAAACTGTCAAGCAGCGGTTTCACTGAGTTTTCATAAACTTCACACTGGTAGTTGGAGGGTTTGAAGACAAAGTCATAGGTGAAGGCACGATCTCGGCCAATCACTATCTGGGGTTCATTCACGGTGAAGTTCACACACAGCTGGCAGCCTTCACCTACTTCCTTCGGGATTAGCGGCCGACATCTAACTGCCACTCTCACCGGAATCACCTTGTCAGCCGGCATCTTGAAACAACCTCTAGTAGAAGATGTTCCCTGTGAACCAGTGCAGGAAACACTTTGTGGTAATTGCTTGAACAAGAAAGGACTTACTATGTTAACATTTTCCACAAATGTTTTCAGTGTCAATTTTCATCAAAACTGAAGGTTGAGAAGGTAAGACTTCCTCCCGTTCCCCCATCCCAAATAATATTTATAAATATACTAAAATTATTAACAAAACTTAACACAACAATTACTAGAGAACTCACAAAATGACTAAAAGTCCAAAATTTAAGTTAGGGTTAGGGTTAGGGTTGGAGGACTGGAAGGAACTCTTTCCGTTGAGAATTATAGCCTTCAGATGGTACTTGTCTGCGATGATGACCATCGTTTGAGTTTTACATATCCTGAGCACAATGACGTCATCTCAGATTATCAGACTAGAAGGAATTTTGAGGGCTGACGATCATCAAATCATCAATTGGAGAAACAGATACATATGTTACCTGTAGGTTTGACAGCAATAGCTTGCCAACATTAAAGAAAACAAACTATAATGAAATATGACCCTGATGAAGTTGGGAGTCACAGAAATAAAGAAGTTGTTCATCCATATATTGTTATCCTTCCTTAGGCCACATGATGCGTAAACTACTGCACGGGTCAGTCACACCATCTAGTAATTTCTAGTGGTTTCTACCATCTAGTAATAGTGGTTTCTTTTGTTTATCAACACCAAAAAACACATCATAATATCTGAAAGTGCGTCCAGCGAGATCACCATTAGGAAAAATCATTACTCCTGCCACTGTACATCATGTGTAGACAGCTGGGTGAGTAGATCAAGGCTGGAGACCGGTATGTTTGTGGCGAGTTCATTCTTCAGCTGACTGATGACCTAGGCAGGTGGGGGTCTGCAGTGGGACACATTTCACAAATGTGTTATGCTCGATCGGTTACACGTAACATAGTAGGCACTATTAGATCATATAATCAACAAAACATATCAATTCTTACCTAGCAATGTCAACAAGAACACATGTAAATTGAGAAACCCGACAACTTTACGATTTGAAATGACCGCCAATGGGCGAGCTGGGCGATTGTCATGTTATTAGCGATTGGTCGACTTCTCACCAGCGCCACCTATCACATTTATAAATAAACGAGAGTGAAGTCCCTTGGCATGACAACAAGAAGCACTTTCGTTCAGAATTCGCTTTTCTAGTTCATTACTGGTAAAGTATGTTTCCATATGCGATTGTATGATAAAAGCCATAAAATGACCAATGGGACAAATTTGTCATTTCGGATGGCTCTTGATATGCAATTATGAAGATAACTTTTTCCGTGAAGGCAAACGAACAATGGGCGGCCAAACGGGATATTATGGGCCGATCGGGCAATATTTGAACATTTTTCTAATTATTTCAAAAACTATCAATTTCCGCACGAAATGGTTTATATGATCATAGAGATGAATAGTTAATGGACCTCCTCAGCTTGAAAAAAATATGTTTTTGGACAAAATTGGAAATATTAATATAAATTGTATATTTATATACTTATCCTATCTCACAATTCTTCATTGCCTGTCCCATCTACACTACCAGGGGACCTTAGATCGACACTATCATCATCCAGATCATCGGTACATATCCCCTCGACTGTCTCAGTTTGTTTGGATCTGGCCAACCGCGTTCAACCAGCCAACTGTCTCCCCACAGTTCATTGAACCGGACGGAGCTGGCTACAACAGCGTCGCTCGGGGCCGTTCATCATGAATCAACACTTCAGGTTTCGTCACCTAATCGCCGATCCAGATCGCCACATCATTCTCGATCACCACAACGATCTAGATCACCTTCACGATCAAGATCACCATCACAAGCCCGATCTAGATCACCGTGCCGATCCAGATCACCGGATCGATCCAGATCACAGTCACGATCCAGAGCACAACTACGATCCACATTACCTGATCAATCCAGATCATCTAACCGATCCAGATCACCAAACGGGTCCAGATCACAACTTTGAATCAGATCACCGGGACAGATCCAGATCACCGAACTGATCCAGATCACAACATCGAAGTAGATCATCAGACCGATCCAGATCACAGAATGGATCCAGATCACAGCTTCGAATCAGATCACCAGACCGATCCAGATCACCGAATGGATCCAGATCACAACTTCGATTCAGATCACCGGACCGATCTAGGTCACCTAACCGATCCAGATCACAACGAAGTAGATCGCCAGACCGATCCAGATCACCGAACCGATCCAGATCACAACATCAAAGTAGATCACCTAACCAATCCAGATCACCAAATCAAGCCAGATCGCAACTGCAAACCAGATCACCTTATAGATCTAGATCACAATCACAGTTTCCAGTTAGCGCATCGAATCGATCCAGATCACTTTACAAATCCAGATCATCTTACCAACCCAGGTAACCTATACGATCTAGATCACCTTACAGAGCCATTGACCAATCGGGATCACAGTACAGATCCACATCTCATGGCCGATCCTATTCAGATGGTCGAACCAGAGCTCCAATCAGAACCAGATCACCAACTAGAACTACAGCGACCCGGACTAGTTCTTCATATCATACCGGATCACCTAGCCATACTAGGGAATCCAGATCACTGGCTTACCAACCTATTTCGGTACTTACCACGTCGAGATCTCGATACAGTTCCTCTGACCGACATTCGGGTGATCATTGCTCTGATACCACTAATAGGCCTACAGTCTCTTACGATGTTCCGTCTACACGCTCTGAGAATCCTTTGACTCACTCTAGGATCATCGCTGTGTCATGGGAACCTAATAACAATTCCACTCCTACAGCTACTCTGGATCTAAATATGATGATCAGGGCCATAACCTCAGCCTGGAACCAAATACAGCCGTCTACTCCAGCCCATCCGGCTTCGGTAATTCCTGGCTCTTCATCTGGTCCACCTCCTGAGATTGATCCAGTCCAAATAGCCATGCCTGCATCTCCCGCTCTTTCTTGAGTTATCTACCCCTGTGGGTAGCTTTGCAGCAGTTGAGACACCTCAGGTTCTCCTCAGGTACTCCAATTTCCCTTGAGTACTTCAACAGATGACCTGGATCACTCTTAAGCTCTTAGGAACTGGGATTGGTCTACCATCACCCTACCACCTTGACCTTGTATTCTGAAATTATCCAGTACACTAAATGATGGTTTCAAGAGCCTGAAACGAATTAAGGACGGATTCTCTGCTCCAAGATATAATCCTTCTACCTCTCATGTCCACGGCCTAACAAACAAAAATCTCTACGGCTCCAACAGTTGATGAGGATATTGGAACCTTGTGTGGCAAATGAGCTGCTTCGCCCTACCTTATTGAGGACCGAGAGTTGGGTCACATGGATTCAGCCGTGAGAAAGACGTTGCCATCTATTAGTTGTGTGATTGCAGCAGTTGACGCTGTTAACACTGCTCTGGTGCATGCTTACTCTGATCAAGACGCTAACATCCGAGCATGCATGACTTAAGCTCTGGACCAGTTCCAAATTATCCTGGATCAGTTGACTCATTTTTTGAGCTACACTCTTGCTGTTCGCCGACATGGTCCCCTTAACATCTCTTCATGGGAGGAGCGATTTAAAACAGAACTGTTTCGCCAGCCTTGGTTTACTGACTCCCTCTTCAATGGTAGCATCCAAGAAGTATCATAATAAAGTTGATAAAGAAACCCGCTTTCAAGTCTCAACTGAACTGTTAAAGATACAGAAGTCACAGCTCCAAGACTCATTAAAACAACTTACAACTACACAGTTCACCCCAACCAATCCGGATTTACGCATACTTTTTCGTGGCGAATCCACTCAAGTCCCATGGCAGAGGAAACAGATCTGGCCGTGGTGGTTCCTCCCGTCGCCGTTTCTAATTTGCCTTCCAGAACCACCTCGTCCAGTCCTTCAATGGTGGCTCGACAAACTGTATGTTTGCGCCAGAGTCTCTATGATATATGCCCTTTGCACCAACTCATCACCTATTCGACGATGCATCCTTCATGGGTTGGGGATCTCACTTCCTCGACCACCAAGTGGCCGGGCTGTGGTCATCCGACGAACGGGTACTTCATATAAATGAGCTGGAATTCAAGGCGGTAATTCAAGCCATCTCACATTGGGCAACAGAGCTTCAATCAACCAGTCTGTTGATCCAATCAGACAATTCGACAGTGGTTTGGTATATAAATCATCTAGGCTCGGCGAATCTGCTACAATGGGTGATCAGGTTCTTCCATCTCATCGACTCACTCAACATTGTAGCCAGACACATTCCCGGGGTAAAAAATGTGATCGCCGATGCCTTGTCCCGATCCAACCGACCGTCCCCGACAGAGTGGAAGTTACTGCCCCAGATCATTCAGTCGATGATCTACCCGTTATCACGGCACCACAAGGTTCAACAACCAACTTCCAAAGCAACCAAAGTTGGTTCGTCAACCTAAGAATATCTGGCAGAGCTCAAACCCATTACTCTGCTTCCCAACCAGGACCGACCTACTTCTTCACCCTTCTGGCCAGCCCTCGTCAACTCAGAACTGGCAGCCATGGGTCACCTCAGACCCTCAATCTACACAGAACTTTGGTGCATCTTCAGACCCTCAATCTCTCATAGCTAAGGGCTACTCTAGCTAAGGGCCAAGCAGCCACAGCTATCACTTCAGCGCATCGTATTTCGACCCGTTCCTTTACGACAACAAGTGGAAGAAGTTTGGAAGAAGCTTAGGGGAATTGCATCTCCCACTTCCACCTCGGCTCAGGTCGTTGCTGAGTTTCTCCAGCATCTCCACACTACTAAGAAACTCAAGGATACTACGTTAGCTACCTACTTAGCCGCCATCAACTCAGTTTTGGCTACCACCACGGGCACGAAGATTTCCACTGTTCCCGAGTTGCAGAGTCTACTACGCTCCTATAGACTCTCTGACCAGTCCAGGAAGTTCAGACCTCCAGTCTGGGATCAGTCCGTCGTCCTTTGTCATATGATTTCTTCAGATTATGAACCTTTAGAAGACAAGGACTTCGAACAAGTGACATTCAAGACATCCTTCCTGGTAGCTTTGGCCACCGCTGCTCGTATATCTGAACTGCATGCGCTTGATGTCAATCGGGTGCCGTTGGAGCGGAAGAAGCATGGCAAGGCTTTCCTGGGTCTCCACTGGGACTTCATTGCGAAAAACCAACTGCCAGGGCAACCGGACCGGATGTTTACCATTCCCCTGTTGTCCACCATTCTTGGGCCTGATGATAATGAAGATTTGACACTCTGCCCTGTTAGGGCTCTACACGTTTACCTTGCTGCCTCCAAGGATCGTCGACGGCTACAGAAGCGCCTCTTCATACCCTTGTTGAACGCTTCAAGAACTGAGGTTCCCGGACCACATTCTCCTTCTGGATGCGTCCCACGATCCTGCGAGCCTACACATTTGCAGGGTTTGCCTCCTCCAGCCACTTCCAATCCTCATGAGACTCGTGCACTAGCCTCAACGATGGCCCTCCATAGCAACTGCTCCTTGACCGCTATCATGGAAGGTTGCTTCTGGCGTCCTGATACAGTCTTCTCTTCACATTACCTGCGAGACCTATCTGTCACGGATGTCCAGGGACTACACCAGTTCGGACCTCTTGTACTGGCTCAGCAGCTTACATTGGCCCAACAACGCAGATGAGGGACAGTTCCGCATTCGCGTTACTACTTCCTTGTATATACTGAATAAAAGTTGAACTGGCTCTCAACCTTTTGTTCTCATTATATGGGTTTAAGAATTACTTCACTTGGCCTCCATACCAAGGCATCGGAATACGGCCACCTAGCGTGGCCCTACGGACCTGAGGCACAATCAGTATGACGATGCAGAGGTGTTCGACATTCACGCTTACTGACCTCTACTCCACGGAGCAATTACGTCAGTGAAGTGTGACACTCCCGAATTCAAGTGGATTTCGTTGTATCTGCCTCCAAAGTTGCCGGGCACATCCTTTGACTAAGCTTAGGCAAAGGAGTGAGGGTCAATTTGATGCTGCCCAGAACTGAACGTTAAACCTTGGAGATGCCGGAGTTGTGTTTCTCTTTCACCCGCCTTGGTCGGTGTCTGGGGGGCGTTCCGATTCTAGTCGCAAGACTTTAATTACAGGGGTACCTTGTAAATCGCGGCGAGGCGAGGCTTACTTTC